ATTAATGACTTTTAATTAAGCTGAGCACAGGTCTTATCCTGGCTGCTGCCCTGTCTCTGCAAAGTTTATCTTGCCTTGGCCATGGAAACTCCCAATTTATTGAAATTCTCTGTGAGGTTACAATGGGAATGGGGAACACTGACCCTCACAGATGAGGAATTCCATGTGCTGAATGTTTGTCCATACCCAAGGATAAACCCTGGACAAGGGCACTTGTTCACTCTTTAACCTGCTCTACCTGCTGCATTTTAATATTCACAATTATTACTTGCAAAAGACCTCTAAGACCATCAAGTCCAACTATTCCTTACCTCTATTTTCTACATTTTCTTGACTTAATGTTTGTAACCCCAGTTCTGAGGAAGGAGTGAGAGTTCAGTGTAACTTTTTATGACACCATTAGTTTTTCCTGAGTAGAAATGACCCAAAACCAACATCACTGTTCCCATTAAGACACCTGAACCACAGAGCTGGTCCTGTTGCATCAGAGGTGCCCTGAGAATTCCAGATCCACGTGGCCAACCCACTCACCTGGAATGGATCCTGTCCCCAGGGTTATAGAAGGGGTTACACATGATGTCAGTGTAGGAATTGTGCAGCTTTCTGAACATCTGAAAAGGGAGTGGAGGTGAATTCATGAATTTGTTGTTTCCCAGCACCTCCTGAGGAGCTGGAAGGACCAGACCCACCGAGGTGGCTCTGCTTTGGTGCACTCACACTGCGGATCTCGTTGTCCCTCAGGGCTGTGTTGGAGGAATCCACCACCATGACAAACTTCACCTTGGAGTTGGTCACGTAGCCATAGCTGGGCTGGGGTTAAGGATGTGCTGCTCACACAGTAGGGCTGGCACAGCCACTAAACCAGGCTGGACTGTACCCAAAGGGACAAACTGAGAGGAAACATGAGGGAACTTCCTCATGTTCTCTCTATGAGCAGAGACAGGACCCAGGGAATGATTGGAGATCAGGGAAAGGTTTTTCCCCCAGAAGGTGCTGGGCACAACCCAGAGGCCACCAGAGCTCCAGGAGAGTTTGGACAACACTCTCAGGGATGCACAGGGTGGGATTGTTGGGATGTCTGTGCAGGGCTGGGGCTGGATTGATGATCCCTTCCAGCTCAGGATATTCTGTGAATAAACTAAACCCACAATGACCTGGCCAGAGGTGTGACAAAGATACACCTTGTAGTCTTCAGTGGGGTAGAGAAGTCCCAGGTACAGCTCCCTCTGGTCCACCAGGGCTTTGCCCATGGCTGAAATCTTCTCATCCACCACGTCCAGCGAGGTGTGCACGGTGTAGTGAAACTTCAGCTCATTCTCTGTGGGGACACTCCGGATGTACAGGGGGTAATTCTGGGGGCACAACAAATCACACTGCCTAGGACCTGCTGCTGGCAGAGCTGTTTAACCATTTATGTTCCCAGCACAGCCCCCTCCCCACGCTGCAGCACCTCTGGAGCACGGCTGCCCCCATGGCAGGAGAACCATTGGCACAGGCACTGCACAAGGCTCAGGTGTCTCTGCTCTCCTGTCCCGGCAGAGCCTGTGCCTGTCTTTCCCAAGGAAAACCCTTCTCTCCCAGCAGCAGGACAGCCTCGAGCACCCTCACAGTGTCTGTGCTGCGTGCCCCAGCCCTGCTTGCATTCTGCTCCTGCCCATCCCATTTCACCCCAGTGTCTGCCCCACTGCCCCTGGGGCTGCTCTGTTCCGCTTCCCTCACCCCTATCCAGACCCCACAACTTGAGATCCTGCCCATTCCTCTCTCCCCTACCCCACAGCCCCAGCCCTGCTCAGACCCCAAATCCAGAGCCCCGCCTCTTTCCCCTCATCCTTCCCCAGATCCCACTGATCCCGTTCCCGTCAACCCCACACCCCGAGGCCTCTAATCCTTGCTCAGACCTCGCTGCCCCACTCAGGCCGTAGGACGCCAGCTGGGCACCCTGTTCCTCCAAATCCCCCACACCCTGGTCCCGCTGTCCCCCCTCATCCCCTACACCCCGGTCCCGCTGTCCCCCTCATCCCCCACACGCCGGTCCCGCTGTCCCCCTCATCCCCCACACCCTGGTCCCGCTGTCCCCCCTCATCCCCCACACCCTTGTCCCGCTGTCCCCCTTCATCCCCCACACGCCAGTCCCGCTGTCCCCGCGGCCCGGCCGTGTCCCCGCACCTCCTTGGCGATCACGGCGATGCACACCGCCATCTTGGCCCCGCCCCTCCCTCCGGGTCACGTGGGGGCGCGCGGGGGCATCACGTGATGTGCCGGAGCTCACGTGGTGCGCGGGCGGTCACGTGGGGAGGTCACGTGGCGCGCGCGGGCCCGGTTGCCATGGCGAGCGCGGCGCTGGGGCCGCTGTGCCTGTGCTGGGCCCTGGGCCCCGCCGCCGCCACCGCCCCCAACATCCTCCTCCTCCTCATGGACGATGTGAGTGGGGCCCCGCGGGGGGTGACATGAGGGGAGGGAGGGAGGGAGGGGTGTGAGGGGTCCGGAGCGCTGTCCCGATCAGGAGCTGGGCCGGCCGGAGAAGGGAATGATGAGAGGAGATCCCATCAATCCATACAAATATCTCCGTGGGGTGTCACAGGACGGTACCAGACTCTTTTCAGTGCTCCAGTGGTTCCAGCCAGTTTCAATGGCTCTTGTCCTGACCGGTGACAGGAAGAGGAGCAATGGCCATAAACCAAACCACGAGAAGTTCCCTTTCAACACGAGGGAGAACTTCTGTCCATGGCGGATGGCAGAGCCCGGGCACAGCTGCCCAGGGAGGCTGCGGGCTCTCCCTGTCCGGAGACATTCCAGACACACCTGGATGTGTCCCTCTGTCACCTGCTCCAGGTGTCCCTGCCTTGGGCTGGATGATCCTCAGAGTTCCCTTCCAACACTAATGATTGTTGGTCACAAGGAGGGGGTTGGTGGCCTCCTGGAAAACTAAGCAAGAAGAAAAGTAATTCTGCTAATTTTGGCTCTCTGAACTGGGAAGAAAAAAAAAAAGACAATAAATGATTAAAGAGCAGAAATAATCACAGATTTATTTCTAGCTCAAAATCTTTTCAATTTTGCCACATGGATGAGGAATTATATTAATTTCCAACACATTCGGGTCACTGCCATCTACCCAGTTTGCTTCTCTCCTGATAATTTCCTGTCACCTTCCAGGTGTGTTTGTTGCTGTTTGAAGTTACTCAAGGAGCTCACGAGGGTGGGCAAAGCCTTCCCAGTTTGTTTCCATGGTGTTCCCACATTCCTGAGCAGGATAATCCCTTGCTTTTCCAGCCAGCTGAGCCTCTGGAAGGGGCTGCCCAGGGAGGTTTGGAGGTGTCCAGGGAGGGACTGGATGTGGCACTCAGTGCTCTGGGCTGGGGACAAGGTGGGGACTGGGCACAGGCTGGATTTGGAATATTTTCCAGCCTCAGTGATCCTGTGATCTCAGTTTTCCATTCAGGAATATTTCCCCCTCCTGAGCTGGCATTTGTAATTTTCCAGAGGGAAGCTCTCTGTGGGAGGGATTCTCCTGGAAGAGAGAGAATTTCTGGAATTCTTCTTTCTGGAAGTGTTGGTACACACAGGGCTCCTGTCTGCAGCTTCTGTGAACTATTGATTTATTTAATATGTTCATTAAAAATACATCTCTCTGGGTTTTTTCCCTTGATCCTCTGGGACTCTGGAATTCAAACATGAGATTCTTTTTGTCTTTCTTCCTTGATGATAAAAAAAAAAAATCAAGAAATTGTGAGTGAATCCATTTCAGTGTCAGGGGGAATTTAATTGCTTCTTAACTCAGAACTCATCTCTGCAACGATTTTCTTTTCCAAACTCCTGGCACCAGATGGTTTCCTGAGGATCTGGATGCATCCATGGCTCACCTGACACACACCTGGATCAGAGCAGCCTTTTCTAAAGCACAACAGAATCCCCAGCACCTGTGGTGCCTCATTAAGCTGCTCCCTTCTAGAACTTTCTGCCTGAAGCTGTGCTTTTCCCAGGAATGGTTTTCAGCAGGGAACAGACACCCTGATGGGAATGTTGTGGTTCTCCTGGTGTGTGAGCCCTCGGAATGAGAGGGAAGAACAGGGTGAAACCACACTCCTGCAGATAAGCACAGTCACTTGTGATCCCTCTGCCTTTTAAAACACCCCCCCTGCTTTTCCTGCAGTGCTGCTCTGCAGTTCAGGCCTTTCCTTGTGTTCCCGGTGCTGCTCAGGGGTAGATGCAGAGGCTGAGCTGGAATCCTGGGCTCCAGCACAGGCAGCAGGGCAGGGATTTGTAAGAGCCAAAAATGAGGGATGCAGGGCTCCAGGCAGCTCTTTAAAATGCTGTTTATTGTATCCAAATGATCCAGCAATTAATTTATTATTTTCAATGCTGTTTATTGTATCCAAATGATCCAGCAATTTATTTATTATTTTCAATGCTGTTTATTGTATCCAAATGATCCAGCAATTAATTTATTATTTTCAATGCTGTTTATTGTATCCAAATGATGCAGCAATTCACAGGTGGTGGGTGACAAGAGCCCAGCCCACAGCTGGGGGTTTGTCTGAAACCATCTCTAACTCTGGTTATTTACTTTATGCATTATTTACTTTTAATTACAGAGCATCTTAATACATGACAACCAATCAATACCTTCACTATTACCTATAACCTATCATAACTACTAACATTTCCATATTCATGTTACTATTCTCCAATCACAAAAGGTTAGTCTGTTAGAGTTTTATCTAGAAGTTGTTTTTCAGGTTTTTTTTGCAGTGGAAAATTCTTTTCTCTATTTGCAACATTGGCTTTCTTGTTTGCCTGTGAAAATCTTTTTGCTTGGTGAAAACATCTTTTGTTTGAGGTGGATTTATCATTTGCTCTAAGTCATAAAAGCCCCTCCCAACTCACTTTGCTCTTTGCCTTCCAGTTACCCAGTCACACTGGCCCAGCAATTCTTTTCTTCTCTATCAAAACTTGCTCTCATTTCTATTCCTTCTTCAGATTCTCCATTCAAAGATCTTTCTGTTATACAAACTTAATCTGTGAGACCTTCCTGTCAAATCCTTATCCTTCCCTACAGAGACTGAAGGCTCAGACGTGGCAGCTGCACAACCCTGAGTAAACCACGTGTAACTTCCTCTTCCTCCTTGCTCTGGGTGTGCTTCAGGCCTCTGAGTAAGAGTGAAGGCACTGAGCTTCTTCCAAGTGCTTTAATACCTGTTCATAACTCATTTCATCCTGGGTGTGCCTCCATTTCCCACCCACCAGGGGAAAGTGTAAAAGTTCCCTGCTCCACAGGGCTGGCAGAAATCATTTTTGTCACATTTGGGAAGTGCTGAGTAGGGAGATGAGCACTGCAAAAATAAAATAAATAAATAGAAATTAAGGGATACAGCAAAAGTGTTAATGTGGGCCCAAAAATGTGGTTGTGGGAAGGGACTTTGACATGTTCTGGTGTGTTCCTTTTCCAGATGGGCTGGGGGGATCTGGGAATTTTCGGAGAGCCTTCGAAGGAAACCCCTAACCTAGACCAGATGGCTGCAGAAGGGATGCTGTTCCTGGATTTTTATACTGCCAGCCCCCTCTGCTCTCCCTGTAAGTACATTTGCAGTTTGAGCCGTGTAAGCATGAGAAGCATCTCCCTCTGAGGAGTTTGGGGCGTTTGCCAGCCTCTGACATGGACTAACAACCAAACCAGTGACTGCCCTCAGGCCAGAGGTTGGATTTGCTGCTTTGATCGTGCATTTTGCTCCCTTTTTGTTTGTGTTTGGATTGGAAAACTGACAGTTTTCAGTTTGTACAAAGCACTGGTTCAATAATCAGTCCAGCTAAAGGATTTTTATCCCATTTCAGTTCAGCATTCAGCCCCAGACATTGCATTTTTTTCATCTTTCTCATTCTGGGTTTAAACAAAGCAGGAACTGAACTGTTGCTGGATGTATTTGGTCTGATTCTGTTGGCTCTGGTGAGACTTTCATGCAAGGAAAGGCAGCAGTTTGTGTCCTGCTTTTGACCCTGGTGTCCTACAAGACTCTTGGGACAGGGACAAGAGATAAAAGGAAGGTTTGGGTCTGGGAGAGGCAGATATTTTTCTCCTTGTTGTTTTTTCTGTGCTTTTTTTTTTTCTCTTTTTTTTTGCTTTCTTTTTTTCCCCTCAAACCTGGTTAGCTGCCAAGAACTGAAGCAAAAATGAAGAACAGGGGCTTTTTATTTGGGCTCTCATTTAGGATAGCACTTGCCAGTGTGTTGATGAAGTCCTTGCTCAGAAAAGCCATTTAAAATCTGCTGAAATCCTGCTAATCCAGTGGTGGCACTGCATATGCTTGAAGTCAAACATCTGTTTAAATATTCCCTGCAGTCAGGACTTGACTTTTATTGTCAAAGCTGGACAGCTCTTTCTTTGTATTTCATGGTTTCTGTTCAGTCAAGCTCGAAAGCTTAGCCTTGAGCATCTAATCAGTTTGTGCTAGGATTTCCTCTTTAATACATAATAAATATATATAGAATTGGGATGGAAGGCTTGCTCCATTGACTATTAAAGGAATAACTCTTTAGTGTGGCTAATTTAATAAAGGGGCCAAATTTCAGCTGGGATAACTCAAATGATGCATCAGAACTGATTCTCTCCATGGCTCATGGGAGAGTGTGAGTGATTGAGGAGGACCCTGCCACACTCCAGTCAATGTGCTGGCCTCATCCTCCTACAATAATCTGAATATTGAGCAAGAAATGTTTGTGTTGTTTGCAGCAAGGGCAGCCCTGCTGACGGGCCGGCTCCCGGTCAGGAATGGCTTTTACACCACAAATGGACACGCCAGGAATGGTAGGAGCCTCATTCCTCACCTCCCCTCCTCTCCTGATTTCCCTCTGTGCTTGTAGGAAGTTTTCTCTTCCCCATGGATGTTCCAAAGTGCCACCAAACCCTGTTAAGTGTTGCTAATAAGCGTGAATTTTAGTGCTTCCTCCTCAAATTAAGAGGATAAACCAGGCTGCTTGATCCATTTGTTTCTGCTGGCTGCTCACAGATTTACTCACAGGCAGATTTCTACCCAGTTTTAGAGGAGTTTTCCATCCCTTGTGCCTGTGGTGCTTCCAGGAAAGATCCCTGGATGGATTTGGGTCCCAGAGTGACAAATGCCACATGCAGGGACATGGCTGGGCAGGAATCAGCAGCCAGGGGTTGATTCCCAGAGCAAAGTCAGGAGCTGAGAGAGACTCTTCATTTCTTTCAGAATCACAGAATGAATTAGGTTGGAAAACACCTTTGGGATCATCAAGTCCAAGCTCGTGCAATCTGAGCACCTTTATTGATTATTTGAGTTAGGATAAAGCTGCCTTCATTTTAGAAAACACAAAGCAAATTCACAACATCAACACCACCCCTAAAGCACCTGATTTTCTGTGACATCTCCCTTTCAAGGATCTCACCTCCACTCTGGGTTGGCAGCTCCCTTTATTATTTGCCCTCATGCACAAGTGGGTGGAAATCTCCTTTAGGTCTCCCTGGATCAATTTATTCTCTCCATCCCATGGGAGGATTTCCAAGGAATGGCATTGCTGGGACTCCAGAGCAATTCCTATTTCTGATCCAGTACATGAACTGTTTGCTGTAATATTTTGCAGAGTCAGATTTTGGTTTTGATTTGTTTTCCACAGCATACACACCACAGGATATAGTAGGAGGAATCCCAGATTCTGAATTACTGCTCCCAGAGCTCCTGAAGAAAGCTGGTTACACCAATAAGATCATTGGCAAATGGTAAATTTATCTGAAGATCTCTTGCTTTGAGATTTTACTCTGTGTGGGTTGGGAAGGAACAGCAGAAAAACCAGAATTACAGGAAAAAAATTCTATTTTGAAGTTCAAATGCCCAACTTTGGGAAGTGTGATGGATCTTCCCCTTGCTGGGATCAATTCCTGAGTGTTCCCATTAGAGGTACTTACATATATCTTCATACAAAGAGTTGATGGGATTTTATGTGTGTTATTTGTATTTATAAACTCCTCAACTCTGTGCTTTTATCCCCACCTCACACCACTTATTTAATCAGGATATTCTGTTGGAATTTGCCTTGAGCACCTACATGGTTTTTATCTTTGACTCTTGCTATCTGTTGGGTTTTTATTAATAAACTGAATTCCTGTGGGAAGTAACAGGAATTTCTTTCAGTTTCATTGAATAAGTTAGAGAAGGATGAGTTGGAATTGTGGTTGGATTCACCTGCTGGAATTGGGAAGAAAACAAAGCACCCTAAACCAGTGAATTATTTATCAGCACAAATGCAAGCAGGAGAGTGGCCCTGAAGGATCAGCTCAGTGGGCTGGGTGCAATCAGCTGCAGTTCAGTGCTAATAAATGGAAATTCATACACCCAGGGAAAAGGAATAAACAAGGTAAATGCAGATTGGTGCCAGTTCTTTGGAAAAAAAAAAAAGGCAAATGTGGAAGGCCCTGCAGCTGTTAGCAGGAATAGGACAAAGTAGGAATGTGCAAGGTTTTATTGTGCATCCAAAAACTTCTCCTGGCCAGGGCTGGGAGTGATACCTGCTCCTTGGAAAGGTGTAAAGAAATGCAAGGTAAAACTGGAGTCTCATCCTGGCTTCTCAGAGGTTTTCCAGCAGAAAAATTTCTTCTTGTTTTATCATCCCTTCTAAAAACTTTTCCTGTTTGTGTCAACGTGACAATAAATCCCATGGTTTAATTATAAGTTTGCAATTCAAGTATTTTCCACAACCAGCATGGAATTTGTTGTGTTTCATTAAATCTCAGTTTTTTGTGCTGTAAGATGCAGAGACTGATCTGGATCTCAGTCATTGTTTAATGTGAGTTCTCTGAGCTTTCTTAGATTAAGATGTTCTTCCATCTCCCCTGTTGTAAAACAGCCAGGAATAACTTTGTGTTCCCACATTTGCAAATGGGGAAAGAGTGGAATCCTACAGGTCAGACCTGCAGTGGCAGTTACATCATCAAGCTGCAGTCATGGCTGAAATTAGGATTATTTCTGTAATAACTCAGTTTGGAACAGCTCAGAGTAACTCCGAGGATCATTTTATTCCAGAAAATGCAATTTATGCCTTTTATGTTCAGAATGTGCAGAGGAGGAGGCACAAAGTGGACAGGGGGCAGATCCAGGCTGGTGAGGGGAAGATGGAATGATTAAATAAACACTGAGCTACCAAGATCCCCATTAGAGACAGAGAGGATGGGAATTCTCTGTCTTGAAGGTGCTATAAATGCAGGAAATGTAGAATTTGCAGCCCAAAACCTGGAGATTAGAGAAGGAGCTTCATCTGGAAGTTAAGGATGGAGGATTTTCAAGCTGCACAGTAGAGAGGAGCTGTCATCAGGAGGAGCTAAATGTGTTTTATGTCCACATGTGCACACAAAAACCTCATTTCATTTCCATTCAGGTCTCTTTGTACCATTTTGGCAGCGTGAGTGCTCCATAAAGGGGATGAGGATGGAATGGTGCATTTCATGAGCTCTGCCTTGTGTTTTTACAGCTCAGTGGGATAAAAGGACTTGTCATAGCTCAGAATCCTTAAGTAAAACATTATGTGCATCTCTGCAGTGGTTTGGGGCAGTGTAGTCCATCAGTGCTGATCATCTGACAGCATGGGAGAAGACACCAGTGGAAGGAAAAAATGGAAAACAGTGATTGGAGAGTAAATAAAATGGAATATAAGTGAGCACTGGGGTGAGTCTGCATGGCTGTGCTTGCAACAAGTGTGAGAGAGCTCAAGACATTGCTCTGGAGTCATTTATGTGATTGAAATGCTTTGAGTTTTGATTTCTTAGGCAGAGACTTTTTGTGCATGCTGCTCTGATGAGCTGAGGTTTGGTTTCTTTGCAGCAGAATTTTCCCTCTGACCTTGTTTTTGTTCCCAGGCACTTGGGGCACCGGCCCCAGTTCCACCCCCTGAGGCACGGCTTTGATGAGTGGTTTGGGTCCCCAAATTGTCACTTTGGGCCCTATGACAGCAGAGAGCGCCCCAACATCCCCGTGTACAGGGACTGGGACATGGTTGGCAGGTAACCCAGCTCCTTGCCTGGCACTGCCATTGCCTGCCTCTCCCTGCATGGCCTTTAGGGTTCCTTCCAGCCCAGACCATTCAGGGATTCCATGGTTCTGGGGTTAATTAAGCCCCCAATCCCATGACCAAGCTGGCAGTGTCATGTGGATGGTGTTGGGATGTGGAGCTGCCCTCCCAGAGCTGTTTGCTCATCCCTGGCACCCTGAAGGCTTCCACTCTTCTGGACTGAAAGACCTCTTTGTTCCTTCTCTTCCTGTTTGGAATAACATTTTGTGTGTTTGCATAACTCCATTCCCTGCTCCCAGTCTGCAGCCTGGGCCCTTCTTGTCCATTCAATTTTTCACTCTGGTGTTGTCTCATTTCCCTGCTGCTGTTCCCCTGAGCTCTTCCCCAGGCCCTTGAAGATCTCCCTAAAATAAAGTTTCCAAAGCAGCCCAAGTTCAGCTTCCAGCATTTCTCTGTCTCTCTGAAAGTTGTTTTGTACTTTTGAAATTTTATTCACATTTCAACCAGCTCTTTATGAATCACCATGGGATTTCTGAGCATTTTGCCCCTTACAGCAGAAGGCCAGTCCCTCAGGTTTGTCCAAAACTTGAAGCCATTAATTTGGATCAAGCTGTGTCACCAATTTCTCCCATAAGAACAATTATGGTGACATATTTTTAATACCTGAAGAGACTTTGTTGAGTGTTAACTGTGACTTGTTTGTCACCTCCTTACACAGGGGGGAAAAAAACCCATAAAAGGGGAAGAATAATTTCTGTGATGTTTATTCCTTAGGATTGATTTTTCCCCTCTCTGATTCCTTTTATCTTAAGATACTATGAAGATTTCAAAATTGATCTGAAGACAGGTGAAGCCAACTTGACTCAGTTCTACCTGCAGGTATTATTTTAGTACTGGCTTCTAAGCCAAGGTGACTTTATGCCTTTTTTTTTTCTTTTTTTTTGGAGAAAACTCGATGGCAGAAGATAAATTCATTTTTATTATTGTTTACAGGAAGCTCTGGATTTTATTAGCAAGCAGCAGGCCAGCCAGCAACCATTCTTTTTATACTGGGCAATTGATGCTACCCATGCTCCTGTTTATGCCTCCAAGCAGTTCCTGGGCACGAGTCAGAGAGGGCTGTAAGTTCTCTTTTTGGGGTTGTTTTAATCAATACCTGTTGGAACAGCCAACCTGAGCAGTGCTTGGTAGATCCAAGGGGTTGGATCACTCCTCAAGTGTGTGAGTGTGTGTGTGCTGAAATGCATTATTTGCTTGGATTGTTCTTTTATAATTTGGTTTTAATCTGAACTGAAGCTCACGTGGCCCGAGGGGGAGGAGGGGAGCTCTAAGCTCCTTTGCCAGTTGTGTGAGGAATGAAATGCTGTCTGTGTGCACAGATGATTTTTTAGAAGGCTTTTGTATGATTAGTGCCTGTTTTAAAAGCCTATAAATCAGACCAGCAAATAGAAAAGCACTCCTAAAAATGCAGTTTGGAGGAAGCAAAGAGCTCTGTAGACACTGGGAGTGCTGCTTCAAAGAGTTTCTAACCATAAGGAAAACCAAATTATTACCTCCCAGTCTGTGGCAAGGTGGCTTTGCATCTCTTTGTGAATTTTATGGCTGAATTTCTCTGTCCAAGAGTGGCTCTCACCTGAGCAAAGCCTGACCCTCAATACCCCAGAGGGGCTGCTCTCTGCAGGCCACAGACACGAAAATTTGCAGTGACAGCAGAAAAGCTGATGCATGAGAAGGATTTCTGCAGCACAGGTACAAATTAAATCCACTGAACACGTTGTGCTGACCCTTTTGGTTTTTTTTTGTTTTGTTTTTTTTTTGCTGCTTTGAGTGTTTTGTATCTCCTTTTGCCTCAGGTATGGGGATGCTGTGAGGGAGATCGATGACAGCATTGGGAAAATCCTGAAGCACCTCCAGCAGCTGGGGATCAGTGAGAACACCTTTGTGTTTTTCACCTCTGATAATGGGGCTGCTCTCATTTCAGCTCCCAGACAAGGTGAGGCTCAGCTGAGCAAACCTGGCCTTGGGAAATCAAGGCTTCAGTCTCTCTGAGGAGAAAAAAAACCAAAAAACTCCTGTGTGTGAGGTCTGTGTTCTGAGTTAGGAGAAGCCTCAAAAGACAGAGTGTTTATGTTTGGAATAATTAATGTTCAGTGCTTCTGGTCACTGTTGGAGGAGGTGTCCTTGGCCAAATGGAATTTTTTCCTGCCCCAGTGTTGCTGTTACCTGTGTGTATTTGCACTGTCAGGGAGGGAATATTCTGTGATTTGTTGAGAACCAGGCTCAGTAACTTAGCAGGGTGTTTACTCTCCATCTGCCAAATGCATATTTCAGCCTTCTGAGCAATTAGAGTGAGTTCAAGAGTCCCTCATTCTTTAGCTCTCATGAAAAATACCGAGAAGAGAAACGATTTTTGTTACCTAACAAATTTTCTTTTGTTTAAGTGATGGTTTCTCTGAAACAAATCACTGCAAATTGATTTTAGAACCTGCTCTCTTCTCTTTGGAGCCAGGCTTGGTTTGTGGTTATTGAACCACAGAGCAGGGAGTAACCTGAGTTCTGATTTCAGCTCAGCCACTGGCTTTGACTTTGTGTGACCTGGAATCATTTCTGAGACCTCCCTGGTTGTTCCTTGGCCAGCTGAGCTCCAGGGTTGGGTAAAAACTCCAGATATTCCTGCAAAGCCATCTCTGAGAGTGACCATTCAGGGAATGCAGGATTATTTTTCTCACTCTTATACCTTCATCTAATATTGTTCTGGTACTATAGAATCTAAAATCATTATGAAAAAATGCTATTTCTGCCTGAAAGTGTCAGATTTCCTTTGGTTACAGACACCCTTAGAGGGAAGGAAAACACCAGTGAGGTATTTCCTGTTTGTTTGGGGTTTGTTTTTAATTTGGTTGTTGATAGCAAGGGGTGTTTAACTGTCACTTTCTCTCTGTGCTGCAAAGACACTCCTAAAATTTCATCACAGATGGATATTGAAAAAAAAAAACCCCAAAACAACACAACAAACAAGGAAATAATGAGAAAAAAAACCCAACTCTGGCCACGTTGTTTGAAGAAGCATCCATGCAGAAATGAGAATTCATTTCAAACCAGCCTGGGTGACAGAGTCCTTTTGAAATGCCGGTGTTTTGTGTTGGGTTTAAGGATTCTTTTCTGTCCCCAGGAGGAAGCAATGGGCCTTTCCTGTGTGGCAAACAAACCACCTTCGAGGGTGGCATGAGGGAGCCTGCGATTGCCTGGTGGCCCGGCCACATCCCTGCGGGAGGGGTGAGTCTGCCCTGGGCACTTCTCAGCAGCCCCGGGGGCCCTGCAGGGACTGGAGAGCTCCTTGGGGGCTTTGCTTCACACTTTTATCAAATCCAAGGCGTTTGTGCCCCAAATCCAGGTATTTGTGTGAATAAGGAGCTGCTGCTGCCTCAGAAATCGGTGCCATTTTAATGCAAATTTACATTTAGAGGTTCTGTGCTCAACTTTGCTGTGAGCACCCAGGGTCTGCTCTTGTCTTCCTGTTCTTTTTAAACCCTTCACTCTTTTGGACCTCGATATTTCTCATGTGTTTGAACAAATTGGAGTGTAAAGAGCAGGGATTTGTTCCCCACACTCTCCATGCCCTGAGGTACTGAGTGGTTTGACCCTCTCATCTCTCACTTCGGTGCTTGATGAAAGTTCCACTCGGAGAGGTTTAGACACCACGTTATTGCTCTGTGCTGCCTGTACACAAACGCAGATCTGATCACTTCAGAATAACCCCCCGGTGGCACTGGCAGCCCCCCTTGTCCCAGCTCTCATTACAGAAGGATGCAATCAATCCTGCTGCACGATCACAGGGACAGCACGGCCCCCTCCCCCTGGTGAGCATCTCTGAGCCCTGCAGAAAGTGATCCTTCATTAACTGGGCACCGTGCTCCAGCCTGCAAACTGGTCATAAATAAAACATTTGTGCAAGTTGCATTCCATTGGGGTGGTTTAATTGAGGCAGGCTAATGATAATTTATCATTTACATTTAGGAGGGACCACGAGGCTGCTCAGATCTGCAGCTGAGGGCAGGAGGGTGGTTTGGTTTCATTATTTTTCGAGAGTTCACCAAACCTACCAAGGATGGTTTATTATTTTTCTAATTTGAAATGAAAACAGTCTTTTTGTTTAAATTTAAACATTTCCATAAAGCCTTTGCAAGCCAAGTACAACAGCCCTGGGCTAGCAAAGGAGAACATGAAACTGCAGCTGAGTGTTTTGTTTGCTGGGTCCAAACTAAATAATGTGCTAAAAGTAAACATGCATTATAAATGGGGACGAGAAAATGCCCAAATTTAAAAATTCTTTCCATTGTAGTAACTCTGAGGATAATTAAGAACAGGAGGAGAGAGAAATCCTTGTGCCTGCTTCTTTTCTGCCTGGCTGGGACCCCTCTCCCAGGTAGTTTTTTGGGAGCTGCTGCTTGAATTCCTGGGAAGAGGCATTGCTGTGCAGAGCTGTGTGTGCAGGGTGGGCTTGGCAGCTGAGCTGTGCCTGGAGCTCCCAGATTTTGGGATGCACCCCAAATCCCTCCTCCACCATGCCACTATCACCCTTAAGCACGTGCTGAACTAAAAAATCCTCATTATCTGCTGCTCAGTGAATGTGATAGAAGCTCACCTGTGTTTTCTGCTTGTGTTCTTGCCTTCGAGGCTCCAGCACTGCTCCCTCAGCAGCCCTGACCACAGGTGAGAGACTTGTGTCCACCACTACATTTGGGGCTTTTTTTTTTTTTCTGTACCTTGCTGTACTTTCACCATCCTCTGGAGGAGTTTGAAGTGCTCAGCCCCAGTCCTGTGCACTCCAAGCAGGTGTAAAATGTGGGGAAGCTGCTTCTCTCTTTGCTCTTTCTTTTGAAGAGTTGAAGGAAACAAAGGATTGGGAGATCTGAACTTCAGCACAAAGCTGAAGGGTCAGGTCCTTCCTGGGCTGGGTTTGCTCCCGGGGCTGTGGTTGTTTCTTTCAATCTGAGGAGCAAGGGATGGGCCAGGAGCTGTTTCAGGTGAAACAACTGCAGCCAGGAAAGGAGAGTTTGTGTTCTGGCCAGTGAAATGCAGTTATTGGGTGGAAAGCTCCTTCTGCTGATGGGAATGCTCCAGGGAGACCTCACTGCAGCTTTCCAGTGCCTTGGGAAAAGGAGGGAAAGGGACTTTAAATATGGGCAGGTAGTGTCAGGACAAGGGGGAATGGCCTCCCACTGCCACAGGGAAGGGTTAGGTGGGATACTGGGAAGGAATTCCTCCCTGGGAGGGTGAGGAAGGTGCCCAGGGAAGCTGTGGCTGCCCCTGGATCCCTGGAATGTCCCAGGCCAGGTTGGACAGGGCTTGGAGCAGCTTGGGACAGTGGAAGGTGTCCCTGCCCATGGGCAGGGGTAGAACTAGATCAGCTTTCAGACCCCTCAAACCCAAATCATTCCATGACTCCATGAATCTGCCTGGCAGATTGTTAATAATTCTATTAATACATAAATTTGGGCGTTTTTATTTTATTGAAGAGCACATTCATGTGCTGGAATAAAGGAACACCTCGATCTAAACACGGGGAGTGAGGGGACAGGGTGGGAGCACCTGCCAGGCTCTCTGTGGAGCTCAGGATAATTGGTGCAGTTGGCTGGCTTGCAGGTTTTTGGAAGGGAAAAGATTCCTCAGGAGTGTGTGTTGCTCTTGGCATCAACACTCAGTGAGTTCTGCTCCCCCAGCAGGAATATTTATTCCCACACAAACAGCCTGGCTGCACTTCCCTCCTCGGCTCCGTTTTCCAGGTGAATTCACAACAAATCAGCGTTTCAACATTCCCCACATCACATCTGCCTTCTGGAAGGATCCAGCTGGAAAAAAAAAAAAAAAAAATCCTATTCTATTGGTATTTGAATCCTCCTCCTCTCTCCCCTCACCCTCCTCCCCTTCCTCTCTCGTGCCTGCTTCCTGAAGGAGAAAAGAACATATCAACCCAAAGACAGCATTGCAACCTTTTCTTCCCTATCTCCCATGGGGCACAAATTGAAATTGAATTAGACAGGGATATCAGGTCTGCTCGCTGTGATAACTGTAAAAGGATTTTATTTAAAAACACCCTGACATTTGTTCACCCAGTTTCAAATATTTAGCTTTCCTCCTTTCCATTCCTGGCGGGGGCGACTTTATTAATTGTCGCCTTTGATTCAGAGTTAAAGCTTGAAAGCACTGATAACAGCACTGGGGACTATTTCTTCCAGCACCGTGGCCCACAGCAAAAGGATTTCATTTTCTTAAAGACGTTGTGTGGATACTGAGAGTTTATTAAAAAGAAGGGGGGGGGGGAAAGGAGGGGGGGAAAAAAAATCCGTCCTTACGTGCGTAATACCGGCTGTTCCTCACTGATACAGCAATATCTGATCTCCCTCCGTTTTTATATTATTTATTTTCTCTGGGCTGTTGCCCTCTCTGGATTTTTCTTTTTCTTTTCTTGGAAAAAAAAAAAAAAAAGGAAATAAATAAAAGGGAAAGGCAACTAGAATGAAAGAGCCCTGTTGACAGGAGAAAAATGGTAATTTTTTTATTTTTTTTCTCTGAAAATACTTCAAAGTTTTATAGAAATATTAACCTTTTTTTTTTTTTCCCCTTTTTTTCCTTCTTCAATGTGGTGCTGCAGAGCACAGATAAATCCAAGTGGCTGTGGCATGGGCATTTAATTTCCTTAAGAAGTTTTCTCTGCTTCACGGCAAAAAATGTTGTCTGAGACCAGGAATGTAATTGGATGATTAAAGAGAGTCATCTACATCTGGTGCTGGTTAATAAGGGCCAGGACAAGGGGAGCCTGGTGGCCCCCCAGCATTGTCCCCACGCTCTGGATAAATGAGGTGACATTAAAGGCACGAGCCCGGGGTCAGTGATTGCCTCTTATCAAAAGATTGAGGAGCAGGGACGGAGCCACGCCGGGAAAAGTGACTTTGGGATGAGATGTGGAAATTGGGAGAGCTCTGATTACAAAAGGGCTCAGCCAGGGGCTGGCTCCTGGGATTTGGGGGGAGCAGGAGGGGGGGAATGAGCCCGGCAGGGACTGGGAGCTGCTCCTGGCCTGAACTTCCAGCCCTGGGGAGCTGGGGCTGCCCAGCCTGGAGGGACAGGGCACAGAGGGGACCTCAGCCGTGTCCTTGTGCAGGGACAGGGCACAGAGTGACCTCAGGAGACATCCCAGAAATGCCTGGACACCATCCTGTGCCCTGTGCTCTGGGATGGCCCTGCTGGAGCACAGGACTGGATGATTAAAATCATCTGAAGGAGAGGAAAAAGCTGCACTAAAATAAGGAATAAATGTTCTCCAAATCCCAAATCCAAGCTGGTTTTGAGCTGGAGCAGCCACAGCTTCTCTGGGAACCATGTCCCTTTGTCCCTGTCCCCAGGCCAGGCTGAGCAGGACTTTTCCCAGGCAGTGGCCAGGGATAAATCCTGATCTCAGGACCTGTTGGGTTGCTCAGCTGATCCAGCTGCTTTCCCAAGGATTTCCACAGCCAGGTTTCCTCTTGTGCTTCAGGCTTTGCACTTTGTTTCCTCCCGAGGAATTGTGGCAGGATTCTTGCATGCAGCTTTAATAAGATGTGTTCCTGCCAACACCTCCTGATGAATGAAAGCCATTAAAAATTGAAATGACTGTAATCAAGTAATGTGATATTGTAATGTTAAACTTGTAATTAGGCCCCTGCATGTTGCTTTCTCCAGTTCTTTTTTTAAAAAAATTTCTTAATTCTTCCTTTGTGTTTATTTTGTTCAGCCCAGCCTCTTAATACAAGGTTTAGTATCTTTATTTTTTTTCCTTTATTTCTGAGCCAGCATCTCACAAAAATTCCTTTATCATGCCATCAGTTGTTGCATTTAAATAATTAGTGTCATCTTAGAGGCTGGGGGTCTGTTTGTGAGTAGAAGAATCAGAGGTAAAAAGTCTTTTTATAGTCCCAGCATCATTCTGTTGGGATTGGACTTGGATTTTAGGCAGAAAGTGCTTTGGTGCTCACAGCTGTGGGGTTGTATCCAATGGTTTCTTGTTTCCCAACAAGTGCTGTGGCTGAAAATGCTCTTTTCCTTGTGCTGGTGCATCCTGGTGCTCCTGATCTGGCAGTATCTGCTTTAACTGAGTGTGTCACTAATTAAACACCAACAGCTCCCACAATCAGGGAGGGAGCAAAGAACTCAGACAGAATCAGGCAGAACAGACTTTGTAGGGTTTTAAAATATAAATAATTAAGATCATAGAGATGAGTATGGCTTCCAAGTAAGGAAAAAGGGGGAAAAAAAAAAAGCCTTGCACATCTCCATTGAAGCCAAACCCAGATGTTTTTCTCCCTTATTAAAATATGGACTAAAAATACCACAACTTTACAGTTCTTGAATTGTTGGAAATGGTTTGCAGATGAAGTCATCAGGCTCTTTTTGTTATTATCCATCTATCCCTGTGCTTTCTGGGGACTCTCTCAGGGTATTCTGGACTCCAGAGATGACCTGGAGAAGGGAACAAATCAAGGACTTCTTTTTCCCCTGATTTTTCAATCCACAAATGAGCTGGAATTTGCTAAATTGAGTTGAGCCCTGCGACAACACACGCCTGGAAAAGGGATACACAGGAGTGAGGAGACAGAGAGAGGAAAAAAAAAAAAAAAAGAATCAAAATGCAAACTGTCCCTGGAAGTGGAGAAACAAGAATTGTTTCCTTTGCTGTGTTGTTTTCAGAGGAGTTTGCTGCTGACTGCAGCAGGGGTGAAGGGAGAGGTTTTCAGGGAGCTTTGGAGGGAACCCGTTTCCATCTAGATTTTCCTGGAGGGCTCTTTGCAAATGTGTTTGTGTTGATTGTTGTGTTGCAGGTGAGCCATCAGCTGGGCAGTGTGATGGATCTGTTCAGCACCAGCCTCTCCCTGGCGGGTGTGCAGCCTCCCAGTGACAGACAGATTGATGGCATCGACCTTTTACCTGTCATGCTGCAGGGCAGGCTAATTGACAGGTCAGTGATTATCCCAGAGCTGCCAGCCCTGCTCCTGGCTGAAGGGATGCCAAATTTAGGGCTGTTTTTTTGTTTGTTTTTTTTTTTTTTTAACAGCAGCTCACAAGGATTTAATGTAAAGTGAATGGGTGCAGCAGCAGAGCTTCCCACTGAGCTCCTGCTCCTCTGGAACAAGCTGAGCTGGGAATTCCTGACGTGTGGCATGTTGCCATACACTGGAGTCTGGGGACAGATGAAAATGTCACAGGGTTAGCAGGGATCCCTGCAACAACATATGGCAGGAGAGGAGATAAAAGCCTGAGAACTGGAGCCTGGCTAGGGGAAAATCCATTATTTATCACTGCAAAAGCTACCCAGGGTGTGCTGGGTCCTTGTCCTGCTGCAGAGCTGGGAGGTGAAGGCTGTGCTGCTGCAAAAAACACCAGGAAAATCCTCTTCCCAAGGTCCTGGATGTGGGAATGCTTCTGCAGGGGTAGATTTGAGTGAAAGATCCAGAATCTTGATGTGCTGTCAGCTCTTGGGCACAGGCAGCAAAATCTGACAGCAAATCCTGCCAACAAAGATTTTATTGGAAGTGTCAGAGGTCGAGAGAGGTCTTGGAGTTGGGATTTTGGGGAGGAATTTGGCAGCCTGGGAAATCTGACTACAATCATATTCTTTGGGGGATAGCAGGGAAACTTAAGCATGGAAAACATTTTTGGAGCTCTTTCCTTCGTTGGATGAGAGCCTTTGTGCTGTGAAATTCCTTTTGTGCCTGTTAAGCAAGGAGCACACCTGAGTGTTACCTGCCAGGAACCTTGCAGGTTCCTCAAACACAGCCTGGCCCATCTTCTGGAAGTTTGAAAAGTTTCTTTGTTGTTTTAAAAGGGAATTTCAGTGCAGTCACCAACACCTTGTTTCTGTTACAATTAGAGTTATCAAAGCACATGGTGACTTTTTTCCTTTTTTTTTTCCTTTCCTTTTTTTTCATCCCCTACGCATGACCAGGACAAAGTTTTCACGGCCCCACAAAACTTTTCCAGGAGATGCAGTTGTGTCCTAAAAGCTTACAAAGGAAAAAGTGAATGAGGGGGAAAAAGAAATAATTTATATCAGAATATTGAGTACAAGCTGGAATCCTCCTTTGAAACAGAAAATGTATTTTTTTAAAAGGAAAACACATAATAACTGGTGAAATATTGGCTGTTGATGGCAAGGAGAAGGAGACTGAAGTGCTGGAATATTTTTGGGAGGTTTTGTTGATGGCACTGGTTTAGATCAGGTGCTGACTTTGGCAGGTCTCTCTTGCTGCCTTTATTTCACTTCCAGGTGTGTTAAGGATGCAGGATTGGGCTTTTCTGGGAGCAGCTTCCCCTTCTTCCTGGGGACCAAGTTGTTCTCCCTTTGTTCGTGGTGACAAAGTTGTTTCCCCTTTGTTCCTGGTGGCAGCTCTTGGTGACAAAGGAGGGAGGCTCATTGTTACTGTGAGGCTTAAAAGAGCTCTGAGGCCACTCCTGGCATTCAGACGGGGATATTTCAATTTCACCTTGCGTTTAGGGGCAGATTTTTCCAGGTGGCATCCTCAGAGTGAGGCGTTTTGTTTGAGAAGGAAAGACAAAGGTTCCTCCTGACAGTGACAAACAGCTCCAGCCTCGTGTCCTGTCAGCAGCCCAAAGGAGCTGGAGAGAGGAGCTGCACCAACAAATCCACCCCCTTTCTGCAGATAGTCCCTTCCAAGAAAATTTTGTGCTGTTTCCTCAAAAAAAAACAAAAAAAAAAACAGGAGTGTTTTATTGGGAAAACCAACAAGAACCTCGCTGGGATGCCCAGGGAACAGCACAGATGCAGCGAGTGAGATGCATTTCCTGGCTGAATTATTAATTAGGGAAACCTCTGGGAACAAATGCAGCTTCAGCAGCGTGTTTACATGCTGCAAAGTGAGGTTTGAGGGGGGGGGAAAAAACGGAGAGGAATTAAAACCACAGCATGTCTGGCTGCCAGCTTTTTCCATGTGGAGTTTCTCAGAGATGTCATCCAGCATCTGGTGTCCTCGTGGCCACCCTGCCTGTGTGACACTGGCAGAGCTGGGAACAGGAGCTGAGCATCCCAGAGCCCCTGAATCCACTTTTCCCTCCCAGCCAGGCACTTGAGAGCTGTTTGACGTTGAAGCTGCCACGCTCCAGAGGAAATCCCAGGGGCTCAGAGTTCAAGGATTAACAATCCCTGGCAGCCAAGCTGGATAATGTTTCATTCTTGCACCGTGTGAGCTCTCAACTTGATGAACACTTTAAGAAATGTTAATTGAAAACCTTGCAGAGGAGACTATTAGGAGGCAGCCTGCTCCTGCCTGATATCCACATGGGAAGTGGGATGCCATTATGGGGTTTGTGGCCTTTATCAGGAGCCTCTTGGTGTTTCTCATGCAGCTCTGCTCTCCTTCCAGGCCCATTTTCTATTATCGTGGTAACGAGCTGATGGCAGTGAGAGCTGGGCTTTACAAAGCTCACTACTGGACCTGGAGCAACTCCTGGGAGGAGCACAGCAAGGTAATGGCACAGGGGTGTGTCCTGGGGTCACTGGCATCCTGGGGACAGACACCTTTTAAACTGGGGGGTGTCACCGTGCTTCAGTCTCCCCAGAGCTCCCAGAGCTGCTGTGCAGGTTTCTGCTGGAAATCAGGAATATTTGTGCCCCAAAAGGGCTGCCCAGGGAGGTGGTGGAATCCCAGTCTCCCTGTTTAACTGCAAATATGGATGTGGCACTTGGGGACATGGGTCAGTGGTGGCCTTGACAGTGCTGGGGGAACGATTGGATTCGATGATCTTAGAGGATATTCCAACCTAAATAATTCCATGATCCTAAAAAAACTAATGGGACTGGATCCCCTTCTCCTGAAATCGGGGACAAAGAGAGGAAAATGAGCAAATTCCAAGTTGTTCTAAGGGATGCTCCCTTTAATCATCACTTAATTCCCCTTAATATTAAACCTTCCCTGCTGAATTCTGAGCTTTTAGATGTTCACCTGTGGTTGGACTCCCTGATCCTTTTGAGTTCCCTTCCAACTCGGGATATTCTGTGATTCTGGGAAAGTCTGGAGCTTGATGCCACACTGACCACGAGTCTCACAACTCCTGAGGCCTCTTTGGAGCTATTGAACTGGAACTGGGATGAGTTTGTTGGGTTTGTGATGGTTTAAAAGGAAAGCTGTAGGAAAGGCACGGTGGAAAATACAGCACTGGTTGAAAACAGTAAAATAAATGTGTTTAATCTGTTATCAGCACTTCCGTGAGCCCACATCACACTATGTGTAACATTTTATTTATTTTACTTATTTCCTGGCTGATCACAGATGTTAAGCACTATTATTTCCTTTTCTTTTTGTGTCTTTCTTGGCTCTAAACTCTGAGGCATTTGCTGAGTGGCAGCTTCACACGTGTGCCTTGCTGCAGATCCCTTCAGACAGGAACCCAGAGCTCTCAGCAATCCTGACAGCAGCCTGGGCTCGGGGAGGGATTGTTTGCATTATATTTTTTTTATGCTTTTTTTTTTCGTTTTCTTTTTTTTTTTTTTTGAACTTATGGAAGGTCCTCAAGGCATCACAGGTGCAGAACTAAGTGCTGGTGACATTTGTGGATATAAAAGTGCAGGGATTCTTTCATTGGGATGTCCTGGGGGTAGAAGGAAGCTTCAACTCCAAGGGAGTCATTTCCATTCAGGGCTGTAAATGTGTGTGTTTGTCTTTTTTCAGACTGCAGTGCTTCAGGAGTCAAAGCTTGTTTTACAGGGAGCAAGGAGGAAAGGAAAGTTGGCTCTAGAGATGTATTTTATGCTCTGTCTCAGTGCTAATTCCACACAGATAAAATGAGATCATTTATTTGTCTTGTGTGTGAGTAAAACCTGTTTATCACCCGTGGAGGGTTTTCCCTGGGTGGGAGGAACTGGGAGCTCCTCTGTGTGTTTGGGTGTAGGGGTGGCCTCCTGCTCTTCCCACTGGAATTCTTGCTCTCTGTGGTGCTAAAAGCCACATAGCCACACTTCCAGTTGGAAAATAAAGAAATAAATCCCTGCACAGAACTCAAGTTCTTCCTGCATCTCTGAGTGTGTAACAGTGATAATGGGGACCAGCTACTCCTTCCAGAGCCTCTCCCACTGTGAGCAGTGGCAGTGCTGCAATTAAGGAATATTTATTTCTTTCCAAGTCTTTGTTTAACTGCTGTCTGATAAAAGTCAGCAATTATCCTGAACATCAGAGAGACGATTACAAATCCACTCTCTTTCCTGCAGCTTGGATCACATGAGCTTGATGTGGGGAAAATTGGAGCACATTAGTGGCCAGAGCAGCCATTAACAACATGCAGAGGAAGCTGAGGCTGAGATTTGTTCCAATTCTCCTCATGTCCTCGAGCCATTAATTACAAACCTCACAAGTTTAAAAATAGAAATAAATCAGAATGCAGAGCAGTTGCACAGCTCCCAGCCCTGCTGGAGGAGTTTCTAAGCTCACCTTCCAGCACAGTTCCCTCTTTCAGTGACTGGGCTTCCCAGCTGTGTTGATATTGGACTCTGGAATCAAAAAGGCCACTTTGTTTGCTAATTCCATTTGAAAAACAACTATAAATCCATGCACATCTGTGGCATTTGGAATTCTGACTGTTGGCCTGTTTGTTCAATAAGGTTGATTTGCCATCCCAGTAGAACTCCAGCTAATGAGGATTTGTTAATTGTATGGTCTTTAGAGGTCTTTCCTCCTTGTGAATCCAGTGAGACTTCCAGATATGAAACTCTCTGTGTGAAGGTGCCCACTCACACCTGGAATTTTCTTGTCATCCATTGGAAAGAGAGCTGAAGTTGGCCAGATGTGGCAAAACAGCTGCCTGTACAATTTGAAGAGGTTTGTTTTATGGGTAGGTGAATATTTCATGATTTTGACAGACAGGGTTTAGCCAGCTCTCCTTTCACTTTCAGAATTCCCTTGGTATCACTGATATAGAAAACTTGCCCTGGGTTTAATCCACATTTTTGTTCAACTTGCAGATGAGATTATCTCATTAAAGCAGCCAGAACCCCATTTTCATGCTGATGAAACTGGAAAATGGGGAGCTGGTGCCTGTCCTGGATCTGTTTGGGATGACCAGGATGGGGAGGGAGGATGTGGCCCCTCACCTGGAAAGCTGTGTTTGACTGGGGTGTGAGTTAGTTCAGTAATAAAGGATGTACACACAAATAAAAATGTACCAGGGAGACACAGCCTGCAGAAAGCCCAGCCTAGCAAAGCACAACAGGGCTCTGAAGGCTCCTCTCCATCTGGCACTCGGAATATTTACTCTGGAAACATCCCATGCAGGCAGCACACAGGTTTCCAGTCATCTTCCAGTCCCATGACAGCAACATGCCCTTACTGGTCTGCATCCTCTGCCTTATGGCCTGGGATTAGGAACTTGTCATCTGACACACAGATGAATTGTGCTGTTCTGTTCATCCCAGGTTTTGTTTGTTTATTTTTTAACCCCCAAGCCATTTTATTTTTCTAGTCTGACTCCTGTCAGGAAATCTTGTAGTCTTTCTCAGTGCTGGAGGATACCTTGATGGTGCCTTTTCTGCTGGATTAACTGGATTTCTTGATTCTTGAGGGGGTGGTCTCTTGAAAGCATAAAGGGAAGGCTCACTGCACAGAATCAAGTGGGAGTAAGCATTTTGTGGGACATTTTCCCTGAGGATTGCACAGGATGCTTATTTGGAGCTGTTTACCTGCCTTCCATCTATATAGGTGGCTCATGTTTACATAATTTGACATCTCTGACATTCAAGAGGTGATAAATGGGACAGAGAGAGATGAAAGGAAGCCTGACTTGAAAAATGTGTTTGTATTTTTAAACAGTTTGATAGAGGCAGAAAAATCTCCCTCCTGCACACGAGCTGAGTCCCTGGTGCTCTAGCACTGGTGGATATCAAGATTTTCCATTATCGTTCACCTTTTTTTCCTTTGTGGCAAAAATCAGCAGTGATAAAAATAACCACGTGTGCAGGAGCAAAGGGAGAACTGAGGAGAAACCTGGGGAGATCCCTCTTGGACAGTGAAAACACACAGGACTTTTACTGGCAGTCACCTGTAAAATGCTGGGGTTTTTTGAAAAATAAGGAGGGGAAAAGAAGTGTTTTCTATAAATTTACCAGAGTAGGCAGCAAGTCCTCAGGAATTTCCTAATTTTAGTGCTGCACAGGAGGAGGAAGGAATGGGAAAAGAAAGGAAAGGAAATTTCCTTTTCTCTGCCTGCCACCAAGAGCATCCAGCACAGAGCAACCCTTGTACCTCCCAAGAGCACTGATGCTAGAAGAGGGAAAAAAAAAATAATGAAGGGAAAAACGTGGAAAACGCCCTTTGGTTGTGGGAGAGGGGCTGATAACATCAACCTTTGTGCTGTCAGCTTCTTGGGAGCCTGCACTGGGATTCCTTGAAAGGAGGCGCTGCCATTGTTTTAATTCGAAATGCCAAAGGGGTTATTCCAGTCAGGCTCTGCCATTGCCCTTCTCCTCCACGTGAAGGGATCGATAAAGCCTTTTCTGCAGCGGGCATGTGAAGTCAAGTAGAACCTCACAAATAATGACATTTCATTGTGGTGCTCTGAGCATATGAAGCAGGCATCGATCCCAGCCCCATCTCCGGGGGCTGCTCATCTCCGGGGGCTCTTCCAGCCTCTTAACACATTAGAAGCAATTCTGGGGGCACGGGCTTGAAGTTTGGCACCCACTCTTAGAGCTGGCTGCTCATCCCAAAGGAGAATTGCACTGGGAATGGCCGGGAGGGCGGGGACACCTTTATTACCTGTGCAAAAAAACAACATTGCAGGCTTCAATCACCAGCTGCGCTCTGCTCCTTGCAGTGTGAGGCTGCTTTTGGTGCCCTGGGTGGTGCTGGTGGAGCGAGGAGAGCAGAGCTGGGCTGGGGTGGCTCCTGGCAGCCCGAGCTGCTGGGCTGGAGCCAGGCTGAGGAATTGCCAGAGGGCTCCCGTTAACACAAGTGGTGATTCCATCTCTTGGCCAGGAGCCCAAACTGGCAGCCGGCTGTGTTTGTCTCATGTCTGTATTGACACAGCATCTGTGGGCCATTTGCTCTGGAAATTAAAGCTGTGCAACCAAAGGCTGCTGCATCCCAGGGATGGAAAAACAACCCTGTGTGATTGCTGAGAAAGGACAGGGCTGGGGGTCGCTGGAAGGCTCACCTGGTGGGCAGGGAATGTTATGGTTTCATCAGAATAATTGGAAGAAAGGATGGTTGGAATCTCTCCTGCAGCAAACAGGTTTCTGTGGTGGTGTAAAAACACTGTAAGAGCTGGGCAGGAGCTGAGCTGCTCTTGGTGCTCTGTATGGGCTCCCCTGGAAGGCAGGAGATGCCCCAGACAGGAGCTCCTGGTTTGGATTTCAGGCTTTTGTGACAGGGGAGAAAAGCTCCAAGAAGTTTGCTGGAACACAGCGAGTGACCTTCGTGCTGTGTTTGATCAGTGAGCCCTGCACATCCCAGAATCCTGGAGGGTGGAAAAGCCCTGCAGGGTCATGGATCCAACCTGTGACATCCAGTCCTTCCCTGAGCCCCTCCAGGGATGGGAACTGCAGGCATCACCTTGGATAGGGAGCAGGGACAAAAAACCAGGAATGTGCTGAAATTATTGATCCTTTCATGTTGCTGTGAACAGTCTGACAATAAAAAGCTTTCAGGGGTAACAGCAGAGTGGATTTGGGGGGTGTTATCCTGGTGGGTAGGACAGGCTTGGGCAGATCTTGGCTCTTTTCCAGCTCCAGACATCACCAAGCCTGCCTAGACAAAATAAATAATATTGAATTTTATTTATTTATATCCTTTTTTTTACTCATTTGCTGATGAATAGAAAATCCTTGAAACTCTCTCTGCAGGTTAAATATCGACTCACAGAGTACATAAAAATAGCAATATTCCATTTTATTTGCAGGGATAAAGTTGAAATACCTTAGAAATGTCCTAAAAAGGTATTCTTGGGGGTTTTATTTATTTCCCTATTTATTTATTTATTTATTTGACTTTTCTCTACTAGACTGCTTTTCAAGAGGGTGCTTAAATTAGAGTGACAGGTAGCTTTGGGGGCTGATGGCTTTAGGCAAATTGTCCCAGCACTTTTCTTTCCTGGGAATTTTTTGGGATTGTGTTGCAGAGTCTGGGCTCCAAGGATTTCCTAGGAAACACAAGATAAAACAGAAACAGAGCAATGTCTAAACAAACACCCCAGAGAGGAAAATCTTTCACACTGAAGCGTTTGCAGCCGAGGAGCATTGTACCAATTAGCAGGCTCTTAATTAAATTGCTTGTTTGATTTGCATCCAAATTATAATTTGGATGTTATAGAGGCTTTGATACCTTTTCATTAACTGGTCCTTTTGTGGGGAAAAAAAAGCCCACAAAAATCTCTTTTCCCTGTGTGTTTCAGAGGCCTGTGGCAGCACAGGGTGGGAAGGTCAATCAGTTTTGTATCCATTTAAAGTCCATTATTGGTAGGGCCACTCCAACCTATCAAGCAACTCCTTTATTTTTCCAGTCAGTGATTCAGGAATCTATAGCCCTGTGCAGATAAATGGGATTTCATGGGCTTCTAAACTTCTTGCTTTATTGAAAAGCAGAATATTAACTGCTCCACTGACCAGCTGTCCATTAAAAACACGGGGTATTTTTAGAAAATTGTTTGCCAATCAAATCCTACCAACATCTGTAGAGAGCCTTTTCAGTTTGTTTTCTAAGCAAATGCTACAACTGCTTTCCCACTTCCATTGAAACATTCCCATTTACCTGCTCTCCCTGTCTTGGGGCATTTTGGGATTGTGAGGAGCAGCTGGAATTGTAAAACCCAGCTTTAACAAGTCCAGTTGGGGCCAGGCCTTGCTGGGCTGGGCTGGGCTGGGCTGGGGGGCCCTGCTTTATTGCCTGCCCAGGGAAATGAGTTTTGCATTTTTGGCTCTTGCTGGGGTTTCACTGGGCTCTGGTGCCCACTGAGAGATTGCCAGGAGCTGTGCCCTTCAAATCCAGGACAAATCCCACCTTGTGCCCCCACAGAAACAGGAATGTGGGAATGTCTCCACTTCCTACACTATTTCCATCCCCATGTCATGCCCAGGTGAGTCCCTCAATACCAGCTTGCCTTGCCTCAAATTGAAAACACACCAGGTTTTATAAAATTAATCAGATTTGCTTCATTTCTCAGAGACACTGATCCTTCAGGTGCTGGCAAGGGAGTTTTCAGGTGCCTGCTGCCTCTCAGGGTGTCTGGATTCCTCTCCTGGGGTTTTGGTTTTGATCAGAAGTGCCAAGTGATCCCATCTTCCTGGGCCTTCCAAAGCAAAAAAATCCTTTCCACGTGCAGAATTTTTATGATTAAATGCTTCCACCTCTTTGTCTTTTGTTCTGCCATTTCATTTTAATGAATATTTTATTGGGATTATATTTTTATAAGACAAGAATGCACGTCCTTACTTCAGCTCTTATGTCAGTGCAACACCCCTTGCTCACCTTATTTCACCCCACCAGCTCAGAATGTGTTTTAGAGATTGAAGTGGTGGTTTAAAATAATCCTGAGGTTTGTAGGTGTTTTGCTGGAGAAAGTGGCATCAATTCAAGTTTAGCTGCATCACTTTTGGTGACCTCTCTCCTTTTTCCTGCAGGGCATTGATTTCTGTCCTGGCCAGAGTGTGGCTGGAGTGACAACACACACCCAGGAGGAGCACACTTACCTGCCCCTGCTCTTTCACCTGGGCAGGGACCCTGGTGAGAAGTACCCTTTAAGGTGAGCCATTTCATGGGGTTTCATGAAAACACAGCAGTGGCAGTGTTCAAAATTTATTTACTTTGGTAGCTGGTTCTTGAAATCTGCTGAAAAATTGTCCCAGAAAGCCATGCTGGGAAATAGTGGCTTTGCTGCTGACTTTTTCTCAGAAAAAAAAAGACCAAACCTCGTTTTGGTGGTCAGGTGAGATGGGTGTGCACGTGGACTTGTCAGCCTGGTTGTTCCTGTTCTGTGTCCTGCAGCCCCTTGGGGAGGAGGAAAACACCAATTTTTGGACAGGCCAGGGGCTGAGTGCAGCCCATTCAAGCAGAGCTGCTGTGCCTTGGAGCTGGGGGTTTTGGGGCCAGGGGAGAAACAGCCAGTGCTGTGTGGTGCTGGAATCTCTGCAGGGCAGACTGGGACTGAGCTTCTCCAGAGGGTTTTTAGCAAGAGGACTTTGTGCCCAATCCTGCTCCTTCCTCGGGCTCTCCTGCCTGTCTGAATCCATTTTCCTCTAAGCCTGCTATTGTAATATTTATCTCTGGCACACACCATGCCCTGAGAGATTCCCACAAGGATTTATGCAGCCAGCAGAGCCCACAAAGAGCCCTGGCACCTCCAAAAAACACTCCCAAGGTGTCCCCACCTCCCTCCTTCCCTGCAGCAAATCCAGGGACACTCAGCCTCGTCCCTCAGCAGTGGCTCTGACAGGGACAGTGTGGAAATAAATCAAGAGGGAACAAGTGCTGCTGGGGCTGCCTGCCCACAACTGGGCTTGTGCAGCAGCCTGGAGAGGCAGAGATGTTTCCTGAGCTGACAGGGCTGCAATTACTCAACTGGTTTGAATAATTGAGTGGACACACTGAGCCCATTCCTTCCAGAGGAGCTGAGCCTGTGCTGTCCACTGAGTGTTTTCACTGGAGAGAGGAGGGGAGGGAAAATATTTCCATTCTCTGTCTCGTTTAACAGAGCACTTTAGAGGTGCATCAGCAGTGGGTAAAGCTCTCTGGGAGCTCTGCTCCCACTGCATTCCAGCACTAATGAACCAAGCACAGCTGCAGCTCCAGGGCTGTAAATACAGCTCAGAGAAACTAAAGTGGGCTGGGATTGCAGGTGAGAGCCAGGCAGTTTAACAACTGCTTTATTTCCCAAGGGCCTGCAGTGCCAGGACACAGGGAATGGCTTCCCACTGCCAGAGGGCAGAGCTGGATGGGATACTGGGGAGAAATTCCTCCCTGTGAGGGTGGGCAGGCCCTGGCACAGGTGCCCAGAGCAGCTGTGGCTGCTCCTGGATCCCTGGATGTGTCCCAGGCCAGGTTGGATGGGGCTTGGAGCAGCCTGGGACAGTGGAAGGTGTCCCTGCCCATGGCTGGATGAGCTTTGAGGTTCCTTCAAACCCAGACCATTCCAGGATTGTGTTTTGGGAAATGAGTGTATAGAAAGAATCCATTTTTCCAAAAATTAACAAAAATGGGCAGCAGCAACTGAACTGCATCTTGCCTGCTGTGTGTGTCACCTTTGTCACCTGCTTCAGGTGACCCTGCCTTGCCAGGGGATGATTTCTAGAACTCCCAACCCTAAATACTTTGTGATTTTGGGATTCTGTGGTACTGTTTGTGTTTCCTCTGGGTTTGAGGAGCTCTCCCCTCAGAGGTGTTTGCAGCACCTGCTTCCCTGTGGTTCCACTGTTCCTTCCCACCACCATGGAGTGAGCATTGAAATAAATTCCAGGCTTCCAACTGCAATCATTTCTCATATGGTTGCATTGATTTTTTGGATATTCACAAGCTGTTGCCTTGATTGAATTTTATGGCAAGATTATGACCCGATTATGGAGAGCTGTGCTGGTGTTTATTATGCAGCCCCTAATAGAAACCCTCTTTTTAGCAAACCACTCTGCCTTTCTCCAGCACATTCTGCTGCTATTGTCTCCTCTCTGGTCACAATGGAAAACTCATGGGAAGTGGGTCTCCTCTATCGAATGTGGTAATTAAATTATCCTCATTTGTGGAGCTGTTCCTGGTGTGTATTTTTATTTAGCTTAATTATCCCCCTTGGCAGGGAGCCTGCTGGGAGTCCCCACACTAATGTTTCTCCAAAGGGAATCCAGCATCCTGCTCCCAGCCTGCATCTGTCTGTCCCTACGTGCTGGCTCTGCTCTCCCTGCCTGCTTTTGCTCACTTTTTATTACATTTATTCCTTATTTAGTGCAGCCTTTTCTTCTCCCTCCAAATGATTTTAATAATCTGTCATCTCTCTGGATTTACAAGGAGTTTGGAGTGGGGTCACGTGCAGAGCCACCAGCAGTGGGTGTCACTGCTGCTCAGGAGGGCCTGGCATCACATGCACCTCCAGAGGGATTTGCTGCTTCTATATTTGGGATTTCAGAGCCAGGGAATCCCAGGAATCAGCAGCAGCACCCCTGATTTGTAGGGTGGTGACACTGCACATGCAGGACACACAGAGACAGTTCTGCAAGGCTGCAATTTTATAGATTCGGGGAATATTTAATAATATTCATAAATAATGTTTAATATTTAATAATAAATATTTGTATTGGACCCTTAGGACCATCAAGTGCCATTAACTTGGCCCTTCCAAGCCCACCACTATTTGGGTCAGCTCATGGAGGCTGGAACAAGATAAAATTTAAGGTCTCTTCCCATTCAAACCATTCCATGATTGATATTCTATATTAGGAAGATGAGTTGATAGAAATAACTCATTTTTCCAAAAACCAAACAAAGCTTTTTAGTTTTTGTTGAAGTGGCTGCTAAAAGGATCCCTGAAGATGCAAGGCCCAGCAGGGAACATGTTCAGCTCTGGGATTTTTGGTGAGGCAGGACAAATCCTTCCTCTTCCTCATACTGTTCATTGCATTTCCTGGGGTCTGCCTGCAAAAAGGAGCTCCCTTTTTCCCTTTCCATGCAGTGAAAAACTGCTCAGGCAGTTGCAGACAGGTCCTGGCAGTGTGTGGGGACAGGTCCTGGCAGTGCTGAGCACCCTGCCCTGGTGTTCCTGGGAACAATCCCAGTCCCAGGCTGGCACTTCCCTTCCTGCTGCTGCCCCTCTGGATTTGGCTGGATCCCCCCCTGCCCCCCATCCTCTGCCAAGGGACACAGTTGTGTGTTTGCTCCTTTGCCTTGAAATGTCATGGAATTCCCATTCATGGAATGCTGGCATGGTTTGGGTTGGAGGAACCTCAGAGCTCATCCAGTGCCACCCCCTGCCATGGGTAGGGACACCTTCCACTGTCCCAGGCTGCTCCCAGCTCCATCCAGCCTGGCCTGGGACACTGCCAGGGATCCAGGGGCAGCCACAGCTCCTCTGGGAATTCCATCCCAGCCCCTCACCACCCTCCCAGCCAGGAATTCCTGCTCAATATCCCATCCATCCCTGCCCTCTCTCCATTCCCTGTGTCCTGTCCCTCTCCAGCTCTCCTGGAGCCCCTTTGGACCCTTTTGTAGGAGTTACCTCATCCTTAGTGGTGAGAAGTGAATCCTTTGTGCCTTTTTTGTCACCTAGATCAGAAAATCTCTCTTTTTTAATAGCTCTCAACTTTAGCTAAGAATGTGTTGGGCAGCACAGAAAGCAGAAGCATTTCCCTGAGTCTGGGCTTTTGTTTCCTGCCTGGATGCAATAACTGCCCTTGTTACCAAATTTATCCAAATGCAGAACTAAAAGATCTGATAGGTTTTTTCCTTGGCCAGATTCTGTTATCTTTGGGCTGTGGTGTGTGTGTGCTAAGTACCACAGAGGGAACTTGTTTCTCCAATGTGACAAATTCAGTAAAATTATCTGTTGGTGCCATCTCCACAAGCAGTTGTCAGTTTTATTATCTGAGTCAGATTATTGTTTATACAGACATTTACTGAAATACTGCATTGCCAGTCAAGAAGAACACAAAGATTTTATATATATATATTTATATATATATCTAAAAAGCAAAGCTGGCACAGCTGAGAAATACAGTTAGTAAAATACCTAATGCAGCCTGAAGTAGAAAAAGTCTTTTGAAGCCAAAGAATTTATAAAAGCAATCTCTGAAATGCTGCCAGTTTGAGCCAGAGGTGCAAAGCTTAATAACAAGTGAGGACAGGGTAAGTGCAGCCTGCTCACACCTTGTTCTTACTCCAGGTTTGTAGCAGCTTCTGCTCTGAGCAATGAGTTTATTGAATTATGAACATCAAAATTCCTGTGTTTTACTTAGGGCAATGGATTTTACTATTATGGAAGAAAATGGAAGTGATAAGGCTTGGTTGATGAACATAATGATTTTAGAACACATTAATTAAGAAGAGAGCTCACAAGTGCCTATTTCGAGCAGATGGAAAATTCAGGAAATCATCAGAGAGGTAATTGCAGTGGTTATGGAGCCAGAAAAAAAAAGGGAAGGAGCTCCTGAAGGGAAGCTGAAGGGGAAAGGATCTGATAGAAAAGTTGCCAGTCTCACCTTAGTGCTCAGGGCACAAACCTGGCTGTGGGGAAGAGAGAGAAGGTGCAAAACAGGGGGAAAAAATGTGAATAATAACAAAGAGCAGGGATTGTGCCCGGGGGAGATGCTGACTCCTCATCCTGGAAAAGGGGGAAATGGTACCAGCTGCATTGCAGGGCTGAACTGGCAGCTGCCACAGGAGAGCTGACACTAAAAGTGGGGAAATTGTGGCTAAGGAGCCTCAGAGGTGGCAATAAAAACCAGGGAGCACCAAGCTGGATGCAGCAAGGTGAGAAAGGTGGGACTGGTAGAGAGCCAGCTCAGAGGGGAGAGGGGGAATTAAAATCCACCTTTTGGAGTGGATTTTAATGAGAATCATCAGCCTGGAGTCTGGGAATGGACACAAACATGTCTGGGTCCATGGCTGCCCTTTCCCAGTCTCTGGAGCCAAGCTGGGGCTCAGCCAAGCTTCATCAGCCCTCAGGTGTTCTGGGTGGAGTGATGCTGCATCAGGAGGAGTATTGGGAGAAAAAAAGCTGCACAAACCAGCTGGAAAAAACGCAAAAATGCAGTTTGACATGGATGTCATCATCTTCATCATCTTCATCTTCCTCAGAGACAGGACCAGGCAGTGCTGCAGCCACAAGAAAGTGACCTGAAGAGCACAGTACAGAAATTGTGATTCAGGAATGGCACTGAAAATGAAATTTCAGGAATAGCAGAGGAGCAGCCAGCAGGGGATCAGTGGATAGCTGTTATTTCCTGTCACCTGTTCACACCCAGATGCAGGCTTTACTATTCCCTCTACCTTTATCCCCTTTGCCATTTCAGTGCTGGGGTTCCTGGCACTGAAATCCAGCAGGAAGGCAGGATTCTGGGAGCTGGGGAGGGAAAAGTTCCATGGAAATGAAAAGGTGAGCAGGTGGAGGATCAGCACCATCACATCTCCTTGCTGCAAGGAGTGTGCTCATCATCCCAGCTTGGGCTCTCAGCTCCTGGGGGCCTTTTCCAACCTCAGAGATTCTGGAATTCCAAAGTTTCCCGTGGCTCCAGGGATGCATCTGGGTCCCAAAATGCTGCTGGACCAGAGGTGGCTTGGGGTAAGAGCCACCCTCAGCCTTCGACTCCTCATTTATTTTCCTTTGGCTCCTCTGAGTCTCTCCAGTAATTCCAGCAGCAGAGCCCCAAACCTGTCTCTGCCTCCTGCATTGTGCAGACCTTAAATTGCAAATAAACTTGATAATAGAAGAGAGGAACTGAGGAAGACTGAGTAATAAGACTTGGATACCACAGTGCTGCGAAGCCTCAAAGCACTGATAACAGATAAAATCAAATTATCAGAATCTGGGTGTATTTCACAATTAAAAATAATGGTTTTAATTAAAATAATTCCAGGGGAGAGGGAAGTAAAGTATCATTAGCCACGTTTTATGCTCTTCCCATAACTTCATATCAATCTGAGAGCTGCTGTTCCTAGAATCATGGAATCCTGGAATGGTTTGGATTGGAGGGGGCCTTTAAAGCTCATCCTGTTTAAAGCTCATCACCTGTCACTAAACCAGGCTGCTCCAAGCCCTGTCCAGCTTGGTCTAGAGCCCTTTGTCAGGTGCCTGTGAATCCCACGATGGGATTTTTTTATAATATTTTGTTGCAGTCCTCTCAGTTTCACCACGGCCCCATCACTCCCAGGACAGAAACTGCTCTGTGAATGAGCAGGACGAGGTGTAAAACATCCTGAAATCCTAGAGAAAACACTCCTGGATTTGTTGGGGTGCCGATCCATTTGAGGGTGCATTTAATGATGGCAGAGAAGGATGGCCCAAGGAGCAGAGGATGAGAGCAGAGCTTTAGCTGTGTGTCAGACAAACCCTCCTCCCCGCAGAGCTGCATTTGCTGCGAGGCCACGCTGGGGTTAAGCAGCAGAGCAGGTTCCAGGAGCTGTGGGGGGAGGATGGGAGCAGATTGCCAAGGCACAATTACAGTAAATGAAGGAAGCACAGCCCACACCTGTGCCTGGGACCCCGAGCTCCAATCCAGCCCTGATTGCATCTCCAGGGACTTCCCGGAGGTAAAGTGTCAATTAGTGTAATGACCCTGGACTTTGTCCACTCTGCTCCTCTGCTTCTGAGCGTGGAATAATTTCATGGACGCTGGGGGATCTCTTTTAGCAAACTCCTCACAACACCACCTGCTCACCCTCTCATTCTTGCACTGCTATTCCCAGCTCTCCTTGCTGGGATTGCTGAGCTGGAATACGAAATGCAGCTCGCCCCCGAGGCAGCATCCTCACAGACAATGGTGCCCAGACACCTGTACAGATAATTCCAGCTCTTTTTGGAACAGGGAATGCAGCAAACCTGGCCTTGCAGCCCAGGCCTGCATATGCATTCCAGGAAAGGATGGGACTCCAGGTAGGAGAGGTTCCCACCTCCCTTAACAGCTCACACTGATTACCATGAGGTAATTATCCCTATTTTGCATGCAAATTCCAGGCACTTTTGCAGATTTTGTCTCAAAATGCACTTGCTTAGGGCTGGAGGCAGTTTTAACTCCTGTGCAGTCAGTAAATGCTTCACAAATCCGTGGATTTGTGGGATTTTGAGGCATGTTGTGGAGATGAACAGAAATATCTGAGAAAAAACTGAACCATGGAGCCAAGGCAGGAAAACCAACCCCCATGGAATGGGGATATCCACGGGGTCAGGAAAAGAAAACCAACCTGCATGGAGCAGGGTTAGGTGGGATATTGGGCAGGAATTCCTGGCTGTGAGGGTGGGCAGGCCCTGGCACAGGGTGCCCAGAGCAGCTGTGGCTGCCCCTGGATCCCTGGCAGTGTCCCAGGCCAGGTTGGATGGGGTTTGGAGCAGCCTGGGACAGTGGGAGGTGTCCCTGCTATGGCAGGAGGTGGAATGAGATGAGCTTTAAGTCCCTTCCAGCCCAAACCATTCCAGGATTGTCAGATTCTATGAAATTCAGGAGCTTTTCAGGATACTCCGGATTTCGGGGTGGTCCTTCAGCTCTCTGCAGCAGGATCCATCCAGCTGGGTGTGAGAGCAGCAGCTCCAGCTCCTCATCCCACATTCCCTTCCGGCTCTCTATCAGCCCAGCCCCACAATCAGCCTCTCCCTGGCTGCCTGCCGAGCTGGGATATTTATAGGGTTTACTGGAAGAGCTTGGCACATCGCTGGCCTTCCAAATGGGATTGTTTTGCAAAGAAGGAAATTAGCTGGAGTGTGGGGCTGGTGGCCAGCTTGGCCTGGGAGCAGAGAGAGCCCGAGGTCAGGACCCAGCTGCATTGTTTCTTTTATCTTCAGAAGGAATTTGCAGCTCTCTGTGGGGTTTTTGATGTTGGGGTTTTTTTTAAGTGACTCTTAACGTGATGGACAAAGAGAGATCATTATTAGGAATCCTGCTTTTTAGAAATACTTGAGATATTAATGAAGTGCACCCTGAAGCACTGCAACAAATACCTGCTGGAGGAATCCATGGGTCAGGATCTGGTCATTTCTAACCTCATTGGGGGCATGGCAGACGGGTCCCAGCTTGGAATAATCAAGCTGTAATGGAAGAATGTGGATGGGGCAGAACCTCAGCATGCTGTGGAATGGGGGAGGTATTCTCGTCTTGGACAAGGCCCTTCTATTCTTCTCTCTGTTTGCATAATTTGAGTTCATTTCCTTGGTGGTTGTGGAGTTGAACTGGCCCGGGGTTGTGTTTGAAAGCCTTCCTGAGAACACTCTTGTAAAACAAAATATTGACATTCCCTTCCTTCCCTGCACCAAACGCCTCTGCCCGGGGCAGGTGTTCCAGGAGAGCTCTTGGAAGAGTGGGGGATGAGTGTGGAGAGCTGCTGACCTCAGGTGGGACACGCTGGAAAGGCTGGCCTTGGGAAATTTCTGTCCTGAGCTGTCTGGGAAAGTGTTTGTCCTGTGTCTGGGAAGTCTCCCCTGGTAATCATTGAAGGGACAGCTCAAGGACAACCCAGAAATGCACTTTTATTTGCTAAGACAATTCCCTAGGGAATCCACATGAGCTCCTAGCAGATCTGCACGAGGAGGAAACATTCAGGGCCCTGGAGCAGCACTTTGGAAAGCTGAGCTGCTCTGGATCCAGGTGATTTCTGGGGAGGACAAGGCACTGCCATCCCTGCCCTAAGCAGAGCACCTGCACCCTGCCAGCCTGCATTCATTCCCTACACACCCCCGGGCAGCTGGCAGGATGTTTGCACATCTCCTCCTCCCTGAGGCCCAGGGAGAGTCTTGTGGGCCAGCCTGGTGATGTGGACAGCAAAGTGAAGCCCCAGCAGTAACCCCTGTGCTTTTCCCCTGCAGTTTTGCCAGTGAGGAATACCAGAGGGCTGTGGAGCACATCTCAGGGCTGGTGCAGCAGCACAAGGCCAGCCTGGTGCCAGGCCAGCCCCAGCTCAACGTGTGTGACCAGGCTGTCATGGTGAGTGCCTAAAGCACAAATGCACTGGGGAATCTTTGGGTTCAAACACGTTTTGTAAAGGTTTCATAAAATGTCAGTGTTGGGAAGAGATGCACGGTCACCTGTTGGTGGCTTCCTTGCTTAGAGACAGAGCAGATCCTTCTTTTCCTTCCTAATCCCCTTTTGCAATCCCCAAAATCGTGGAAACAAGGAATCCTGCAATGGTTTGGGTGGCAAGGGATCTTAAAACCCATCCAGTGCCACTCCTGCCATGGGCAGGGACACTTCCACTATCCCAGGGTGTTCCAATCCCTGTCCAGCCTGGCCTTGGACATTTCCAGGGATCCAGGGGCAGTCACAGCTTCCCTGGGCACCCTGTGCCAGGGCCTCCCCACCCTCACAGGGAGGAATTTTTTCCCAATATCCCAATATCCCATCCATCCCTGCCCTCTTTGTTTTGAGTCCTCTATGGGACAATTTTCAGTGATGTATCTTTGTTCTTGCTCTGTCTCCTCCAATTCCCCCCATGCCTGAATTTTCCAAAGTCTATATTGAAATTATCAGGAACATTTTCTGTTTTCTCTTTCAAGTCTCCTGTTGGGAATTTACAGTTTTGTTTCCCTGTCAAACACTGCTTAGTTTGTTGAAAACCTGGGAAAGAAACTGGATAATCTGGGGGAGGTTGTCACTTGACAGGAGGTTGTGTCTTCTGAGGGAATGTGTCTGTGGGCTGACAGACAAAATAGTACCAGGCAAAATCTTCTTACAGACAAAATCTTGAAATGGGCTGTTACAAAACAGTAACAGAAATAATCTGAATCAGTCAGAACCTGCTGCCTCTGGTCTGTCACCAGCAAAGAACAAAAGGTGGAGCTGTAACAGTAACAAGGCAAAGATCTCCCTTAGCTTTGTCCCATCTCTTTATTTTTGGATGTTAAATAGGAAAAAGATTTGAGGGCCCATTGTTTCTGTGTTGTTTTCTTTCCTTATTCAACTTTTCCCTTAATGAACACTGTTCTCTGCTCCTCTGGGACCTTTTGGATTCAGGCACTGTCCCCAGGGCCTGGCTGCTGCCAGAGCCCTGCACTGCAAAGGCATTTCTTCCAAAACTGCTTCACAAATTGAAGGCACAAAGTGAGCTGGGGGATCCTAATCCCAGGAGAGATGTTTCAACCCCAGCAGGAACCGTGGGGAGTTTTCCAATCTGTGTACACTCCTCCCAGGATACCTCCATGGTCACTCCACCAAAGTATCAGGCACCAGAAATGAAGATAAGCAAATCTTTAGGGAGTGATTGTGTTGCTGGGGTGAATTGGGGCCTAAATCTGTTTTTGGGGGATGCTGAGGAGATAATTTACTGACACTGTCTCCTGTCACCTGTTTATTTGATAAGGGTGTTTGATGCATTTGGGAGAGAGGAGAAGAAATGTCTTTGCTTACACATAAACAAAGTGTGTGGAAGTGTCCAAGGAAGTGTCCAAGGCCACAGAGGGACAGGACACAGGGAATGGCTTCCCAGTGCCAGAGGGCAGGGATGGATGGGATATTGGGAGGGAATCCTTCACTGTGAGGGTGGCAGGCCATGGCACAGGGTGCCCAGGGAAGCTGTGGCTGCCCCTGGATCCCTGGCAGTGTCCCAAGGCCAGGTTGGACAGGGCTTGGAGCACCTGGGACAGTGCAAGGTGTCCCTGCCCATGGCAGGGGTGGCACTGGATGGGTTTGAGGTCCCTTCCCAACCAAACCATTTCAGGATTCCAGGACAGCACATGGATCAATCTGCAGCCCAGGGCTGATGGAAGCACCAGAGCAGGGGAGGGGTTTGCAGCCCATCTGTGCTGGATCCCAGGTCCAGGGAGCTCCCCCAGAGCCAGCTCTGCTGGGTTTTCCTGCTCTGGAAGTGAGGGAGAGGCTGTCCCATGCAGCTCAGGGCTCACAGCACACGTGGTGTCCCCAGGGCTCCCAGCACAGACCAGCAACGGGACTGGGACTGCAGGAGTGCAGCACAGACCATTTATTGTTCTGCTTTTTCAAAAGAACTAACATTTCATTTCATTTCATGTGTTCCTTTGGCTCTCAGTTCCTTCTGCAGAGCTCTCTGAATTTTCCAGCTGTGGCTGCACATTTTAAACCAGAGGAACGGATTTAGAAAATGGCATTAATTGTTCTGAAAGCCTGCAGAGCCCTCGGTGCAGAGGTGCCTCCAGCACTGCTCCCTCTGTGTCTGCTCCTCTGCAGGAATAGCTGGTGTCTCACTGCCATCTGTTGTCAGCTCCATGGAACAAAAACCTGCTCCAGTGATTTTTTTTGGTTTTTTTTTCCCTGGGGTTGAGCATTTCTTTTCTATAGGAATTTAATTCCAAGAAAACAGAAATACTTGCAGGGTAAAAAATCAACAAAATGAAAGACAAGAGGTCAGTGTTGAACTGGCCTTTAATAGGGGACAGCAAGAATGTCCCATGGATGGACAGACAATGAGCACAGAAGATTCCTGAAAGCAGAATGGGAATTGTTATCTGCCCTTCCCATGACCACAATCCCAAATTTTAAATGGTAAAACCTCAATGAAATGAAAAATATTCATTTATCCAAATTCCTTCCTCCATTAATCCCTCTGGAAGCTGAGGTTGGCAGTGGATCTCCTTGCTGGTGTCCTTTTTCTGTTCCACACATTCAGGTGGCTCAAGGAACGTGGAAACAAGGAAAACAAATAATTTTGGTGTGCAGTGGAAGAGGTGTCTCAGGAATGCTTCTTGCTCCATCTGCCCATGGATTCATCATCAAAATTCTCATTCAAATACCAACATTCTTATCTCTCTCACACCCTTGGCCTTCTGCTGCCTCTTGCTTCCTCAGGAAAGTGCCTGGATATTGCAGTGCTGAGAATGGGAGCTCCCCTGGAATCCCAGGAAAACTGGGGGTGTCACCAAAACCTCCTGCTCTGGTTGCTCTGTGCTGCTACAGGAGAGGCAGGAGGCTCACCAGCATCCCAGCAAACTGGACTGGGAGAGGCCAGGCAGGACTGGTGTGTCCCAAATGAGGGAATCATTTGCTGCACAGGATTTGTAGCCTTTCCCAGCTTTTATTTGAGCAGTGTTTGGAGTGGGGAAGTTTATGAGCCCAGAGGCTTGGCCTGCAAGAGGAGTTTCATTTTTCAAGCAGCACATAAAAGTGTCTTTGTGAGGATCATAAAGAGCTGCTTGGGGTAAGAGCTTGGTGTGAATCATCTTTGTGTCTATTTCTGTTTGTTTTTAACAGAATTGGTCCCCTCCAGGCTGTGAGAAGCTTGGGAAATGCCTGAAAGCACCAGAGTCTGATCCTAAGAAATGCTCTTGGCCTCACTGATGGCTGCAGCCCTCCAGAGCTACCCAGAGGCAGCTGGACATGCATTTTCCAATGCCTGCTCCTGTTGGCACTCCTGTTTACACAGGAAGGGTGTGATGTGTGCATGATATCATCACTTGCTCTTCCAAAAGGGCCAGTGTTTATATTGCTCCTGCTCAGGGTTTAGCCTCTACTCCTCTCTTCTCCCAATTCTTTCCCTAAATGGTAACTCCAGTGAAGGATTGCTTCAGCTGTAAAAGCTCTCTGGACAGCCACGACTCTGCCATCAGCTCCAAAATGCCATGGATCACTCCTGCTCCTTCCAGCACACCTTGCTCTCTGGGGTGCCCCAACAGGAGCCATGGGACAGGTCAGGAAACTCAGAGCTGCCAGAGAGCCCTGCCCAAACTGCCCGTGTTTTGTTTGACTGTAACTTGTTTTTTTAACTTTTCATTTCCATTGTGAACTTTGGACATCAACTTGTTTTTCCTTTCTGCTGAAATCTGTGAGTTCTGGGTGCAAACAAGGGATCCCTCCTGTTCACAGCTGAGGGGTTTGGATCCAGGGAGGATGCTCTGAATTCCTTCCATGTGTAGCTGCAAACATTCCCTAGGTTCTGGTGTAAGGAAAGGTGAGGATTGTGTTCAGGTAAGTGTTGGATTGGGGTTACAGCCCCAGGAGAGCTGGAGAGGCACTTTGGGAAAGGGCCTGGAGTGCCAGGACACAGGGAATGCTTTCCAGCTTCCAGAGGGCAGGGTTAGATGGGATATTAGGAAGGAACAGTTCCCTGTGATGTGCTGAGGCCCCAGAGCAGCTGTGGCTGCCCCTGGATCCCTTGGAAATGCCCAAGGTTGGAGAGGGCTTGGAGCAGCCTGGGCTGCTGGGAGTGGGATTGCACTGGATGAGCTTTCAGGTCTTTTCCAACCATTCCAACCCAGACCATTCCAGGATTCTGTTGCCTCGTTGGTGCAGGACATTTGTGGGGAGCTGGGGGTGAGGTGTTCATTTCAGGGCTTTCCTTAATTTCCAAAAATCTGAGTCTAAAGCTGGTCCAAGCCACTCTTCCCATCTTGTGCTCTGGGCCCAGGCAGTGCAGGCTCAGAAATGTCCCTTTGCATCAGCCCTTAACTCCTGACCCCATTTCCAGCACACACTCTGCCAGGAATTCTCCCTGTGCAAACTCTCCCCAGCCTGGGTGCAGCTCTCCTTTAGCCACAGTTCCTGGGGAACACGGGGCCTTTGCTCAATTCCACAGGGCAGATCCCTGCTCTGCCTTGGAGCCCGTTCCACACCCTTCCCTGTCTCCCTTAAAACCAGGCTCCTTCAGGGCAGCAGCTGGAGGGAGCCCTGAGCATGTTTGGGTTCCTGTGAGGGTGCAGAGGCCCTGGCACAGGGTGCCCAGGGAGCAGCCTGGGACAGTGGAAGGTGTCCCTGCCCCTGGCAGGGCTGGAACAGGATGAGTTTTTAGATCTCTTCCCACCCAAACCATTCCATGATTCTCCATTTGTCCCACCAGCAGCTCTGCTTCCACCCCTGCAGTCTTTCCCACGTGCCCTCTCTGGGTGATGTTGTGCTGCCTTAGGAAAATCCAGGTGCTCTGTACCTGGAAACAGCTCAAATTCCTTCCCAAGCTGAGCTTGGAGCTGCTTGGGAGCTCTGCTTCTGTGCCAACTGCTGTGCTCTGCTGCCTCTGGGCTCTCTCTGCTTGTTCCTGCCCTCCTGTAATCCCAAACACTCCCATTCTCCCCATTCCCACGGTTTATGTACCTGTAATCCCCACCATGGTAATTCCTGGTGTGTGTCTCCTGAAGCTGGATAATCCCATCAAACTGGAATAAGAGCAGCACTTGAGTCAGCTCTTGCTGTTCCACCTCTCAGAAATCTCAGCCAGCATTTCAGGGATCCCTGCACATCTGCAAGTGACATTTGTTTATGGCCCACATTTCTTAGGATGTTCCTAATTGTCATTCAAGTATATCATGGCATTTCCAGCTCATCCAGAACATTCCTCCTTGTTTAGACACAGCTCAAGGCTTGGCAGATCTGGCCAGCAGCTCCCTCAGAGGTGAGGTGAGGTGAGGTGAGGGCTGGGAGCAGTTGTGGGTCTGTCAGCACAGGACACCAGATAAAACCAGATAAAACCAGAATTCCCCATTTTCTGGGGCTGCTCCACCTCTGCTTTAGGGCTTCTCCATGTCCAGGGAAGGGAATGGAGCTGGGAAGGGGCTGGAGAATTCCTGAGGGAGCTGGGAAAGGGGCTCAGCCTGGAGAAAAGGAGGCTCAGGGGGAATTCCTGGTTCTTCACAACTCCCTGACAGGAGGGGACAGCCAGGGGGGAGTCAGGCTCTGCTCCAGGGAACAGGGACAGCAGCAGAGTTGTGCCAGAGGAGGGTTAGGTTGAATATCAGGGAATTTTATTCACAGAAAGAGGACAAAGCATTGGCATAGGGCAGTGGTGATGTCCCCGTCCCTGGAAGTGCTGAAAACCACGTGGCTGTGGCATTGAGGTGAGCACGGTGGTGCTGCTGGGCTCAGGGTTGGACTCGATGATCTCCAAGGTCTTTCCCAACCTCAGTGCCTCTGATTCCACAATTCTGTCACCTGAGCCCTGCATTCACTACAAAGCTCCCACCAGAGGAGGGAGTCCATGGCTGCAGCTCCCTGGCAATCCTGGCAGCCCTGAAAGCCTTGCGAGGTGACAGCACTTTGTGGGATTTTGTGCTGCTTAGGAAGAGTTCCCCCAGCATCAGAGCTGTGCCCTGGCCTGGCCACGCTCCTCAGTCCCCCAGAGTTTGCCCTGGACACCTCCTCCCTGTCCCCTGCCTGCTGCTTCCTCCTTTTCTCTTTCACAGCTGCACTTTGGAAGATCCTGCTTTGCCCCTGGAATTTGCTCTGAGCAGCCACGGGGTTTGTGCCCCACTCCCAGCACAGCAAACCCTCATTCCTCCCTGGAATGGTCTCAGGACACAGATCCTGGAGGGAAATTTTGCACTTGAAAGCAAGTAAGTGAAGCCATGGAGTGTCTGTTTAGAATAAAAGGACACGAAGGAGATAATAAATAATCAGGGTTTAAAGTGACAAAGCTTCTGCTTTAAATTGAAATAGGAATAGTTGTTTTACAGCTGGATAATAGGAGGAATTTTAAATGAATGCCTTTCCTAAAAATGTACGGATTTTACAGTTGTGAAGTGAAGAACTAATGAGGACAAATAAACTAATTTATCAGCAATGCAGTCTGTGATTTCACCTGTAACCCTTTGCTTTGGGGCACTCTCCCAGATTCACCTCCTGGATCATGGGACTGACTGGGGTTAAAAATAACTTGGTTTGTTTTCCTGGAATTATTTTTACCATGGATCAATGTCCCAGCCCCCACGGTGCAGTTCAGAGGCTGGGGGGGGAAGCAGGGCCAGCACAGGGGTTGGGGATGGTGCCTGCAGCCCCCACTGCCCACTCAGGCCACATCTGCCCTTAAAAACCATCCTGAGCTGCTGGCCCGAAGCTCCCCAGTTTGGGAACTGGGGCAGGAATGGGGCTGGAGGGATTTCCTGCCCCCTCAGGGGCTGCAGGAGCCAAACTGGTCTGGTGGTGGCTTCTGTTCCCGAGCTAGGAGACAGAAATGCTAAAGGAATGCTGGAGTTTAGGGCTGTGATGGTCCTTTCTTTATGTTTATTATGCTGAACGTTAAAAGCTTAATATCTTCCTGGCCTAAAAGCCCAAAGAATTTCCTTTTTGCCTTTAATTTCCAATTAGCTGAGCCTCTCAAGCCTCCCAGCTCTGCCCCTGAGGCTCTGTTATCATCCCACCCTCCATGCAGAGAAGCTTCCGAAATGGATGGAACTAATAATCATGGAAAAACTCCTGCTGCATTTCCAGGCTCTGGCTGCAAAAGTGGAGCCTCGATTTCAAATCCTGCAGCGACAAATGGATTATTTCAGTGGCAAATTGGTCCCTGGGGACCAACAATTTGGGGAGCTGAAGGCTGGAAGTGGGAAGCAGCACATCAATTCCCTCACTGAGAGCCGAGGTTAATGCCCTGCAAACTGCCCTGAGTGCAGCAGGGAAGGAGAACTCGGCTCTGCCTGTCCGAGGGGAGCTCAGGAATGTGTCAAAGGCAAAATGGGGACGTTTGGAATGAGGGAAGCCCATGGATTTGCTGGTAGAACCTGGGGGCTCTTTCTGTGGGATTTAACTAAAAGTGGAACTGGTATCTCCAGGAAGGAGACTGTGGGACTTGGGACAGTAGTGGAAGTTCCCATACCTGTCACCTCCAGCCTTTCCCAAACATCATGGACAGCATCCCAAAATTCCTGGTTTCACATAAAGGATCTCCTCAAGGTCGGACTCTCTTATTTTCCCCAGTGACAACAGTGTTGAAATAACCCCATGAAAGAATTCCAGCAGCTGAAGAAGGACCTGTGGAAGGTGAGAACTGAGCAGAGTTTGTGGGGGAGGAAGGTTTGGGGTGCTGCGAGGTGATTTTTGGCTGCAGAGTCCCCAGCAGCTTCTGGAGCACAGCCAGCAGAGAAATTCCTCCCCAGGGATCCTGCCCTTGTCCTCAGCACTGGGAAACTTTACAAACTAAACACACTTTTATTCTCCTAAGAGTTCCTTTGCTTGTTCAGCTTCCAAATAACTGTTGTGCAGTTAGAATGGCCTGTTCTCCATCTCTCCTAGCACTTAGAATACTTGGAAATCGACTTTTCCTTTTGTTTTCTGGTAGCATTGGATGTTTTTCTATGTTATCAGGAGGCGACACTGTGGTGCCCCTTGAATTAAACTGTCAGGTTTTAAGAACAGCTGCAAGGGAAGAACTGAAATCCCATTTTGGGTTCTTTTTTTTTTTCCTTTGGAAAACGGCTATTTTAAACACCAAGGCTCCATTTGCCTGTTTTCTTTATATCCCCTTCCACCGTTTAAAGTTTTGTTGTTGCTTGAAGTCGAGTTGGGATTATATAAATCCTAAATAAAGGTGGATCCGTAGCCAGAAGCTTGTGGTCTTTTAGGAGGGAGAAAAAAAAAAAACCTCTGCCTTGCAGCTTCTGGAGAGAGGCAATCTGGCAGCTCTTGGGGCCTTTGTCCCTCTTGGAGTCACTTAACACCCTCTGGGTGACAGGAGGTTGGTAGCACAATTCCCAGCTGAAAGGGAGAGCAGATAAAAGCCAGCAGCGAGGAATGCGAGCCAAATCCATTCGTTCTGGATCAGCCACAAAATCCAGGCTGCCCAGGGGAGACAGAGGAGTTTTGTGTCTTCTCCAAGGGCTCGATCCAACCTGCTGCAGCAGGCAGGAGGTGCTGTCCTGGCCTCTGAGAGAGGCAGAGGTGGAGCACGACGTTTTTCCCTCTTTTAGGGGGACAAAACCAGCTCTGAGGCTTCTATCCCGAGCCCAGGCATCTGGCTGGGGAGCTGCATTCTTCTGGTGTTGAAATAAGAGATTTCAAATTTGTTGTTGGGATTTTTTTTTATGGTTTTTTTTTTTTTTTTTAAGGGTTTAAAGTGCATGAGTTTCCTCAGCTGAGATTGAAACGAAACATTCCAGTGGATTTGCAGGGGAATTTTTGTGCTCGTTTTCCCTCGTGGAAGGGAGATGTTGAAATTCAGGGCATTTTGTTCCACTTCACACTGAAGTGTTAAAATGCTGAACGGAACAGAAACTTCCAGGCTCAGCACAGCTCTTTAATTGCCTGGTTAAGCTGATTAAAGTTCATTCCCAAGCTTTCCTATTGCCAGTTTCTGTGCTCCCTGGCTAATAGCACCTCTCCTATCAGCATCTCAAAGCACTTTTAAATCACTGATGGCCTCGGTGTCCAGAAAAGAGACAAAGCCAGAGGCTCCTGGGGGAATCCAGATTCCAGGTGCTGATTCCTTTGGCAGGCAGGGATCAGCCCTGAAGCTCTGTGAGCCACGAGCAGATGTGGAGTCACCTCCCGGGTGATATTCCAGAGCCCTTTGACATCACATTTGGAAAGGGGTCCTAGGAAAGTTCTTTGCAGATGGAAATTGCAGTAGGAGTCAGCAGTGTTGTTTGAAAGGTGGAATAATCACGGGGAAAACCGATTTCCTTGGGGTGTTCCAGTGCTGTGGGTGCAGTTGGAATCCTTGGAGATGGGGGGTAAATCAGGAGTTCAGGCAGGAATCTCAGGAATGTTGGCTTTTAGCCATGATTTCTGGCAGCTGGGTCGCTGCAAGTCCAGTTTGGTGTAACCTTTGTGCCCTTCCTGGCAGAACTGATGGAGACACTGATCCCACATCCGAGGAGGAGGAGAGATCCTGGCTGTGGGGTGGAGCACTGGGGGCACTCAGCACCTCATCCTGGTGAGGGTTTGCCAGGGCCTGGTTGGGATGAGCGGTCTGGGAACCTCAGCCTCCAGGAAAATGTGGTGGAGTCTCCTGCAGTGAGGGTGGGATCGTGGGGGGGGTCACAAACAGGACAGGGGTGACACAGACCCCCCATTCTGGCCCCTCTGCTAGTGAGAGGCAGAAGCTGCCTGGCAGGCTGAAAAGATCCTTTTTTTCCCAGGAAATAAGCTCCTGCTTATTTATTTCCACGAGTAGGCAGATAAATTCCATCAGCAATTCCATCTGCCAGGAAGAAGAGGAGTTGCTGGAATAGCTCATTGTCCAGTGCTGTGCTTGTAAGGTCACCAGAAAATCCCATCCAGCTCATCCCAGGGAGTGTGAGCCCTGCACAGGCACAGCCCTGGTTCCACTGCTTCCATGTCCTTCCTCCCTCTTTGCTTCCCTGGAACAGCTGCCCAGAGCATTCTTCTGGTGCCAAAAAGATAATCTGAGCTCAGGGAAAATCTTAGTTTGGGAGGGAATTGTTGTGAAGGGCTCTCTGGCAGTAGAGGGAGTTAACCTTAACAGGAGTTGGGGTTCTTCAGCCTGGGGAAAAGGAGGCTCCAGGGGGACCTCAGGGCTCTTTCCAGTGCCTCAAGGAGTTCTGAGATAGCTGGAGAGGGTTTTGGAAAAGGGCAAGGGTAAGGGAGAATGGCTTCCTCAGAGGGCAGGGCTAGATGGGATATTGGGAAGGAATTCTTCCGTGTTGGAGTGGTGATGCCCTGGCACAGAAGCTGTGGCTGCCCTTGGATCCCTGGCAGTGCCCAAGGCCAGGTTGGACAGGGCTTGGAGCAGCCTGGGACAGTGGGAGGTGTCACTGCCATGGCAGGGGCTCTCCAGAGAGTGTGGGTGAAGTTTTCCTGGTCACAGAAGTTTTCCTGGTCACAGAAGTTTTCCTGGTCACAGCTCTTGGCAGCAAACACTGAGCTCAGCCAGGGCTGTTACAGGCTCAAACGGCTTCTGCTTTCCACAGCGAGCCCTGCCCAGACGGGTTTGGAGCAGATCCAAGGTGTATTTGCTAATGGAACAACAGTTCTGCTCATCTGGTGGATTTTGCACAGCCAAACAACATTCACCACTGGGAGATGGGAGCTGTGAGAGCTCCCTGAGCTGCCCAGGACTCGGTGACACCAGGAGCTGTTGGTCCAGAACCCGGGCCTGTGTTATTGCCCCTCGTGGGCCTCATCCCAACCAACAGGTTTAGCAAACCCAGAGTGACTCCAGGAGTTCACACGAGGTGATGAGGGATGGAAAAGCAGGATACAGTAAAATCCTGAGGAGCTTGTTGCGTGTGCAAGGCTGTGCAGGGTGAGGGGGTGGAAATGGAACCCCCCAGGCAGGGAGCTCCTTTCTGAGCCTGGGGCCAGGCAGGGAAATCCAGCTGCACATGGAGCAGGTACTTGGGAGCTCTTCAGAGAGGAGCCTGGGGCTCCATCCCTTGCCATGCCAGGGCTCCATGCACCTGGAATTGCAGCTCCACGTGCCAAGGTGCCAGGGCTCCATTCATGGGGGATTTAGGGCTCTGTGCATGAAGTGTCAGAGCTCCACACATCGGGGAATCGATGCCTCGTGTCCTGGGGTACCAGACACTCCTGCTCTGGGGACTCTGGGGTACCTTCATGTCGGGACTATCACATCTCCATGCACTGGGAATTTGGGGCTCTGTGCACGGGGATATCAGAGCTGATATCCTGAGGGGCTGATGCTCCATGCTCCAGCATGCCGGAGCTCCAAATACCGAGGGGACTGGGGTTCCAAATACCGGGGTACTGGAGCTCCACACTCGGGGGAACCGGAGCTCCACATACCGGGGTAATGATGCTCAATGCTCCGGGATATCTGAGCTCCAAATACCGGGGTACTGGAGCTTCGCGCTCCGGGGGAAATTATGCCAAATGCTCCGGGATACCGGAGCTCCAAATACCGGGGTTCCGGAGCTCCAAATACCGGGATAATGATGCTCAGTCATATCAGTAATGCTGCTCCAGGATATCAGAGTTCCAAATACCGGGGTACCGGAGCTCCGCGCACCGGGGGAAATTATGCTCAATGCTCCAGGATACCGGAGCTCCAAATACCGGGGTAATGATGCTCAATGCTCCGGGATACCGGAGCTTTACACTCCGTGGTACCGGAGCTCCAAATACCGGGGTACCGGGTCTCCACACTCCGTGGTACCGGGTCTCCACACTCCGTGGTACCGCAGCTCCACGCACGGAGCACACAAACGCTGCACTCCCTGCGGTACCAGACCCCCGAACCCCCGGTCACTGCCGCTCCCCGCCCCCGCTTCCCGCCCGCTCCGGAGCCGCCCCCGTCCCGCCCCGTCCCGGCCGCGGTGCCGGAGCTGCGGCGGCTGCGCACGGCGGGGCCGCCATGAGCCAGCAGAGGCTGCAGAGCCTGCGGGAACGCGTCCGCTCCTTCCCGGACTTCCCCGAACCCGGAGTGCTGTTCCGGTGGGGATGGGAATGGGGATGGGAATGGGGTGGGATGGGATGGAAACGGGGGGTGAGGATGGGGACGGGGATGGACCGGAACCAGGGCCGGGGATGGGATAGGGGAGGGAACCCGGACCGAGACTGGAGCCAGAACTGGGGCTGGAACTAGGGAATGGGAATGGGAATGGGAATGGGAATGGCACCAGGGCTGGAGCCAGGCTGGGGACTCGCTGCCAGCTCCTGTCCCTGCTCCCATCCCTGCCCCTGGCAGTGCCAGGCAGGAGCTGAGCCTTCCCTGGCCTCAGGAGCTCAGAGCAGCCCCTGCAGGTCCCTCACTCCCTGCCCTCCCTCATCGCAGAGATATCAGCCCCTTGCTGAAGGATCCTGTGGCGTTCAGGACTTTGATTGATCTTCTGGAGGATCATGTGAGGGCATCTTTCCCTAAAGTCGACCTCATCGTGGGTGAGTGTTGGTCGAACATCGCCGAGGCCAGGGCAGAGTGGCTGGGAAGTGTGGGGTGGCCCTTGGGGAATGTTGTGGCCCTTGGACACGAAAATCACCTGAGCATTGACCTCTGTCATGTGGTAACACCAGGACACGTTATCCCCTTCACCTCCTCCTGTGATTTCCTGAAATACTGGTTTGGGATGTGGCAGGTGCCCTCTGACACTTCGGTGCCATTTGCATAATTCATTAATTCGCTGTTAAAAAAGAGGGCACACAAAGGCTGCTGTGCCTGCAGTGTCCCAGCTTGTTTTCCTCAGGGAACCTTCCCAGGCCAGCACAAACAGCCTTGGTGGCCACAACACCTCTCAGCTCACCTGGCAAAGTTCTTGGGTGGGGCCCCAGCCCAGGGTTCAGGGAGCACAGACCAAACCTGGCCCAGGTGTCCTGTGATAAGTGGAGCCTTCCCAGAGGTGCAGAGTTCCTGCCTGTGTGGCCTGACTGATACCGGGTTTATCTCGAAGGAAAAAGGTCAGAGGGGAGGGAAATGGGCTCTTGGGGCCCAGCAGCAGCACAATCTGGCTGAGAACTGGGCTGTGTTTTGTACCCTCAGAAGTGACTTATGAACAAATTGCTTTTAGAGCCCCCCTGGATGGGAGGATAAAACCGGGGGGTTGTGCCGAGATCCTGCCCCAGTGAAATGGCTCCAATCTGAGAGATGGGACAAGAGGAATAAGCCTCAGGTTGCACCTGGGGGTGGTTTAGGTTGGACATGAGGGAAGATGAATTCACTGAGAGGGTGTTCAGGTATCAGAACAGGCTGCCATGGCCGCAGTGGAGTCACCATTCCAAAAAATACCTTGGGGACATGGCTCAGGGTGGCCTTGGCCGTGCTGGGGAATGGTTGGACCTGATGGTCTTGGAGGCCTTTTCCAAGGTTTCCCTGATCCCTGCTCTGCCCTCCAGGCCTGGACTCCCGTGGCTTCCTCATCGGGCCCCCCCTGGCACAGAGGTTGGGGATCGGCTTCGTGCCCGTGCGCAAGAAGGGGAAACTGCCTGGTGCCACCCAGAGCATCTCCTACAGCCTGGAATATGGCAAGGTGAGGCCTGGGAGCAGCAGGGGCTCAGGCTGGGGGTGCAGGGGTGCTAAAACCCGCGGGGAGGGGGTGCCAGGCTGGGTTCTGATGATGCCGTGGATGACCTGGCACAACCCCGGCAGTGGCGCCGAGCCGCGGTCAGAGTTGGTGGCCGCGGGTGACGTTTGGTGCTGTGCCGTGACTCTTCTGAGGGGCTTGGTGCTCACACTTGGTGCTAAATGGCTTTCTTTGGCTTGAATTCAGGGGCATGACCACGGAGAGTGTTCCCCACTCTGGCAGTAAGTGCTGTAAGTCAGAGCGCTCCTGCATGGCTTCCACCATCCCACCCCATAACCCCGCAGCTGCTCCGAGGACTGAGCCTCAATCTGTGCTACCCCCACTAGCAACTAACGGCAGCAGACCCCCCCAAAGCCAGGCCTAAGCCATGAGGGTTGTTTGGGCCAAGCCTAGCACGGGACAAGCTGACAAGACACATCCAAGTTTGGATCTGGCTCTAGGCAGAGCTCCCCAGTGTGTGACTGGAGATGTTCCTCCCTGGAGAGCTGCTCTGGGATAAGATTCCTGATCAAAGTTCAGCATCTTGGCGTGCCAGAGGCTTGGCCCAGCAATCTCCTCCCTGCTCTGTGTTTCTGTGGTGCTCTCCTGTAGCTGGAATTGGGGGGGTTTTGGGGATTTTAGGTGCTGAGTGTTTAGGCTGATGTCGCTGAGGACTTGTCTGTGTTCCAGCATGAACCAGCAGCTCGTGAGGGCTTTCTCTCCAAGGCCAGACTAAAACAAAGCTGCTCTTTGCTCCCTGCAGGCTGAACTGGAAATCCAGAACGATGCTGTGGAGCCAGGACAGAAAGTGGTGATTGTGGATGACCTGCTGGCAACTGGAGGTGAGGGAAGCACGTGTGAGCCATACCTGTGTTCATGGAATCATGGAATGGCTGGCTTGGATAAATCCCAACCTCCCACTAGCCCAGGTTGCTCTAAGCCCCATCCAGCCAGGCTTTGGACACTTCCAGGGGTATCCAGGACCTGCTGGCAGCAGCAGGGGTGGCTGTGGGGCTGGGAGCTGCCCCTGGAGTGAGGTTGTTTGTGCTCCCCTCCACAGGTACTATGTGTGCTGCCTACGAGCTGCTCAAGAGGCTGAAGGCTGAAATCCTGGAGTGCCTGGTGATCATAGAGCTAAAAGCCCTGAAAGGGTCAGAAAAGCTCAATTCCGTCCCTTTCTACTCCCTGCTGCAGTATGACTGAGGAGGAGCAGGGAGAAGGGAGCACTGGGAACAAATCTGGGGATTTATTCAGTGACTCTGGACGTCACAAGGGGTTGGGAAAGGGGGTTAAACACAGGTTTTAATCATGGCCAGATGCTCTTCAGTCCTAAATTTCCCAAGCACTGTGTGGAGTGTAATGATCCCTTTTGGGGTTCATCCTTTTGGGCAGAAGGAACAGGCTGATTTTTTAGGGGGGTGGAGACCAAGATGCAGCTTCACTGAGGCTGTGTTTTTTAGGAGACCAAAGTGATGACATTGCTGCTGAGGCCAGGAGAGCTCTGACAGGGCACCAGCATTCCCTGGGCTGGGCCTGTCAGCCTCCAAGGAACCTGCTAAAAAATTCCCAAAGAACAAAAAGCAGTTATTTCTGCAAGGGACAAACCCTGCTGTATTTGACCTCAGGATGCTCAGTGCTGTCACTCTCACCAGAACAAGTTGCTCTCACACCAGGGCTGTGCTTGTTGAGAAGTGCCTGCTGTGTCCTTCAATCAGGATGGTGCTGGTGTGGATGAATCAGTGTTTTCCTTCCCTGGAGACCACGGGCACCTTCTGTTCAGCACCAATTCCCCACTCCTGCACATCCCACTCACTCCCTGTGCTGCTGCTCTCCCCCTGCCCCATCAGGGCCAGTTCAGAGCCTGCTCTTGCTGGGAGGTTGGTGCAGGTGAGGCCCCAGGACAGGTCTCAGGTGTGTGAGGGGTGATGGGGGTTTGGAGATGATTCCTCCAGCACACTTCAGTTTGGTCACAGCTAAATCCTTGTGTGCAAAAATTTCCACAAGCCTGAAAACATCAGGGATTGTGTCTCTGGCCCAGCAGGGACTGGACTCACGGGTAAAATAAATACTGATGTATTTTTATGTTTCCTAAACTGTCTGAGAGCTGTTCTTGCAGTGGCTGAAGCTGTTAATGACCCTTGGGAGTGTCTCCCTGCAGCCCCAGGTGTCAGTGGAGCAAGGCTGAGGTGTGAGCTCTCCATTATCCCCCAAATGCTTGGAATTGTTTTCCAGGGAGCATCCAGGTACCTTTTCTTTATTTTGCACCAACCTCTGGCTTGGTTGGATCAGCTCCCCTTCCCCATCCAGCACCTGGGGCCACCTCCCACTTGGAAGGACTATTCCAGCTCCTTTCACCCCCATTTCCTGAAAAGCCCCTTCAGTGCTGCTCAGTTTACACCGGGGAACACAATTCCCTGGGGACCTCACAGGCTTGGCACCAGGAGAGGGTCCCTGCTGTGGGGGAGAAGGGAAAAATCAATTCCGCCCCAAAGAGCCATGGAAAGCAGCTGCGTGCTGGGGAAGCAGCGTCAGCCCCAGCAGTGCCAGCAGGTGACATCAGGGAACGTGGGGACAGTGCCTGAGCCCTGGCTGGGCTGCCAGCAGCCCCTGATGTCATTTGCTTGGAAAGAGGAGGCTGGGCAGGGGCAGCTTCCAGGTGGGAGAAGGGTTTTATCCTGAGGAGCAGAACGGGAGCTCGCTCGAGCTCTCCTGGGATGTGAGTGTGGCTGCCAGGCTGCTGATTCCAGCTCCTTTCCAATCCTCCTCGACTCCAGCTGCTGAAATCCAGCTCCTTTCTACCACTGTGAGGTCCCTGAGCATGGCTGAGAGCCCGGCCTGCCCCAGGAGCCCCCAGCCTCACACCCAGCCCCTGGGTTGGGTTTGATCCCTTCTCCTCCTCCCTGGAAATTGGGCACACTCCTGCCAGCAGTGCTGGCCAGCTGGGCTGCACGGGCCTGGAGGAGGAAGAGGAAGGAGGAAGAGGAAGGCCTCTTGCTCCCTCGGGAAGTGCTGTGGGATCCCAGATGCTGCCGGACTCCAGCCCTTAAGCAGGGGAATCTGCCCAGGAGCAGCATGGGATGAAAGGATGAGGGAGTCACCTTTCCCTGCAGGTCCCTGGTGTCCTCCCCAGCCCAGGCCGGCTCGGGGAGCAGTGTGGGGTGTGTGGGGTGTGTGGGGTGTGGCCCTGGGCAGTTCCCACCCCTGCCCTGTGCCCACACTGCCCTGACCAGGGCACGCTGCCAGCCCAGCTCCTCTGCAGCCATCCTCACCCTCTTTGTCCCTCTTCCCAAGCCACTTCAGCTGAGTGGCCTGGGAATTTCCCCTGGGGAAAAAAAAACCCAACCCTGGGCCCCTGTCACCCCCTGGCCCTGCAGGAGCTGCTCCCCGGCCCCATCTACAAAAGCTGCATTCAGCTCCCTGCAAACCCACGCTCACTTTTTCCAGTGAGTCCTTCTCCAGGAGCTGGATGAGGACCCAGCCCTTCCCAGCGCCAATTGCCATGGAGAACCACGAGACAGGCAGTGAGGAAGAGCACTGGGTTAACACAAGTCAGCTCTATTTAAAACATTTAATACAAATGTGTTTTGACAAGTCCTGCAGTTGTTTCCAGCGAGGACTGGAAGATGCATTTTCCCTCCCTTAAAAACAGAACGAGGCCCGAAGCTCCAAGAACATCAAATTGTGACTTTTTCTCTCACCCCTTCCTGTTTGTCACCCTCTCAGCCTGCCCTGTTCTGCCTTCAGCCCACCAGGACCCAGTTAATGGAAGAAACCACCAAAATTGGACCTTCAGGAGACCCCTCATGCACTGAACCTTCAGGAGAGCACAGGAAAGGAGATGAAAAGGCTCCTCAGGTTAGGGTCACTGTCATGACACAGGATTGCTCAGGGACTAAGGGACCTACAATCCTCAGGGAATCCTACCACAGGAATTAATTAAATTAAGGCATTTTGCCCTTCCCCAGCCACCACTGAGGACGAGCCTCCCTCCAGCCCTCCTCAGAACCCAGAGCTGTCAGGATTTGCTACATTTCCAGGAGATTGCACAGAAAAAACATCAACCCTTGAGGGGCTCAGAGAGCTCCAGCCTCCTTGGCCTCCTTGTTGAGCCTCTCAGTGACGAGGCCCAGGTCTTTCTCTTTGTCCAGCTTGACGTAGGTGTCTGTCCTGAGGGTGTGAACACCCACCCAGTCCGGCAGCAGCTCTGCCAACAGCCTCACGTGTTTCTCCATCTCACCTGCAGTGAGGAGCACCAGGGTCAGATCTCACCTCCCTCCTCACATCCCCCTCTTCCTGTAGGGATTTCCCCCTGGAATTCCTCCCTGGTTTGACCAGCTTGGGGCACCAGGGTCAGATCTCACATCCTCCTCTTCCTGCAAGGATTTGCCCCTGGAATTCCAACCTGGTGCCACCAGCGTGGAGGATCAAGGTGAGATCTCACCTCCCTCCCTCCAGCCTCTCCTCTCACAAGGATTCCCCCATGGAATTCCTATGGGGTGCCACCAGCTTGGAGCACACCAGGGTCAGATCTCAAATCCCCCTCCTCCCACACCCTGGACTTCCTACCTGGTGCCACCAGCTCAGGGTACCAGGATCAGATCTCACCTCCCTCCCTACACATCCCCCTTTTCCTACAAGCATTTCCCCCATGGAATTCCTTCCTACCTGGTGCCACCAGCTCGGGGCAGCTGTCAGCCAGGCGGGCACAGAGCAGCTCCATGCTGAGTGCAGGTTTTTTCTCAGCCACGAAGACGCCGCGCAGGACCCGTGCCATGGCCGGGAGCCGTGCCAGCCGCGCCGCCCGCTCCTCCTGCCGCGCGTCCCGCGTCAGCAGCGCCCGCACCCGCCGCGCCTCCTTCGCCCGCACCTGCGGGACACCAGAGCCGGGTGAGCCCCCTGAGGGCACGGGCTGGGCACAGGGAGCTCCCCCAGCGCCCTGCTTTGGCCAGGACAGGGTGACTCACGCGGTCCAGCAGCTCCTGGGACACCCCTTTGAGCGCGCTGGAGGTGCTGGCAGGGGTTGGGGGTTTGGCAAGCGCCGGTTCCCCCGCATCGGCTCCGGCCGTTCGGAGGGCCAGGTTGGCAAGAGCTTTTTCCATCTGCTCATGTGGATGGAAGAGGGAGGAGGAGTTGGGTTACAGTTCAGGCTGGAGGAAGGAGAAGTTTCCCCTCTGCCGCCCCCGCCGTCACCCGGCAGTGCAGAGATCCCAGCCCAGGGATCCTGATCCAACCTGCCTGCACCAAGGAGTTTGGGGAGCCTCATGGAATGCTCTGGGTGGGAAGGGATCTGAAAGCTCTTCTCATTCCTTGCCATGGCAGGGACACCTTCCCCTAGCCCAGATTGCTCTAAGCCCTGTCCAACCTGGCCTGGGACACTGCCAGGGAACCAAGGTCAGCCACAGCTGCTCTGGGCACCCTGTGCCAGGGCCTCATCTCCCTCCCAGGAAGGAATTCCTTCCCAATATCCCATCCATCCCTGCCCTCTGGCAGTGGGAAGCCGCTCTGGCACAGACAGAGGCAGCCCCTGGCCTGGCTCACCTTGGGGCTCAGCATCCCCCGGGCTGTGCTCAGCACCTCCTGGGCCGTGCTCAGCCTGTCCTCCTGCGGCGGCCGTGGCAGCTCTGCAGGGCTCACGTCTGGCACCTCATCCACGTTGAAGCGGGGATGCCACCGGGTCAGCTCCTCCTCTGGCACCACCATGGGAGGGCTGAGGGCAGCCAGGAATGCCTGGAGAGGGGCGAGAGCTGTGTCAGGGCACCAGGAATGGAGAGGCAGCCACTGCTCTGTGCTCCCAGCACAGCTCGGTGACAGCGGCAGCTAATTCAGAGCCCATCTCCAAGAGGAACCTCCGTGTCCTGCAGCCTGGATGGCACCAGTGACAAGCCCAGAGGCCAGTGCTGGGGGTGGCAGGTGCCCCTCACCTTGTGGTGCTCCCTGACGATGTTCACCAGGTTTCGGTGGAATTCCCTCCGGCGCTCCAGCAGCCGCGACGCCGACAGGTGTGGGCGCCCATCCACCTTCTCCTCTGCCAGGAGGGACACGAGTGTCACCCACAGCACCCCAGAGAGGCACAAACCACGGCAGCCTCGGGAAGGACAGGATCATAGCCCTGCCATGGAGCTGAGTCCCTGCTGAGCACGCTCCCTCTTATCCCAAACCTGTTTCCCACTTCTAACATGCTCCATTTAATGGACTGAGCAGCGAGCATCCCTACAGACTCAGAGCTCAGCCAGGACTGAGCGTACCCCAGCTCTTGGGCACCCCAAAACTGTCCATACCTTCCCCCAGCACTGGCTCCAGCGTGAGCTGATACTCAGATTTCTTCCCACTGCTGCTGAAGGTGGGGACGTTCTTCTCCTGGCGCAGCCGGTACGAGCTGGGATACACGGCCTTGATCTGCCCCAGGTGCCGCTCCTCGAACTGCCTGTGACAGCACCACGGAGGTTGGGGACACCCAGGGTCACCAGCCCCGAGAACTTCAGCTGGGAGCCCAGAACAGGCCACCCACAGCTGCCAACCCACCTGCGCATCATGTCCTGCACGCCCTGCTTGACCTTGGCGAAGGTGACGGTCTCGGAGCGGTTGAAGAGCATCCCCGTGATGGTGTCCACGCTGCGGAACATCTCTGCCAGCACCTTGAACTTGTAGGGCAGCGTCAGCCCCGGGGGCAGGTCCTGGGCTAGAGTGTGGAACCGCTGGTAGGCCGGGGGCTTCTTGCTGCAGGGAAGGACAGGACAGGGGTCAGGTCCTGCTGCTGACACAGTGCCCACCTCCCACCCCCATCCCACACCTCTGAGTAGGCATTGGGGTCACATCACCTGGGGACATCGGTGTCACAATGCTCAGTGCCCCCACACCACTCAGACCCCCACAAAACCACTCCAGGACTGTGGCAGCTCCTGGGACCTCCCTCAAGTCCCTCCTGCAGCTGCCCCTCACCCGCTCTCATCCTCAGGAGCTGCTGTCCCGGTGTCCCCGTTCGCTGCTCTCCTCTGACGGATGCGCTGCTCCAGCTGCCGCACCTGCTCCAGGCGGCCCCGCAGGTCACTGCTGGTCCCGCTGGGCACAGAGGGCACCTGGCCTGGCACCTTCATCCTCTGCAGGCGCCCCTGCAGCTCGGCCACGTCCTCCTGGGCAGGGAGGGGACACGGGGTCAGAGCGAGACACGCAGCACCAAACCCACCCACCCCGGAGCAGAACCGGGACCATCCCGTACCCGCTGCAGGCGCCGGGCTGGCCCCGGGGCGGCTGGGCCGGCCTCTGTCCCCGTGTCCTGCCCACGGCCGGGCGAGCCGGGGGTGGTGGCCGGAGGGGACACGGCCACGACCGGTTTGAGGGGTGTCGGGGGTCGAGGAGTGGCCAGAGGCGAGGAGCTGGTGGCCTGCAAGAGAGAGGAGAGTTAGGGGATCCACCCGCTCGGATCCCTTCCCCTATGCCCCCCAAATCTTCACTGGGAGGGGGAGCATAGAGGGGTCTGCAGTAGGGGCAGGGGACAAGCCCGGGGGGCAGAGGGGCTGAACGGGGCGAGTTTTGGGGATCGTGCATTTAGGGCAGGGGTAAGTCCGGGAGAGGGAGGGGATTGTGCATCAGGGGAAGCGAGGGCAAGTTCTGGGGTCCTGCACTGGGAAAAGGGGTCGAGGGCTCGAACACTTGCGGGGCTGTTGTTTTACGGTTCCGCACCCACCCATTCACCGCCCCAAGCCCTTATCCTCCCCCATCCCATTTCAGAGCCGCATCCCCGACCCCTACCGCTCCCGGGGACCCCGGCTCCGCATCCCGGGACAACTCCAGCCTCTTCCGTGCTGACTTCCCGCTCGGTTCCCCGAGCCGGGCCCCGACCGGCGACTCCGCTTCCATGTCCCGGCGGCTCCGCTTCCTGCCCGCCAGGCCCCGCAGGGCCGGGGAGCCCCCGCGGGCCGGGGTGCGCGGCGATCCGGGCAGCGGCAGCGAGCGGGCGCTGAGCCCCGCCGGGGCACCATCCTCATCCTCCTCCCGGTACACCGGACGGGGACTGGCGAGGGCGGCCTTGAGCCGGCGGCCGCCGCTGCGTTTGGCCGGGGCTCCGGTGGGCGCTTTTGTCTGGCCGAAGAAGTCGGTGAGGCGGAGCTGGGCCATGGCCGCGGTCCCGATCCCCGTTCCGGTTCCGGTTCTGGTTCTGGTCCCGGTCCCGATCCCGATCCCAATCCCGGTCCCAGGAACACGTGGGGTCGGTCCCGCGCGCTTCTTCTCTTGGCGGGAGCCCGCGCGCCGAGACCCCGCCCACCGGAGGGGCGGGGACACGTCACGTGATACAGGTTTGGCGCCACTGGGCTCTTAAAGGGGCCGCGTCCCCTGGAGCGCTGCTGCACGTGGGGGTCTGGGGGGGCCGGGACAGCTCCGGGGGGCGGGGATTGCTGGGTTAGGGAGCGACTGATGCGCCATGGGCAGGATGGAGGTTGCCCGCTCCAGCTGGGGCTAGTGGGGCAAAAGTAGGGAATTTCCATCTGGAATGGTGCTGGTGGTCACCTGCTCTTCCCAGTGGGGCCAAGCCCTGAGCGGTGGCACGGACACCCTCCGGGGGGGCACCTGCAGCACCCCTTGCCCCACGCCAGACTCCTGTGCTGTTGGCAGTGCCCGGAGCTGGGAGAAGCCTCTGGCCCATCAGTGCCAGGCCGGGCACTCAGGCCGTGCCCGCAGCACTTTCGGAGCTTCGTGGGTCTCCCACATCCCTCGTAAAACCTGAGTGAAGGCAGCAAAGTGCAGCGGGGCCGGATTGAGTCGGGCAGGGCAGGGCTCTGGGGTGCCATTCCCGGTGCCCATTTGCTTCCACAGCTTCCATTCCTGCCTGGCTGCTGCTGGGGGCTGGGTTGGGAGTGAGAGGCTGGTGTGGGTGCTTGCACAACCCTTTCCTGGATCCCTGCTGGCCAGGGGGTTGGCAGAGGTAATTCCCATATCCACATCTCGTGGACGTGGTGTTAATGCTGAACTTCACATGTTTGTGATGACCAGTGTTTAATTTACAGGAGCAGATCCCTCTGGATCCCAGTGATGAGGGTGGGTGCAGCTGAGTCTCCATGATAAGGATGCTCCCACGAGGGGCTGTGCCTGCCAAACCCATGGATTCACACATTTAGGAGCGCCCTGGTTTGGGGTTTATGGTGTGGGCAGGAGTGCTTGGATGGCTGGGGCTTGGGCACATTTGGGGTGGGGGGAAGAGGCCCTGGAATTGTGGAGGGAAGAGAGTGGGGAGCAGTCTGGCAGTGTGCCATCTGGATGCCAGTTTATTAACCGTGTTGGGAAAACAAGCTCAGGGAAGCCAAGGAATGTGGAGAATTTCATGGGCCGATGGTTCCTGTTAGAGGCTGGTGGTTACCAGCTCTGCCAGGTGTCACAGCCACGCTGCCCGTGCCACCAGCTGTGCCTGGTGCCCTCCCACTGGGATTCGGGACTGAGCACAGCCCAGCTCCAGATGTGACCTGGGGGTGTGGGTCTGCACCTGGCTCTGCACTGAGCTCTAGGAACGTGGGACTGGATCCAGCTCCAGGGATCATGGACCCAGCTCCAGGAGCACAGGATGATTCCCCAGTTCCTGGGACACAGCACCCAGCTCCGGGGGCAGCACTCCCGAGCTCCCCACTCTATGCCGCAGCTCTCAACCCTGGTATCAACAACAAACATTCGGCAAAAACTAATTCCGTTTTCTCTATTTCAATTTCGGACGAAATAAAGATAAAAACAATCTGCTTAGCTTTCTTTCCTTTTTATTCTTATTTTTATTTTTTGTTGATTTTTTTTTTATTTTTTTTTTTTTCCCCGACCGCACAAAGCGGAACCGGGTGGTTTTTGCTGAGCCCGGACAACTCGTGTCAGTGTCGGCAGCAGCGGGCGCGGTGCCGGCGGGAGGCGCTGGGGCCGCGCCGGCCCCGCTGGGGGGGGGCGGGCGGTGCCGCTTTATAAAGCGGCGGGAGCGGGGCGGGGGCAGCGCCGGGGAGCGCCGCGGGACCGGGCAGTGGCACCGGGGCCAGCCTAGCCCGGGCCAGCCCGGGCCCCCCCCCCGCCGCGGCGGCCGGGCGGGATGAACCGGCCGGGACTCTGCGCGGGGCTCTACTGGCTACTGCTGCCGCTCGCCCTGCTCGCCGGTGAGTGCGGGGCGCGGGGATCGCCTAAAGGTGACCCGGGGACCCCCTAAAGGTGACCCGGGTGTGTCCCCTGCCCGTGGAGAGGGTGGCTCGGGGCACCTCCCGGGGCTGTCCCGCTCGCCGGTGGCTGCGGGGCGCGGGGGCTCCCCCAGCACGTGGAGCGAGGGAAGCGCCGGGAAGCCCGGGGCGAGCGGATTCCTGCGCCGGTGGCTCCGGGACGGGTCGGTACCGGGACGGGTCTTGGTGTGGTTCCCCCCGCGGAGATCGCCCTAAATCCCGCTGTGTCCACCCGTGACCGAGCCCACTCTGCGGGACGGGAGGGTGTGTGTGCGTGTCCCCCCCGGGTCCCCCTCTGTCCCCCACAGCTGGCGGCTGTTCGGGGTGCAGGTGACCCAGCTCGGTCGCAGCCGTGTCACCGCACTGGCTCTGATGAGGTTGCTCAGGGTGGGCGATGCCCGGGGGGAAGCTGGCAACCATCCTGTCCCCATGCCCGGCTGGATCCCGGCAAGCAGAGTGTCCACCCCAGCCCCTGCTGCGGCTCTGCGGTCCCCAAGCTGCCACCAGCCCATTGCCAGCACTGTCGGCCTTTGATGGCAGATGTGCCACCCACCGAGGCAACCGGCTGGCCACCGGCCTGGAAAATCCCCGTGTCCCGGGACGCGCAGGACAAGAATCGGCTCTTTGAAGCCCGGTTGCTCCGGAGCCTCTTCGGGGCTACGTTTGCGTAGACGCAAAGGAAAAAACCTCCTTATAAACAGGATTGTTCAAGGGGCTCCTTGTGCCGGGCACGGGCTGGGTCTCTTTGGGCTCACACCACCCGTGCTGGGGGACCTGAGCCCCGGGAAGCTCTGACAGGGCTTTTGGGATAGCCCTGGAATGACTTTTGGGATAATGTCACCTGGAGAGAGAGAGGGACGTGTGCCCGGCCGAGGGAGGCGCATCCAGCCGAGCAGCCCCATTCGCAGCTGTGGTTTTTGGGGAGCAGGGTTGAGTTTCGGGGGTGCTGTCTCCCAGCAGAGCCTCGCTGGCGGAGGAAGTGGGTGACTGCAGTAAAAGCTGCTTTTCCTTCGGTTCGCTGAGGCAGTGACTCAGAGCACGGCGCAGGATGTGAGGAGGTTAATTATAATTATAACCCAGCCCAGGAGCGGGGCTGGCACAGGGGGCTGCGCTCCCCGGGCTGGCCCGGGAGCTGCCGGCTGCATCCCATGGGTGCCCGGGGCGACACGTGGCCCCTGGGCGCTGCCTCCCGCGGGGCCCTCCTGCCCCAAATCCTGCTGCTGTCGCCCCAAATCCTGCCGCTTTCGCCCCAAATCCTGCCAGGCTTGCTTGGCTCTTCACCCCGCTCCGGCACGGGACTCCCCGGTACCCCCCACACTGGTGGCTTTGCTGTCCCCCCCTTGCTGAGCTTGGTTTAAATTTGGGGCCCCGCTTGGGCGGGGACTCACTCCGTCCTGCTCCAGCTGGTTGGCAAAGGGGGGGTGACTCAGCAGTGCCCAGGGGTCTCACACGAGCACCCGGGGGAAACTGAGGCACGGGTGGGAGAGGGGGTGGTGGCTCTGTGTCCCACCGCACCTGGGTGGGAGGATTTGCCCCGGAGCACGACCCGCCTGCAGCCCTTCCTTCCCTGGCAGTTTGGCTCTCCCCAGACGTCCGGAGGATGTTTGCTCGCAGTTCCGGGCCAGCTCGGGGCGAGTGGAGGCGCAGGGCTCATTGCCCCACGGTGTGGCTCGGGGCAGCCCCCCCCCCCCCGGCTTCTCACGGCTGGCACAGCACTGACCCGCTGGGGAGGGTCCCAGCCGTGCCATGGGCTGTGTGCCCACCTCGGCCCCATCCTTCCTGCTGCCGTTCTGGGGTGCTGGAGCTGCTGTGGGGGGCACAGCACATCCCACACCCATTGGGGACCCCCCCGTGCCTGTCGTGGCCGTGCTGGTCCGTGGTGCTCGGGCAGAAGGGATGGGTGAGGGTGGCACCCCCTCCCTTGTGGTGCCCCCCCAAACCCCCTGATGTGGGGACACAGCCCCCCCTGCCCTGCCAGGGTGCTGGGGGGTGCCTGGGGGTCCCGGGTGCTGCAGGGCTGGAGCCCAGCTGGGTGCCAGCGTGGGCTGCAGCAGCTGCCTGCTGCGGTCAGGTGCTTTTTATAAAACGGAGGGAAATAAAATAGAGGAGGGAAAAAAAACTATATTAAAAAAAAAATAAAAAAAGCAAAGCCACTGCTGTCTCCAAGAGCAATAACTGCTGCTTCCTCCCAGGCTCGGGGGGAGGAGATGTGATGAGAGGATTGCAGGGTGTCCAGGACTGAGCCCCCACAGCCCCAGTGAAGTGGGGGACACCGTGGGGGGCTCCCCAGGGGTGCAGCGGGTCCCCTTGGGGTGAGGACAGCAGGGTTTGGGCACTGCCATATGGCAGCCGCGGTCATGGCCCTGCTGGGAATGTTGGTGGATCTGGGAATGTGTGTCCTCGAGTGTCCCAGCGCTGAGCCTGCAGCTCTGGGAGCCCTGTGGCACGGGCTGTGCCATCCTGGCGTGTGCCAGGGAAGGGGGTGTCCCCGGAGCTGCTGCATTCCCTGTCCCATGGCACGAGCTCCTGGCTGATGCTGGGATTTGTCAGGCTGGCACCCGGCCCAGAGCCCTCCTGGGGCATCTCCTGCGGCATTCCCAGGAGCAGGGTCGGGAGCTGGCGGGGTCGAGATGAACTTTCCACAAAAACAGGATATGGTGGGTGAACCGGTGGGGCTGTTCTTTCCTGGAAAGAGGGGCTGGGAATGTGCTGGTGGCCAGCTCTGCTTGCCCAAGGGCTTGTCGCTTTGGGGCTGATGGGATTTTGGGATAGGGAGAGCCACACTGATGGCATTTTGGGATAAGGAGAGCCACACTGATGAGATTTTGAGATGAGGCCTCTGGGTTCCTCACCCTGCCTGTGGGTTTGCAGCCAGTGGGTGCAGAGTCGAGTCCTGGGAGTGAAGTGACACCTTGGGGACCCTGTCGGGGTCCCTGGGGTCCCCAGCTGGGGCTGATGAATTGGGAGGCAGCTTGGCAGAGTTGCCTGGCTCCAGCAGCAGGTAACGGGCCCGTGTGAGTGAGCAGGGCAGGGAATTAAAGAGCTCTGCTAATTAATCCTGAGCGGCCGCAGGTCCCCCTGGAGCGCTGGCTGCGCCGGTGCCAGGCGCGGTGTGGATGCAGAGCGATGGTGTAGGGCTGCTCTGGGGGTCTGGGGAGCCCCCTTTGCCCTTGCAGGTGGGAATGGATCCATCCTGGAAGCTGCCTGGGTGTGGGATGGTGCCTGGTTTGCTGGGAAGGGGCTGTGCCAGACCCCAATCCTCTCCCACAGCCGCCCATCCCAGCCCAGTGCCGACTCCTCCTGCCTGCCCCCACTCTGCCAGCGGCGCCCGGTGACCCCAATCCCCTCCCACGGGGAAATTCAATTAAGGCTGGAGTGGAGGAACCCCGGCACATCCCTCCCAGCTCCCCAGTGCTGCAATTTATCCTCCTGGCTCGTTAATGTCGTTAATATTTCACGTGCTGGCCGTGATGGTGATGAGCTCCCAGCAGCGTGGGGGCTGAGCCCGGGGTCACGGGGCTGGGCAGGCAGGAATTGGGGTGCCAGTGCAGGATACCTGACTTAGGGGACAAGGTGAGTGCTCAGAGAGTGACACCCCGGGGTGTCGTGGGCGCTGTGGGTGCTGCACCCACCCAGCTGGCTGCTCGGAGGGCGGGTTTGCTCTCCCCACATGCCAAACTGGTTTTTCTCCCTGTGCTGCACTTTCCCCGCTGTCAGCACTGTGGGGAACCGGTTCCCTGTGACACAGCACCCACGCCCCGCTGCAGCCAAGTGGGTGCCAAGCCAGGTCCGAGGTTTTGGTGTCCCCAAAACCAGGCTGTCACCCCCTTCTTCCCCTCCTTTTCCATCCTGGTTGGAGCCATCTGGGAGCACTGGTGGGAGATTTCCTGGAGATGCCTGAGGGGTGCAGGGTGAGCTACCAGCCAGAGGTTCCCAGGGGTGCTGGTGGCACCAAATAATGGGGTCACAGCATGTGGGTGCCTCCCCAGTGCCCTCACTGGGATTCCCAGCGATGCCACCGTGTGCCCTCGATGCCACCAGCACCCAGGACGTGGCCGTGGCAGGGCTGGGGGCTCGCAGTGGGGCTGGGTCACCCCAAGGTGGGCACTGGGGTGGGTGACCACTGTCACGGCGATGCCAGTGGCCAAGGGGCCCTGCCTGGCTCCCACGGAAGCCGCAGCAGCGTCTCGCCCCCGTGCCGGGAAGGCTCCTCTCGGCTGGAATATTTGCTCCATGAGATCATGGTTTGCCGAAACAGCCAGGAGCCCTCGGCAGCGGCTGCGGGAGGTGACGCGTCCCGGGGTCACCGCGGGGAGGTGGCTGCTGGTGGCGGTCCCGGTGTCCCCCACCCCTGCTCGGGTGCTCTGCCGGTTTGGGGACACGTTGGGGACCCCACTGTGGGGCTGCAGCTGGTTTTAGCCCCAGTATGGGACATGTCCCGGGGCGTTCCTGGGCTCTCCCTCCTGCCACCCCCTTGCCATCCGAGGGTGCCCCGCTGTCCCCTGGGTTGTGCCGTGTCCCCCCCGGCCGTGCTGTCCCTCTCCCCAGGATGTGTTGTCCCATTGAAACCTCGTAAACACAGGAAGGGCTGTGCCGGGCTGTGGTGCTGAGCACGTCCCTGGCACCCGGCCGGGTCCCCCTCACCCCCCCAGTCCCACCCTGAGCCTCCCCCCATCTCACCCCCTTCCCATTTGGGGTGCCAAGGGGAGCAGCTCCCTGCCCTGGCTGTCCCCAGCACAGGTTCCCTGTGGCTGTCCCCTCCCTGGGCTGTCCCAGAGGGATCCCCCTGTGCTGGGGGATTGTCCTGGAGCAGGGCACGGTGACAAAGCTCATTGCCAGGCACTGGTGCTGGGGGGTCTCGGTGGTGCTGCCCATCCTTGGGGCTGCCCTGTGGCTGCTCCCAGCATCTGCTGCTGTCACTGTCACTGTGGTGACAGGAACGTGACGGGAACGCTGCGTCCCCAGCCGGGGCGGCAGCTGCCCTGCCACGTCCCTATTCCCTTCCCTGTCCCCCCATCCTTGTCCCCCTTCCCTATCCCCCCCATCCCTGTCCCCATCCCTGTCCCCGTCGGTCACAGCAGGGCGCTGGCTCCTCCGGTAGTTTCGTGCCTCCAAACAAGCTGTAATTTAGATCTAAAAATAAGTGAGGGGGAAGGTGCAGAGCTGGTGGCACACCCAGAGCAGGGCTCTGTGCTGGGGACAGGTGCTGTGCCAGCCCTGGAGGGGTCCCAGCCTGCCCATGGGGGTCCCTGCAGTGCTCAGTCTGCTTTTGTGGGAATGATGTGGAAACGCAGCAGATTTTTCTCATGGCTCTTCTTGCCCTGTCACCCGTGTGTCTGGGACCTCTGGTGTCTCCTTGTCACCCGTGTGGGTCACCAGGAGTGGCACAGCCTGAGCTCCTGCCTGTGTCCCTCTTTCTGACAGCACTTTTTTGGGGCTTGACCCCCCTTGTCCTACCTGGCATCACCCCGGTACCACCTGGCATTTCGGGGTGCCTCTCTTTTGGGGATCCCCATGGTGGCGGGGGGGTGCAGCTGTGAGCCCTCCCTGTGCCACATCCCCGTCACTAACCCTGTCCCTCTGTCCCCAGCCTGCCTTTTCCGCTACAATGTCCTCTCCCTGGTGTACCTGCTCTTCCTGCTGCTGCTGCCCTGCTTCCCGGGGCCCTCCCCACACTTCACCACAGGTAAGGGGCTCACCTGGGGCTGCAGAGGTGGGGCAGGTGGGGTGGGCAGCAGGGGAGCTGCCACCCTCCCTCCTGCAGGCACCTTGGCTGTGGTTTCACCCTGGCTGGGCAGTGTGGCTCCGTGTGGAGCCTCTCTCTGTTAATTATAGCCCGGCAGGGCTATGAATAGCCCTCCTGCTCCAGTTCGGAGCCTTATTAACCAAAAACCTCAAGGCTGGGCTGTGTGGGCACACCACGAGCAGCCCCTCCACCCTGCCCGGGGCACTGGGGTGCTGTGGTGGCTGCAGGGGGTCACCCACAGCGGGGCAGGTGCCCATAGCCCCCCTGTGCCCAGCCTGGACCCCACCCCCAGCTCCTGGCACGGCCACAGCTAAAAGCTTTACCCTCTGAATATTTCATGGGCTCGCACGGCCCCGGATCCCGGCACTGCCGAGAGCTTTCGTGTGGATTTACAGGAAAAAACAAGTGCAGGGAAAGCTGCTGGCCCGGGGCCGCCCCCAGGCCGGCTCACAGCTGTGGTGGGCTCGCTGCCCACCCCATCCCCTGGCCAGGAAAACGGGCACAGGGCCCGGAGAGCCGGGTGGGATGGGGGCACGGCTGCAGCTGGTGGAAGGGCTGACTGGGTTTGGGGTGGGGGAGACCCCTGGAGCCTCCCACGGGATGTTCCAGCAGGGATGGGGATGCTGACTGCACCCCAGTGTGGTTCCAGTCCAGCAGGGCCAGGGAGGTGCCAGCTGGGTGCTGCAGGGACATGAGTTTGGCTCTTGGGGTGCCCTTGGGCTGTGCTGGGTGAGCAGTGGGATCCTGACCCTGGAATGTGGGCACAGTGCACCCTTCCCAGCTCCTCCTGCTGGGGTTACTGGTGTCCCTGGGTGGTGGTGACAGCTTTGCCCGTGTCTCACAGGTCACACCACCCGCATCCTCAAAGCTCTGCTGGGGACCAGCATCATCTTCCTCCTCGCCCACCTGGTTTTCCAGATATGCCTGTACACTCTGCCCGTCCTGAAGCAGCTGCTGGGGGACAGCTGTGAGTAGGGGGTGCCCGCGCCCACCCTCACCCACAGCCCTGCTCCCTGTGCTGCCCTGGTGACATCTGGGACCCATCCTCCTGCTGCTGGGGGGCTGCTGAGGGTCCCAGCCAGCTCTGGGGACATCCTGTGCCATGCCAGGGTGTCTGCTGGGTGCCCACTGCACTGGATGGGAGTGTTCTCCCCACGTGGGGTCTGCCCCACTCAGCGCCCCCCTCCTTTCCCACAGGCAGCTCCTGGGAGGTCCTTGCTCGGCACATTGGGGTCACCAGGTAAGAGCACCCAGATGTGTGGGGCTGGGGGCTGGCAGTGGCTGGGGGGTCACCCCTGAGCCCTCCCCTGCCTTGCTCTCCTCCCAGGCTGGATTTGAGTGACATTCCTAACTCAGTGAGGCTGGTGGCACCCGACGTTGGCATCCTGCTGGTCTCGTCCCTGTCCCTGTGCCTGTGTGGCCGCCTCAGCCCTGCCACCTCCAGACGGAATCCTGAGTCCCTGGAATCCTCTGAGTGGGTGAGAGCCACCCCCACTGCCATGGGGACATCCCACCACGGGGACATCCCACCATCCACACCCCATGCACTGGGGTGTCCCTGTCCCTTCCCCGGGCACAGCCTGGGGCTTGGCATGGGGACACCCCCAGTGGTCAGGGACCCAGTTTGGGGCAGTTTTGGCCAGCTTGAAGGGCTTGGTCATTGTCACACAGCTTAGGGTGACTCAGCCGTGGAGAAATGCCCGTGTTTGCTCTGGCATTGCCACAGGGATCGTGGCAAACAGCTGGGACAGTGGGGTGGGCAGTTACGGGGTGCTGGCCCCCAGCTGGAGCTCTCTGGGTGCTGTGCCATGCTGTGCCATGCCAGCCCCACCTGGCAGTGCCAGCCGGTCACAGGGACACCGTGCTTATGGCAGACACCCCCAGTGGCACCCCCAGCCCCGCTTTGGGGGCTCCCCAAGCAGCCCAGGCTGCCGTGCCAGGCTGTAACCAGAGCAGTGGCCAGCCTGGATGCCTTTGCTGTGAGCCCAGGGCCGGTGCAGGAGGCAGCCTGGAAAAAAGCTCAGTGCTGGGAACCCGGATCCCCGAGCCAAGAAAAGCAGCCGCCCTTTGGAGGCGCTTTCCTGCTGCCTGACGAGATAAACACGGCCAGGTGCCGGGCACTGTGCCCACCTGGACGGCCACCCCTGCCCTCCCCGGAGCGGGGAAACTGAGGCACGGCCAGGAGCTGCCCGGGATGAGGTTGTGGAGCTCACAGCAGCCCGGTTTTCCCTGGCAGAGGGAAGGGAAGGATGCGGGGCGGCAGCGGCGTGCGGCCAGCAGGGACACGCGGCTGAGGAGGCGGCTGAGGGACAAGGCTCACTGGCTGCTCTGGGAGGCTGGCAAGGGCCTGGCCATCCTGCTGCTGGCCTTGGCAGGTGGGCACGGCACGTGGGGGGCACGGGAGGATGCTTGGTGCAAAGTGGGGATGCTCAATCCAGGGTGGTTTGGTTTGAGGGGATGCTTGGTCCATGGGGGAAAGCTCAGTGCATGGAGGGAGGGATGCTTGGTTCAAAGGGGAAAACATTCTGAGGAGAAGGGATGCTTGGTTTAAGGGGGGAGAATGTTCAATCTAAGGGAGAAATCTCACTGCAAGGGTCAAATGTTTTGATCTATGGAGGAAGAGATGCTTGGTTTGGGGAGGGAGGGGATGCTCAGTCCAAGGAGGGAGGATTCTCATTCCAAGCAGGAGTGATGCGTGGTCTGAAAACAGATTTAGAGTCCAAGGGGGAAAGCTTGAACCAAGAGGAAGGAGATGCTTGGCCCAAAGTGGAAAACACAGTCCAAGGGAAAGGATTCTTGCTCTGAGGAGGAATTCTGGCTCCAGTGGGATGCTGCTCAGTCCGGGGGGCTGCTGGGCTGTGCACTGACCACCCGTGGGGTGCTGCTCCCCAGGGATCACCCTGCCCTCTGCCTCCTCCTCCTTCTACTTCCTGCTCTTCATGGGGCTGTGCACGTGGTGGTCCTGTCACCTGCCGAGCAGCCAGCGGGCCTTCAATGTCCTCTGCATCCTCGTGGGCATCTACAGCGCCTGCCACCTGCTGTGCCTCTATGTGTACCAGACCCCCTTCGTCCAGGGGCTCTTCCCACCCCCCACAATCTGGGCACGGTGAGTCTGAGGGGGTGCCCTGGGGTGTGGGGTGAGCTGTCCTGTCCCACCCTGCTGCCAGCATCCCTCTGGTGCCAGCACGGGGGTGAGACCCTGGCTAGGGGGTGTTAATGCCACCTCCTCTGTCCCCGCAGGGCGTTTGGCTTCAATGACATCATCCAGTACTACAACTGCTCCCAGCCCAACACGCTGGACCTCAACACCAGCCACCCCTGGCCTGTCTATGCCAACCCTGGCATCCTGCTGCTGCTCTACTACGCCATGGCCACCCTGGTGAAGCTGCACTGGCTGGATGCCAAGGTGAGGGGCTGCAGGACAGAGCCACACCTTGATGGTGACAATGTGTGCCTGGCTGCCACCGCCCCGGCCCTGGTGCAAGGGGAGGTGGGGAGGTGGGTGCCCACCTTGGCAGGGGGCTGGGGCATGGTTCTGCTCCCCAGTGGTGGCAGTGGGTGCCCTGAGCTGGCTCCTGCCCCTCGCAGAGAGCCGTGTCACCAGCACAGCCGTGCCCCAGGGACCTGGTGGAGCTGGAGAGTTGGCCCAGGGACACTCAGCAGGTGGCCGAGGACACCAAGGTGGGTTTTTGGGGCTGTGCAGGGAATGGCTGTGGGATGGGGGTGTCAGGGTGGGCTCTGACCCTCTCTGCCCTCAGCCCATGCTGTCCCCCAACACCGGGAAGCCGAGCAGCAGCAGCAGCGAGAACTGCACCGTCCACATCCTGAGCCCATGTAAGCCTGAGCCCAGCCCCTCCCCAAACCCTGCCTAAAGCCTGGGGGTATTTCACCGTCCCTCTCCCCAAACCCTCCATCCCAGGGGTGTCTCACCGTCCCTCTCCCCAAACCCTCCATCCCAGGGGTGTCTCACCGTCCTCTCCCTGCAGCCCGGGGCCGCCTGACGCCGCAGGCCGTGGCAGGCAGGAGGCACCCGGCAGCCTGGCTGCCCCTGCACAGCCTGGGCCACGTCCTCATGAAACAGAGCTACGTGTCTGCCCTCATCGCCATGATGGTAAAGAGCGGGGAGGGGACACGGGAGGGGGACACGGACATGGTGGGGACATGGGGAGGGGGACACAGACATGGGGAGTGGACACACATGATGGGGACACAGACATGGTGGGGACATGGGGAGGGAACACAGCACTGACATGGTGGGGACATGGAGGGGGACACAGATACAGGGAGGGGACACAGACACGGTGGGGACATGGAGGGGGACACAGATACAGGGAGGGGACACAGACATAGGAGACACAACCCTGGGGACAGGACCCAGACATGGAGGGGACACAGGGAGAAGAGACAGACACGGGGAGGAGACACAGACATGGAGAGGACACAGAGAGGCGACACGGACATTGTGGGGGACACAAGGAGAGGACGCAGACATGGAGGGACAGAGAGGTGACACAGACATGGTGGCGGTGCCACTCGTGGGGGTGACACCTCGTGGGCCGAGCCCTCCTGCTGTGTGCCCCAGGTGTGGAGCATCATCTACCACAGCTGGCTGACGTTCGTGCTGCTGGTGTGGGCGTGCCTGATCTGGACGGTGCGGAGCCGCCGGCACTTCGCCATGATCTGCTCGCCCTTCCTGGTGCTCTACGGCATCACCCTGTGCACGCTGCAGTACGTGTGGGCCATGGAGCTCGTCCCCGAGCTGCCCACCCGCATCAGGTTCATGCACCTGCACCCGCTCGGGCTGGTGCACCCCAGGTACCCCTGCACTGCCCTGGCGGCCAAGGTGAGCGTGGCACTGCATTGTGGGGGTTTTTTAAATTTTTTTTTAATTTAATTTAATTTTTTTATTTTATTTCTTCAGAGTTGGGTTTAAAAGCTGGAGAGATGGTACTTTTTGTTTGGATTATTATTTTTATGTATTTATTATATTTTATTTATATTTTATTTATTTGGATTATTCATTTTTATTTGTATTATTAGACCTAGTATTAGGTCTAATATAGAATATAATAGAATAGAATACGATAGAATAGAATATGACAGAATAGAATATAATACAATAATACATAATACAATGATAATACAAAATAATAGTACATAATACAATATACTATAATATACTGTATTATACTATACTATATATATTATATATTATGTATTATATATTATATTATTACCTATATGAGGTCTATTATTTATTTATTTATGGGTCTTTATTAGGTCTATTATTATTTACATTTACATATATATTATTTGGCATAACATAATATAACATGGCATAACGTAATATACCATAATATGTAATATATATTATTCTATTATTGTTACCAGTTTTAGTTCTATTATTTATAGACCCTGAGTTTTACGGTGTTTCAAGCTAATATGTTAAAAATGGAGGCTTCTTTTTTTTTGCAAGGCCTTTTAAGGGCTAACTGTTTAATTAAGAAAAGCTACTTAAATTATTTTTCTTTTTAGCCTAATAACTACTTGTTGTGTAGGTTAACTACCTGCAGTGCAGGTTTTTTTATTTAATTACAAAATATTACTTAGACTCATGAAGAAGAAGGTGAAGAAGAACTAAGCTTCTGCTGTAAAACTTCCACTTTGCTGTATATGCATTACTATATCTTAAAACTTTAAATTCTAAGCTTTTCACTGTGTGATATTACACGCTTCAACTACACGCTCACAATCTCAGTTCTATCATTCAATTTTGGAAGCCTTCTCCAAAGTGTTTTCCTGGTGGGGGGGGGGGTTGCTCAGTGCCTGTCAGCACAGAAAATCTAAAATCCTCAGTCTGCCGGGTTCCAACAGCGCTGTCCCTCCCCTGTCCCCTGCCCCCTGCCCCCTGTCCCTGCTCAGTGCCTGTTCCTACAGCTCGTGTTCACCCTCACCTTCTGGATGCTGCTGCGGCAGTTCGTTAGGGAGAAGGTGCTAACGAGGAGATCCCCGAGCACCCCACTCATGGAGGTGTCAGTCACGGACACAGGTGAGGCGGTGTCACCACGCTGTCCCCACCCACCCCGAGCACCCCACACCTGTGTGTGTGTGTGTGTGTGTGGGGACACACCCCAGTGCCCCAGCCCAGCCCCTGCGTGCCCCACAGACTCCAGGCAGATGCGGGATGTGCTGCAGAGCCTGGGCGAGCTGGTGAAGAATTTCTTTGCCAAGTTCTGGATCTGTGTGTGCGCTGCCAAGCTCATCGTGATCACCTTCACCGGCCGCCTCGTCATCTACAAGATCGTCTACATGCTCCTCTTCCTGCTCTGCCTCATCCTGTTCCAGGTGGGCAAACTGGGGGCTCCTGCTGATGCCTAGAGGAGTTGGGACAGAGTTAAAGGGGAATAAATGGATATTTATTGAGGGACCTTCAAAGGTCACACCCTGGCAGTGCCAGTGCCGCAGTCGTGGCCCCTGCCTGGATGGCTCCAAGATGGAAACAAAAGAGGGGTTGGTCACGAGATCTCACATTTTTATAGATTTTAGTCCATTTGCATACAGAACTGTCCAATTAACAGCCTCAAATCGTGAAGTTTCATCCTCCTTGCTTGCGTGCCCGCCCTCCTCTTTTCACGTTGTTTATGCTCAGGGCCTGAAGTTTGGAGAAATTGTCCTTGAGTCCCCAGCTGGAGTAGGACTGTTTTGTCTTCACTGCCCAAGCAGAACAGAAAAACTTAAAACTTAAGGCATCACAGGGGGGTTTGTGCCCTCCCCAGGGTGGCCCTGCTGATGTCCCTGTCCCCTCAGGTGTACTACAGCCTGTGGCGCAAGGTGCTCAAGGGTTTTTGGTGGCTGGTGGTGGCCTACACCATGATGGTGCTCCTCGCCAACTACACCTACCAGTTCGAGGAGTTCCCCATGTACTGGAAGAACCTGACACGCCTCAGTGATAACGAGTGAGTGTCCCCCACCCACCGTGGGGTCACCAGGGCATGACCAAGGGCTGGGGAAACTGAGGCACGGAGCAGGTTGGGGGTTGAGCCTCGGCGCCTGGTTGGGGTGGGATGGATGAGACCCCATGCTGACCCTCCTCTCTTCTCCTCTCCCCATCCAGGCTGAGTGACGTGGGCCTGGAGCAGTTCAGCATCTCCAGGCTGTTCTCCAGCATCATCATGACGGGTTTCTTCCTCCTGGCCTGCACCCTCCAGCTGCACTGCTTCCACGAGCCCTTCATGCGCATCACTGACATGGCAAACATCCGTGCCCCCTCTCCGGCCCCCTGCCACATCCCCAGGTGGGATCCAGTGCTGGGTGACCCCCCTGCACCCCAAACCTGCCATCCCCGCTCTGAGCCCCCCTTCCCACAGGTCTGAGGAGCTGCAGGGGAGCCGCCTGCTGCGGGATGCGGCCGCTGCCGAGACCACCCAGTCCAGAGACTCCGACACCGACTCCCTGGGTACAGGGCAGGGATGGGGGACGGGCTGGGACGGGGTGTCCTCCAAGCCAGGGGGGACCTGGGAGGGTGGAGCCTTGGGTTTGGGTTGATATCCAACAGGGGGAGGGTATGGAGATGGACTGGGGCATCCTCCAAGCCTGGAAGAGACTTTTGGGTGTGGATTGGGGTGTCCTTCAAGTGTGGGAGGGACTGGGGTGGCCTCTGAGCCAGGAAGGGGCTGGGAGGGCATAGGGGTGAATTGGCGTGTCCTGAAAGCTGGCATGGGACCAGGGTAGTGCAGGGATTTATTGGGGTCTCCTCCAAGTCTGGAGGGATACAGGGATGGCTTGGAGGTTGCAGGGATGGATTGTGGGGAGTTGTGGAATGGATTGAGGTGTTCTCTGAGCAAGGGAGGACACCAGGGATGGGTTGGGGTGTCCTCAGAGCCAGCCAGGCTGCGGGGGTGTCCATGAGGGTCCATGTCTCTCAGAGTCCAGCAAATGGGGGCTGGTGCTGGAGCGCCTGATCGTGCTGGGCCAGACCTTCTCAGACATGGTGACACGTGGGGAGGTGTTCCTGAGGCGCGTGCTGGAGCTCCACGTCGTCAAGATGGTGGCTCTCTACACGGTCTGGGTGGCCCTGGAGGAGGTACCCCTGGGGGTGCAGGGTTGGGGGGGGCTCAGCTGGGGCCCCCCAAGGTGCTGACACGGCCCCTGCCCCAGGTCTCGCTGATGAATTTCTTGCTGGTGCTGCTGTGGGCCTTGGCCATGCCCTACTGCCGCTTCCGCCACATGGCCTCGTGCCTCTCCACCATCTGGACCTGCATCATCATCGTCTGCAAGATGCTCTACCAGCTCGAATTCGTGGACCCCGAGGAGTACTCCAGCAACTGCACCCAGGTGTGCTCATGGGGCTGGTTCTCAGGGGGGGTCCCTGGCTGGAGGGGGGTCTGGGGGTGCTCAGGAGCACTGAGCCATCCCCTGGTGCTCCCCTTGGCAGCCCCTCCCCAACAGCACCAACCTGACCCCAGAGGAGCTGGCCAACTCCACGCTGTACCGTGACCTCGTGGACCCTGCCAACTGGTTCGGCGTCCGGAAGGGCTTCCCCAACTGGGATTACGTCAAGGTGGGCACGGGGATGCCGTGGGGACCCACCTGGGGGGGATTGCTGGTCCTGAGCATGCCCTGTTCCCCCTGCAGAACCACCTGCAGGTGCTGCTGCTGCTGGTGTTCGAGGCCGTGGTGTACCGGCGCCAGCAGTACCACCGCAAGCAGCACCAGCTGGTGGCCCCTGTCACCGAGACCATCTTCGAGGACATCTCCCGTGAGCACCTCGACCTCGGCATCGTCAGCTGTGCCAAATACTTCATCAACTACTTCTACTACAAGTTTGGCTTGGAGGTGTGTTGTGGCTGGTGCCAGGGGTCAGTCTGACCCCAGCTGCCACAGATGTCCCGGATAGTGAGATCTCACAAGGAACAGCCTGTCCTGGGGTCCCAGGCAGTCTCAGCTGCAGGGGACAAGTGCAAGCAAGGCTTGGGCTTCATGTGATCAGCTCTTTGAGTGATTTCAGCCCTTTGAGTGATGTCAGCTCAGCTTGCAAGCTACCCCAGGCAACTCAGGGACAAAATGGGAAGAGCTAGGTGGCAATTCTACAGAACACTTGATTGGCAGCTTCTGCAAAGGGGGTCCAGTGGCAGTTTCATTCCACTGAGCTGGGCAGAAGCAGGGGATTTTATAGGGAAGGTGTGGCTTGATGGAAGGGCCAGTCATTTAGGGCCGAGGAAATATGACCAATAGTTTTACAAGGAGATGAAGTGGGGTCCCAAGGTGGGAAAAGGGTCTCTTAGCCCAGTCACCGAGACTAAGCAATTCTTACCTAGGCAACAGCTCTCCAGGGAGGCCTTGCCCTGCTCCCTCCACTGAGGTGGGAGCGTTTTGGGGAGGGGTCCTGGTGCTCACAGCACCCCAGTGCTGAGCCCTGCACCTCTCTCCACCCCCAGATCTGCTTCCTGATGATCGTGAACGTGATCGGGCAGCGGATGAACTTCCTGGTGATCCTGCACGGCTGCTGGCTCGTGGTGATGCTGACGCGGCGGCGGCGCGCGGCCATCGCCCGCCTCTGGCCCAAGTACTGCCTCTTCCTCGTCATCTTCTTCCTCTACCAGTACCTGCTGTGCCTGGGCATGCCACCTGCTCTCTGCATTGGTAAGGGGCACGGGGGGCACCATTTGCCTGCCCTGGGAAAGGGGCAGGAGGAGAGGCCTGGCACTGATTGTGCCCTCTGTCCCCCCAGACTATCCCTGGCGCTGGAGCGACAGCATTCCCCTCAACTCAGCACTTGTCAAGTGGCTTTACCTGCCCGACTTCTTCCAGGCTCCCAAATCCACCAACCTCATCAGTGAGTAGCCCCATGTGGTGCCCTGTCACCCTGTTCCAGCCCCAAAACCTCTGTGACCTCCCCAGCGATCCTGCCTCCAGGAGGGGGAAGGACAGGCAGGAGGGGTGGAGGAGCTTTTAGAGCCCCACTCCATTGGAGGTAGAGCTTAAATCACACACACCCTATTGGAGAAGGAGTCATGGCAAACTCCACCCCTTTTTGGGGGAGCTGAATTGTTTTCCCACCCTAATTTTGGGAAAAGGAGGGGCCTGGAGAAATGCACACTTGGTTAAGGAAGAGGTCTGGGAAAGCCACACCTGGTGGAGGGAATTCATGAGCTTCCCCATCCTGGCTAGGAGTGTCCTGGGATGCCCTACGCCTCGGGGAAGGATTTGAGAGGTCCCAGGGTTTTGGGGCAGCCTGTGGCCAACACTGACCCCTGTTCCCTCAGATGATTTCATGCTGCTGCTGTGTGCAGCCCAGCAGTGGCGTGTGTTCGAGGCCGAGCGCTCCGAGCCCTGGCTGAGCGCGGCTGGGGACAACTCGGACCGGCTGGACCGGGAGCAGGACCACTACAACCCCACCCCAAACTTCATCTACTGCAAGTGGGTGCCCCCAGAACAGCACCCCAGCCTGGGCTGGGGTCATGGGAACGGGATTCTCTGTGGGCAGTGAATGGGGAGCTCCTCTGGGGTGGGGGAATGGACAGGATGGGACCCAGCTGGGATGAGACCCCTTGGGGTATGGACACAATCTCACACTTGGAATTTCAACCTTGAGATGCCAAACTTTGGGGAATGAACAAAATGGGTTACCCCTTGGGATGGGACCCTTTGGGGTAGGGATGAGATCCCACTCTTGGATGGCAAATCCCCTGAGATGGGACCCCTTGAGGCATGGGTAGGATGGGACCTTCAGGGAGTGGGACCTGCTGGGCTGGGATCTCTAGAATGGGATTGGAACCCCTTTGGACATGATGGCTGGAGCAGGAACTCCCTGAGGCTCTTCTGAAGGAGACGAGGTGGTCCAGGACACCCCTGGTGATGGTGCTGGACCCTCACAGGCTTTGTGCCATAAACTGGGACAAAGCCCTTTGATAGGGCTGGTGGGGGGGACTGGGACCGAAGACCCCTGCTCTGACCACCCCATCCACAGATCCTACCTGGACATGGTGAAGGTGGTGGTGTTCCGTTACCTCTTCTGGGCTGTCCTCGTGGTGGTTTTCATCACTGGTGCCAACCGGATCAGCCTCTTTGGCCTGGGCTACCTGCTGGCCTGCTTCTACCTGCTGCTCTCGGGCACTGCCATGCTGCGCAAGCCGGCCCGTGCCCGCCTGGCGCTCTGGGACTGCCTCATCCTCTACAACATCACCATCATCATCTCCAAAAACATGCTGTCGGTGTGTTGTGATCCACCTGCTTCTCCTCAGGTCACCCTGGCCATCCCCGGGGTGGTGACAAAGCCGTGTGTGCCCTCTCTGCCCGCAGCTCCTGTCCTGCGTCTTCGTGCAGCAAATGCAGAGCAACTTCTGCTGGGTGATCCAGCTCTTCAGCCTCGTCTGCACTGTCAAGGGCTACTACAACCGTGAGTTGCTGCTCCGGGGGGCTCAGGGCTGCAGGTTTGGGCTGCTGCCTGACCTGCCTGCACCTCTGCCTGCCAGCCAAGGCGATGCCCAAGGACCACGACTGCACGCTGCCCGTGGAGGAGGCTGGCATCATGTGGGACAGCATCTGCTTCTTCTTCCTCCTGCTCCAGCGCCGCATCTTCCTCAGCTCCTACTACTTGCACGTCATGTGGAACCTCCAGGCCTCCGCCCTGCAGGCTTCCAGGTGGGATTGAGGTCCTGGGGCGTCCCCATGGGTGCTGGGGGCCACCCTGACCCTCCACTGTCCCTGTCCCCCAGGGGTGTGGCATTGTTCAAGGCCAGCATCGTGAAGAGCCTGCACGCACACCGGCGAGCCGAGAAGAAGTCGCTGGACCAGCTGAAGCGGCAGTGAGTGGGTTTTGGGGGGCACTGGGACCCCGCTCTGTGTATGGGGTGCCCCTGGGGGCCTGGGGGAGCGGGCTCTGCAGCATCCTGTGCCTCCAGGATGGAGCGGATCCGAGCCAAGCAGCAGAAGTACCACCAGGAGAGGCTGCCCCGCAGCACCAGCCTGGGGCAGGAAGGGGCCAGACCAGGTGAGAGCCATGGGGACCCTCCCCTGTCCCCAACTCCTTTCTGGACACACGGGTGGCACTGTGACCCATCACTGACACCCATCGTGGTGGAGCCCTGTGGAGCATTGTGGTGACCCCTCCCACCCTGAGTGCCCCCCAGGTGAGATGCATGCCCTGAGTGTCCCCCAGGGCAGGGTGGGTGCCCTGAGTACCCCCCCAGGTGAGATGCATGCCCTGAGTGTCCCCCCAGGAGGGGTGGGTGCCCTTAGTGTACCCCCAGGGCAGGGTGGGTGCCCTGAGTGCCCCTCCAGGCAGGGTGGGTGCCCTGAGTGCCCCCCTAGGCAGGCTGGGTGCCCTGAGTGTGGCCATCCTCAGCCCCATGTGCCATCCCACAGAGTCTGGTGACCCCACAGACCCATCCCGGGAGAGGGAGCGCTGGTGGCAGCCATGGTCAGACCATGCCACAGGTACAGCCCTGGCACGGGGCATAACAGGGCACAGCCCCCCCTCAGAGAGGTCCCCCCTAACACCTGCGAGGTGCTGGTGGCACTGCTTGGTTAAGGTGACACCCTGCATGTCCCCTGTCCCCAGGCTCGGCTGCAGAGCACTAACCATGGCTTCTCTGCTCCCCAACACTAATGGGGTGTTGGACTGGGGGTGCCAGGCTGGGTTTGGGGTCACCGACGTCGGTCACCTCCGAGCGACGCCGCTTTGGGGACGTGGCAGTTGAGTTGTTGGTTTTGATGTCCCCACGGGTGTCCTCGGTGCCAGGCAGAGCCCTGGGAGACGGCAGCGGGGCCAGCCTGGGGTGTGACAGCCCTGCCGTGGCCCTGGCTGTGCTGTGACACCCTGTGCCCCCCGGCAGTGCTGCATTCCGGGGAATATTTCCTCTTCGAGTCGGACAGCGAGGAGGAGGAGGAGGTGCAGGAGGAGCCACGGCCAGAGAGGCCGAGCGCCTTCCAGGTGAGCAGGGCTGGGGGACTGCAGAGCCAGCTGGGGGGCTGGCAGTGTCCCCAGGGTGCTGATGGCCCCTGTCCTCCTCCAGCTCGCCTACCAGGCCTGGGTGACCAACACCAGGACGGTGCTGAGGCAGCAGGAGCAGCCTGAGCAGCCTGAGTCACCCAGCACTGAGAGCATTGCAGGTGAGTGTGACACCCCAAAATAGGGCTGAGGGGACAGGAGGGGACACAGCCCTGCCTGGTGCCCACTGTGTGCCCTGGCAGGGCGCTCCTGGTGTGGGGGACTTTTAAGGTGGATGGATGTAGGGGGACAGGGGATGGGGTGGTGGATGGGAGAGCCCCAGAAATGATGTTCATCCTTCCCTGGGGTCTGACCCTTGCAGAGGATGGCATAAGGAGAGAGGTGGAGGCTCCTGAGGAGGCTGAAAGCCGGGAGGAAGAGACCATGGAAACTTCTGGTAGGTGGGCAGCAGGACTGCAGCTCAAGGGGGTGCTGGGGAGGTCTGGGTGGGCACGAGTCACCCTGCACCCTTCTTTCTGCCCTGGCAGAGCGCAGCAACGTCTTGCAGCGGGCACTGAACACGCTGAGGTTCCTGTGGCTGCTGTGCCAGGCCCTGGTGGACGGGCTGACCCAGTGGCTGGACACCTGCACCCAGGAGCACAGGGACATGTCCCGTGTGCTGCGCCTCGAGAGATGCGTCATGGCAGAGCGCCTGGCCAGGGTGAGCCTGGGGGGACACTGGGGTGTGAAGGGTGGCACCCCACGGTGGCACTGACGTCCTGCCTGCCACAGGGAGAGGAGATCAACGAGAGGTTCCCAGATGAGCTCTATGTGCTGCCGGAGGAGTTACCGGAGGAGCTGAGCCCGTCTGCCTCCTTGGCTGCAGATTCCCAAAGCAGCACTTCCAGGCGGGTGCATAGAAACCCCTGAGGGGGGTGTTGGCAGTGCCACAGGTGGGGCAGGGGGCTCATCCCCGTCCCTGTGTCATTCCCAGGGGGTGCCTAAGAGCTACCCCTTCTTCCAGCAGCCAGGAGCAGGCGGCAAGCCTGGAGGACGTGGCTGATGCTCAGCAGTTCCTGGCCGTGCCCCAGCAGCGCAGGCGGACGGCCAGTGAGCTCCTCAAGAGCAGGTGGACGTGGGGACAGCGGGGTTTGGGGACAGCGGGACGGGGATGGGGGCTGGCAGGAGGGCTCACCCCAGCCCTGCACCCCACAGGAGGTTGTGTGTCTCCGAGCTGGAGGAGTCAGAGCAGTTTTACCAATCCCACAACCGGTTCCTGAAGCTGCTGCTGGCTGGGTACCGCTGTGTGACCGCCCACTCCGAGCTGCTCTGTTACTTCGTCATCATCCTCAACAACATGGTCACTGCCTCCATCATCTCCGTCTTCCTGCCCATCCTCGTCTTCCTCTGGGCCATGCTCTCCATCCCCCGGCCCACCAAGCGGTTTTGGATGACGGCCATCATCTTCACCGAGGTGGGCTGGGGGTGGCCAGTGAAGGGACAGTGCCACCCGGGCCCCGCTGCCACCCACTGACCCCAGTGTCCCCACAGGTGATGGTGGTGGTCAAGTACCTCTTCCAGTTTGGGTTCTTCCCCTGGAATGGCTACATCACCCTGCTGCGCCACGAGGGCAAGCCCTTCTTCCCACCACGCATCCTGGGCTTGGAGAAGTCCACCCACTACATCAAGTATGACCTCGTGCAGCTCCTGGCCCTCTTCTTCCATCGCTCCCTGCTGCTGGTGAGCCCTGGGTGGGCATTTGGGGGGAGCTGGAGCTGCTGCTGGGGGCTCCAGGCTGAGCCCAGTGGGTGCTGGGCAGCTCTGCTGCGGTTTCCCACCGGTGCTGGTGGGAATTGAATGCTGCAGGATGGGGAGTGAGGTGTGTGAGGCTGGACCCCTGACCATGTCCCTCTGCAGTCCTTTGGGCTGTGGGAGAGCAAGGAAGGGGAGGAGAAGCCAGAGGAAGCCGTGTCTGCACCACCAGCCGTGGCTGAGGAAGGGCTGGAGGCTCCAGCCCAGCCAGGAGCACTGGCAGCAGCCACAGGGCCAGAGCAGGAGCTGGGGCCAGACTGCATAGAGCAGGAGGAGAGCACTGGGGCCACACAGCTCCGCTTCAGGAGGAGGAGGCAGCAGGAGAGGAAGACCCTGGAGATGGTTCCAGTGGAAGGTGAGCACCATTCCCAACCCTCATGCCACGGTGAGGGGCAAAGCTGGCACCCCCAGCATGCTGGGGTCGGGCAGGATGTGGCCCTGCAGCACCCTGGCAGTCACCCACACTGTGCCTCACTTCAAGGGGATGAGGAGGAGGATGAGGAAGAGGAGGAGGAAGTGTCAGAAGAGAGCCACGCTCACAGGAAGCTGAGGGAGTTTGGCTTGCGGGTCAAGGGCTTCTTCCTCACCATGTGAGTTACGGTGGTGCTGGTTGGGCTGGGGGCTGTGGTGTGCAGTCCCAGTCACCTGTCCCCTGTGTCCCCTGTGTCCCCTGTCCCTGCAGGGCACGGAACATGTACCAGCCAGTGCGCAGGTTCTTCCAGGACATCCTGGACACTCAGAACCATGCAGCCACCGACGTCTACGCCTACATGTTCCTGGCTGACGTGGTCGACTTCATCATCATCATCTTCGGCTTCTGGGCCTTTGGGGTGAGCAGGGAGTCCCACAGGGCCCTGACTGTCCTGCCTCCACCACAGGGGTGAGGCTGGGCAACATTCTGACCTCTCCTGCACCCCAGAAATACTCGGCGGCCGCCGACATCACCTCCTCGCTGTCGGAAAACCAAGTGCCGGAGGCTTTCCTGTTCATGCTGCTCTTCCAGTTCACCACCATGGTCATCGACCGTGCCCTCTACCTCCGCAAGACTGTGCTGGGCAAGCTCATCTTCCAGGTCACCCTGGTCTTTGGCATCCACTTCTGGATGTTCTTCTTACTGCCTGCCGTCACCCAAAGGTACGTCCCAAAGGATTCCCTGGCACAGCGTGGTCCTTGCGTGGCACCTTGGTGTCCCCAAGCCCACGTGGTGGCCCAGGTTGAAGAGTGGCACGTCCCTCCTGCAGGTTGTTCCGCCAAAACACGGTGGCCCAGCTGTGGTATTTTGTGAAGTGCATCTACTTTGGTCTGTCGGCCTACCAGATCCGCTGTGGCTACCCCACCCGCATCCTGGGCAACTTCCTCACCAAGAAATACAACCACCTCAACCTCTTCCTCTTCCAGGGGTAGGGCAGGGGGCCGCAGGGAGCCCCAGGCACCCCGAGGGTGCTGCTGTACCACTGCCCTGTCCCCGTGTGCCCCCAGGTTCCGCCTCGTGCCCTTCCTGGTGGAGCTGCGGGCCGTCATGGACTGGGTGTGGACGGACACCACGCTGTCCCTCTCCAACTGGATGTGTGTGGAGGACATCTACGCCAACATCTTCATCATCAAGTGCAGCCGGGAGACTGAGAAGGTACAGCCCCTATGCCAGGAAGGATCCCCCGCTTAAACCCCTCTTAAAGGTTTGTTGGGGTTCCCCTGAGCACACCCTACACCGTGTTCTGTCTGCCCCCACCCCAGAAATACCCCCAGCCCAAGGGGCAGAAGAAGAAGAAGGTGGTGAAGTACGGCATGGGCGGCCTCATCATCCTCTTCCTCGTGGGCATCATCTGGTTCCCGCTGCTCTTCATGTCCCTGGTGCGCTCCGTGGTGGGCGTCATCAACCACCCCATCGATGTCACCGTCACCCTCAAGCTGGGGGGGTACGAGGTGAGGATGTGGGGGTGGCTGTTGGGGTGCCCAGATGGGGGACACCAGCGTGCCCTGCCTGGCTGATGTCCCCTGTCCCCTCCCAGCCTCTGTTCAGCACGAGCTCCCAGCAGCAATACATCCAGCCCTTCACCCCCGAGGACTACGACGAGCTCACCGCGGAGTTTGAGAGCGAGCCGGTAAATCCTCCCTCCCCACCCCAAAAAAAATCCCTGCTGGCTGCTTGGGGCAGGGTCTGGCAGAGCCGCCAGGGCAGGAGCTGAGCCGTGTCCCCCCCTTTGGTGGCAGTTGGCCATGCAGTTCATCACCCTCTACGGTGACGAGGACATCGTGACCGCGCGAGTCGAGGGCAGCTCGGGCTCGCTGTGGAGCATCAGCCCCCCCAGCCGCGAGCAGATGCGGCTGGAGCTGCAGAACGGCTCCTCCGACATCACCGTGCACCTCTCCTGGAGCTTCCAGAGGTACCTCGGGCACGGCCGGGAAGGAGCCAGCCCTGCCTGCACCCGCCCTGTCCTCACTGAGCCTCTCCTGCCCGCAGGGACCTGGGCAAGGGGGGCACGGTGGAGAACGCCTACGGCAAGCACAGCACAGAACTGGAGCCTGGCGCACACCAGCGCCTGGAGCTGGCCCAGATGCTGGATGGCAGCAGGGATGACCCCGTGTGAGTGTCCCCTGAGGGGGTGACTGGACCCTTGTGCTCAGTGGGATGGTGTAACCCTCCCCCCATCACTCCACTTTCTTGTAGGGTATTGCCCAAACTCTTCCCCAAATACATCCGGGCGCCCACTGGCCTCGAAGCTGAACCTGTCAAGCAGCTGCTGCCAGGTAGGTCCCAAGGTGTCCCCCACAAGAAAACCAGCACTGGGTGCCACCTCTCTGAAGACAGGGAGGAAGGACATCAGTCCCAGTGTGTCCCTCCCTAAAAAATCAGCACTGGGAGCACACCAGTAACCGTGCTGGGTACCAGTGGACAAGGAGGATGTGAGTCCCCACTGTGTCTCCTCCCAAAAAAATCATCCTTAAGAGCACAGCAGCCACTGGGCCGTGCCCTGACGGTGTCACCCTCTCCAGATGACGTGGAGAGCTACCTGGACGTGGAGGTGCAGCTGAAACGGGAGCACAGGGGCTCTGGCCCCGGTGAGCACTTTGTGGAGTGGTGGGTGCTGAGGCTGAAGGACGCCCCACCCCAGGAAGGCAACGTCCTCCCCATGATCATCTTCAACGACAAAGTCAGCCCCCCCAGCCTGGGCTTCCTGGCTGGCTACGGGTACGTGGAGGGTGCCAGGGCGTGGGGGGATGCAGAGGGAATTTCTGGGGGGATATCCAGGGATTTAGGATGTGCCAACCCCCCTCGCAGGATCATGGGGCTCTACGTGTCCATCGTGCTGGTGATTGGCAAGTTCGTGCGGGGCTTCTTCAGCGAGATCTCCCACTCCATCATGTTCGAGGAGCTGCCCTGCGTGGATCGAATCCTGAAGCTGTGCCAGGACATCTTCCTGGTGCGGGAGACGGGCGAGCTGGAGCTGGAGGAGGAGCTCTACGCCAAGCTCATCTTCCTCTACCGCTCGCCCGAGACCATGATCAAGTGGACACGGGAGAAGAATTAAGGGGAAGGGGCTCCAGCCCCCCCTGACAGGGACATCACCGCCAATGCCTTAAGCAGCCCCCGCAGCTGGGGCTGCACCCCGGCCCGGCAGGCAGTGGGATGTGGGGTTCTGGGCGCTCCCTTGGAGGGAGGATGTTTTTCTGGATGTTTTCCTCTACGTTGCTTTGAAGCCTGCACAGACCATGTTGTGCCTTCCCGGGGAGGGGGACAGGAGGTGGCCCCCCCACCCACTGGGCACCCCTGGCTGCCAGGTAGGGATGGGGTCGGGGTCAAGAGCCAGCCCGTGCCCCCCTCCCTGCTGGCCCCAGCCCTGCTCCAGAACCAGGTTGAATTCAAGCAATAGCCCCCTTCCCCCCAGCTCCAGGATGGGGGTCCTGGGTTGTGGCCCCCCCACGTTTGAGGGGGTCTGGCAGCCCCAGTTGGACTTTAGACACTTGTGACTTCGAGTTTGTTTTGTTTTTTTTTTTTTAATTAATTCAAATGGTTTATTTATACAGATATTGAATAAAACAAACTTGAGGCCTCCCTGGCTGACAGGCAGCTGGGGCAGGGAGGTGGGAGGAACCAGGGACCTGTACCCCAGCCCCCAATAAACAGGGGCTGAGGGCTCTCCCTGCCCTTTGCTGGGACAGAAATGGGGTATAAAAGCTGCCTGGGTGTCAGGAATCCTCAGCACCCTCTGGGCTGTCCCTGAGGAGTGGCACCTGTCCCAGCAGTGCCACAGTGGGATGGAGGTGTGTCCCCTGCTGTCCCCAACCCCTTCAGCTCTTGCTGGACTCCTGGTTCTCCTGGTCCTGCTCCATCTCAGCTCTGCAGGGGATGGACACGGGTTGGACACGGCACCGGGGCTGAGCAGGTGGGGAGGTGCCCCCCACCCCCGGTACCTGCGGATCCTGCGCTGGCCCTCGGCGCGCACGTAGGGGGGCAGCGTGTCAAGGGGACCCTGCACGAGAGGGGCCGTGAGCCTGGGGACCCCCACCACCCCTGAGAACCAACCCCCCTGCACCCCAAAACCTCACCAGCTCCTTGAAGGTGAGGCGGCAGCTGTAGCACAGCAGGGGGATGTAGGCAGCTTTGCTCTCAACCCTGTGGGACAGCGACAGGGACACTCAGTGCTGTCACCTTGGAAATCTGGAGTTCCCCCCCAGCCCATGTGCTCACCCTGCTGCTGGCTCCTCCAAGATCAGCGTGGGCTCCAGAGCCAACTCCTCCTCTGTAAGAGCCAGGGGGTCACTGAGGGGTACACAGCTGCTCCCCAAATTCCCCTGAGACCCCCAAATCCCACCCAGGGGTCCGGGATCCACCCCCAGGATCCCAAATCTGAGCCGGGGGTCCCAAATGTGCTCCCCAAATTCCCCTGAGCCCCCCAGTGCCCTCCCCACTCACCCCCATCGGTGTCCAGGCCACAGAGGCAGAGGAGGCAGCGCTGGGACTCGCTGCTGGCCTTGGCTGGCTCCGGGCTCAGCTTCTCGCCCGTCCTGCAGCCAACACAGGGTGAGTGGGTGCACCCCAAACCCCCCCACACCCCCAGAGAGACCCCCTGTACCTGTACACGGTGCTGATGGTGGAGGGGAACTCCTCCTGCAGTCCCAGCAGGAAGCGCTCGACCAACTGGTGGATGCTGGGCTTCTCCCGGCGCTGTGGGAGCCAACAGAGAGGGCAGGGCAGGACTGGGAGGTCCTGTCCCTGCTGTGGGGACACAGAGTGTGGGCTCCCCACCACGAGACCCCCCCCTACCTTGGTGAAGAGGGGTGGCACAATGACGGTGGGGACGCTGAAGAAGCGGTTGTAGAAGGCGATCTCCTTGGCCGTGTAGTCCCGCATGGGTCTCACCACCATCACGTCACCGTGGCGCTGGTCCGTGAAGCCCTGTGGATGCAGGGCTGCCAGGGGACTGTGCCACCATCAAGCCGTACCCCCATGGTGGCATCGTGTCACCCCTCGGGTGTCGGTGCCCGTCCCCAGCTCACCGTGTCCACGGCGAGGAAGGCGCCGCGCCCCAGGGAGAGGTTGGTGAGGAGTTTGATGGCCACGCGTGTGAGGCTCTCGCCCATCATCACCTTGGCATAGCCCCTGTCCCGGGCTGTCTGCACGATCAGGTGGGTCCTGGGGACGAGGTGACAGCAGATCAGAGCCACCCTTCCTGCCTGGCACAGGTGCTGGCACCGGGCAGGGTCAGTCGCTCACCGCAGCATCTCCAGCAGCTCCTCCCGCGCCGTCGCCGTCCCCGCGGCCTCGAAGCTGCGGAGCAGCTCCTGGGTCTGGGCAGCGTCCGGCAGGCGAGGGGTGGCCGAGGGTCCCGCTGGCGTGTCCTGGGTGCTGTGACCAGGCAGAGAGGTGCCACTGTCCCCATCCTGCCGCTGCTGCTGGATGAAGCTGTCCACAGCCTCCTTGTAGGAAGGGCCGGATGGGCTGGATGTGCTGGCGCGCTCCAGCCCCGGCTGTAGGATGGATGGGGGCAGCTCCAGTGCCTGCGGGGCAGAGAGGGATATCGGGGGAAGCTGTCCAGATGTGTTCCCTCAGCTCAGCACCCCATGTCACCCCAATACCTCCTCCAGGTGGATCAGGTAGTAGGGGAAGCCGGTGGCCTGCAGCAGGGTCTCCATCTGAGCCAGGGTCTGCTCCCGCTGCTCCGGGCTCTGCCTGCGCACGGCTCCCTCTGGAAGGCAGGGGGGCAGTGCCAGGGCTGCTGTCACATCCCCAGCCCCATTCCTGGGGTGGCAGCACCCCAGCCCTGGCACAGTGCAGGGGACACTGTGCTGGGAGTCAGTGGTGGGGCTGGGAATGGGGCAGGGAACAGGCATTGAGCTGGGAACAAGCAGCGGGACAGGGAATGGGCTGGGAATGGTCAGCTGGACACGGAGCAGCAGCAGGGCTCCCTCACCCTCCACGTAGACCAGGCCAGGGACGAAGCGGAGCCTCTTGGCCGCCTCCCGGCTGAGCCCCTGGCAGAGGAGTGGGGTGAGGAGTGGGGTGAGGGGGGGTCGAGCCGTGCACCCCCCGAGCACCTCCAAACCCCCATTCTCACCTCCTGCACCTGCCGGACCATGGCACTGGAGGCTGGGCCCCCTGACACTGCCAGCAGCACCTGTGGGGACAGCGGGGACAGTCACCAGCCCTGGGGCCACCCCGGGGTGCCCTGTCTGGATCCCCCTCCCGGTACCTTCTCTCCCGGGAAGATGACACGGTTCTTGCCCAGCATGGCACGGAACTTGTGCACAAAGTAGTCACGGAAGCAGCCCCTGGGGACATGGGGACACAGGGACTCCTGAGCTGACACCCCCAAACCCCTCATGCCAAAGTCCCCTTGATATCCCCGAGACCAATGTCCCGGAGAACAACATCCCAGAGTTCCAATGATCCCCATGCGCCACGTCCCCAAACCCAAACCTTACTGTCCCCTCTCCGCTGCTCTCAAAACTCAACGTCCCCAAACCTTGATGTTGTTTGGCCCCGATGTCCCAAACCTTGAAGTCCCCAATGTCCCCAGCCCCAACATCCCAATGCCCAGACACTCAACATCCCTGAGAACAACTGTCCCCAATCCCTGATGTCCCCAAGCCTCCATCTCCTGGAGACTCAGAAACCCCAGTCCCTGATGTCCCCAGTTTCTGATGTCCCCAATTTCTGATGTCCCCAGTTTCTGATGTCCCCCATCCCGCTGTTCCTGCCAGGTCCCTTACCGGCAGAAGGGGTCCCCGACGCGGATGACGAGGGCGGCCGTGCCCTGCCCGCACTTCATGCACGTTCGGGGGCGTCTGCGGGGACACGGCCGGTCACCGGGGACACCGGGACCTGGTCCCGGACCCCGGGCAGCACCAGGGATACCCGGGATGTTACCAGGGGATACCGGGCAGTACCGGGAGCAGCACTGGGGGTCCATTCCGCGGCCGGACCGGACTCACACCTGTCTCCCGGTGCGCGGCGGCGCCGCGGCGGTTCCGTGTCCGCCCCGCACCCACCGCCGTCACCCGCCGCGTCGCACATGGCGGCGCCACTCGACTCCGGTGGATTCCGGTGGGTCCAGGTGAGTTCCGCTCGGTCCCGGAGGGTTCTGGTTGATCCTGGTGAGTCCCGGTAGGTCCCGGTGGGTTCCGGTGAGTCCCCGGGGGTCCTGCTCGGCTCGGGCCCCGCTCGGCCTCGTTCGGCTCCGCTCGGTTCGCACTCGACTCCTCTCGGCCTCGTTCGGCTCCGCTCACCCCGTTCGGCTCCGCTCGGCCTCGTTCGGCTCCGCTCGGTTCTCACTCGGCTCCGCTCGGTCCTGTCGGGTCCCGCTGTGTCCCGGTGCGCTCCCGTCGCGCGGCGATGACGTAGTGGCGCCGCTCGATGACGTTGCACCCGCCCCGCCGGCCGCCGCCGCCGCCATGTTCCGGAGCCTGCTGGTGGCGGCGGCGCAGCGGCCGCAGGGCCCGGCCGGGCCCCCCCGCTCTGCCCCCGGGCCCGGGGCCGCGGCCGAGGCGCTGGAGGCGCAGTTCAGCTGCCCCATCTGCCTCGAGGTTTTCCACCGCGCCGTCGGCATCGCGGGCTGCGGGCACACGTGAGACGGGGCCCGGGCGGGGGCGGCGGGGACCCCCGGGCTGAGCCGGCCCCGGGGACGGGCGCGACGCGGGGCTGGGCGCTGTGCTGGGATCCTTGCGGGCTCTCTGCCCGGTGACCCCAGCCGGCACCGGGACCCCCAGCCCACACCGGCGATGGTTCAGTACCGGGATCCCCCTTCCCACCCTCACTCAAATACCGGGACCCTCATCCCGTCCCACACCGGGATCTCCATCCCATCCCTTCCACTCCCTCTGCTGCCAGACCTGGCTCCTGTTCCCAGGAACCCCCAAACCCTTGTTCACGTGTCCCCCCAGCATTTCGGGGACACCTCGATCCCTTTTTCCGTCTGATTTTGGGGACATTCCCAAGGAGTTGTGGCTTTATTTGGAGCTCCAGCACCTCCTCGCTCCTGCTTGTTCTGGGCTGGGGGCAATTCCCAACCCCTCCTGATGCCTCCTGCTCGTCCCTGCTCCCCTTGCAGTGGTAGAGGCTTTGAGGCGTTTTATTCCCTGGTCCTGGTGGCTGGAGCTGGGAAGGAGAGGCCAGGAATGCCACGATAATCAGATTTCGGGGACGCGGCTCCTTTTCCTCCTCTGGGCTGCTGGGATTCCTCAGCCCTTGGGTTCCTTTGCTCCTGGGGATGTGAGGACCTTGGAATGAGGTGATCCAGGCTCCTGCCTGGCCTGGATATTCAGCACTGACTTTGGCTGCTTTCACATGCAGCCTTGGAGCAGTGGAATAGTCTGTGCTGCAGGGAGCTCCCTGAGGACTCACCTGCTCCCAGTTCTCCCAGCAGAACCCTGTGATGCCTTGAGAGTCTGACCTGGAACAGAGGCTAAACAATTTTAAAGGAATAAAGTTGGGATTTACTGAAAGGCTTTCAAAGGATGCACCTTGGGCAGTGCAAGAGCCTGGCCATGGCTCTGCCCTAGATGGACGCCAGGTCATGAATTGTCACACTTTTATGAGTTTGGGTCCATTTCCATGTTGGGGTTAATTGTCCAATTCCAGCTCCAGGTTCTACAGTCCCATCCTCCCAGATTCTCTCCTCCAGTTGCTGCTGTTTGCACTTTTTGGGGCTGAAGCTGCAGCGGTGTCCCTGATTCTGGGGCTGGAAAAGGATTGTTTTGTGTGACTGAGCTGTGAGGAGAACTTGCTGTGCTTGATATGAGATTCAGAGTCGCACACCAATGCAGTGCAGAATCTGAAAAATGAAAAAGCTAAAACTTAAGGCACCACCTGGGTTTTGGGGTGTTGGGAGTCGCAGGGAGCGGGGTGCCCTGCTGGGGTCCTGCTGTCCCCGGGGTGCTCAGGGCTGCTGTGTGCCCCCAGGTTTTGTGGGGAATGCCTGCAGCCCTGCCTGCAGGTGCCCTCCCCGCTGTGCCCGCTCTGCCGTGTGCCCTTCGATCCCAAAAAGGTGGAGAAGGCTTCCAGCGTGGAGAAGCAGCTCTCGTCCTACAAGGCTCCCTGCAGGGGCTGCAGCAAGAAGGTAAAGCTGCCTGTCCCTATTGTCCCCATTGTCCCTATCCTCTTCTGAAATGTGTCCAGAGCTGGGGAAGGGGCTGGGGGAGGCTCATCTTGGAGAAAAGGAGGTTCAGGGGTGACCTCCTGGCTCTGCACAGCTCCCTGACAGGAGGGGACAGCCAGATGGGGGTCGGGCTCTGCTCCCAGGGAGCAGGGACAGAACCTCTGGGGATCCCTGCAGCCCCAAACCTCTGTCCTGCAAGGAGGGATGGGTGGGTGCAGCATTCCCACTGCTGTGGGTCATCCCCCATGGACCAGAGGTCACTCCCACCTCACCTGAGCAAAGCTGGCTCCTGTCCTGGCTCCTGACAGGTATTCCTGCACCTCCAGGAATGTTCCTTGTCCTCCTTCTCCAGGTGACTCTGGCCAAAATGCGCTCTCACGTCTCGTCCTGTGCCAAGGTGCAGGAGCAGATGGCCAACTGCCCCAAGTTTGTTCCGGTTGTCCCCACATCCCAGCCTATTCCCAGGTATTCCTGTCCCTCCTTGCATGCCCTAAAATCCAGGTGTGTGTTGTGCTTTTCCCTGGGAGGAAGAGCAGCACCTTTTCCCTCCTGGCACTGCTGCTCCGGCTTTTGGAGCGTGGGGCGGGATGAAGGATCCAGCAAAGCAGGGAGGTGGGGTGGGAAGGGGCTGGGCTGGTTTGTGCTGTGTTAGTTTGGAAGGAGTCAATCCAGCCTCCCCTCCCATCTGAGCTCATCCTTGCTCTCTCCAGCAACATTCCCAACCGCTCCACGTTCGTGTGTCCGTACTGCGGGGCCCGGAACCTGGACCAGCAGGAACTGGTGAAGCACTGCATGGAAAACCACAGGAATGACCCCAACAAAGTGGTGAGTGATGCTGGGATGTGTGTGACAGCTCTGGGAATCCAGTCACCCCCTGGCTGATGCAGCATCCCAGGCCAGCAGCACGGATGTTTGTGGAAGCACAGCCGGCTTAAATCCCTTTGGGATCTGTCTCTGCTTTGTTAGAGGCTCCCTGGAACGAGCTGCCTCCATCCTTCTGTTCCTGCAAACCAGGTGGTGCTGGATTTCCTCTCCCTGTTCCCTCCGGGTTGGCCAAGGTGGGGAACTTGGGATCTTCAGCACAGGAAGGACCTGGAGCTGTTGGAGTGACTCCAGAGGAGATCAAGTTGATCAGAGGGATGGAGCAGCTCTGCCATGAGGAGAGGCTGAGAAAATTTGGATTGTTCAGCCTGGAAAAAAGAAGCTTCAGGGAGACTTAATTGTGGCCTTCCAGGACCTTCAGGAAAGGTGGACAGAGACTATTGACAAGGGCCTGGAGTGACAGGACAAGGGGGAATGGATCCAAACTGCCAGAGTTGGTTTAGGTTGGATATTAGAGAGCAATCCTTCCTTGTGAGGGAGGGAGAAGCTGTGGCTGCCCCCGGATCACTGGAAGTGCCCAAGGCTGGGTTGGATGCAGCTTGGAGGGGGGACACCCCTCACCTCTCTGGGAGGTCCCTGTGCAGGTGCCACCATTCCGTGTCCCTGTCCCCACAGGTGTGCCCTGTGTGCTCAGCCATGCCCTGGGGAGATCCCAGCTACAAGAGTGCAAACTTCCTGCAGCACCTGCTCCACAGGCATAAGTTCTCCTACGACACCTTCGTGGTGAGTGTGACCCTGAGCCAAAAAATGGGGACCCCCCCTCCCCGTGTTCTGTGCCAGGAGGTGAAACCAGCCCTTCCCGTCCCCTTGGGATGAGCACACGTGTCCCACCCATGACACCCCCACACCCATCAGGTTGTCCTCACACACCAGGAGGAGAGGGAATTTTTCCTGCACTCCACAAAATGGGTTTTTCCATGAAACTCTTACCCTGAGGAATTCTAACACAAAACCCCTTTTCTTGGAGGTTTTGGGAGGAGGGGGTGGTAGCAGCCCAGCCCCAGGGTTTGGTTGTTGCATGTGGGGGGTCCCTGACCCCTCTTGTGTGGGGGGCAATTGTGAGGCTCAGCCTTGGCCTCAGGGGAGGAGTCTCTGTTCTCATCCTGCTTTTATTGGATGGATGTCAGGAAAAATAATCTCCAGGCATTTACAGAGGAATATCCCGACTTCAGGAGCTGTGTTGGATAAACCCAACCTGGAGCTCTGCAAAAACCCCTGGCCTTGCTAGAAAGCTTCACCTTTCAGCCTTAGCTTGTGTGGGCATGTTCCATCTCTCCTGCCAGGTGGGAGATTCCAGGTGGGCACAAAGGACACCTCAGAGAGCACGGGTGCCATTCCTGGGATCGCTGTGCCAGCCCTCCTGAGCTCCCCTGTTTGATTTTCAGGATTACAACATCGACGAGGAGGCAGCGTTGCAGGCAGCCCTGGCTCTGTCCCTCTCCGAGAACTGAGGCTGATCCCTCTCCCTGCCTCGATCTGGGATCCCTCCCACTGCTGCTCTGTTCCCTGCTGCAAATCCCACCTTGTTGAAGAAGGTGGAGCCTCTTCAGTTGTCACAGTGAGTGAGCAGAGACCTCTGGAGAGAGGAGCCGGCGCCACAGGGCTGGGATCAATCCTTGGATAGGCGTTTAATATCCGTGTTGAGAGCATATCCCTGTGTCCACATCTATGTGTTATTAGCTGCTTTTTGGCACACTCGTCCCTGCTCTCTGTTGCAACAGAATAGGTACCTGGAACTGATAGACTGGATGCCAAACACCCTAATTTGGGACTGGAATCAGCCACATCCTTTCAAAAAGGAGGAAGGCAGCACGGTGCATCTTTTTTAAAACTCTGCAAGGATTTTTTTTTTTTTTCTAGAGATGTCAGGTTGTCCTGACCCCCCATGCTGGAGGCTGGAGCTGCCTCCTTCACCTGAATCCCAGGATGAGACTGAACAGTGGTTCAGAGGAGCCCTCGAGGATGGCATCCAGGGAAACCTTCTCCTTCCTCGTTTTGTACCGGCTCTTGGGATACCAAATCCTTGCCTTTTTCTACA